CCGGGGGGCGCTCCTCGGCCTGAGCAGATGGGTGGAGGACCCCCCCGCCGCCCCTCTCGGTGACGAAGCGGACGGCCGCCCGGACCTTGCCCTCGAGCATGAGCTTGTTGAAGCTGTAATCATTCATTCATTCATCGCCTTGCCTGTCTGTTTGGCTCTCGGTCTCCTCTCGTCGGCCTCGTCAGTCACAGGCAGATCTGAGCGGGAGAGGCTCTTCACCTGCCAAATCAGCCTAGCAAGCTCTTCAGATGCCTCGGCTAAGCTCGCAGATGTTGCGAGCGAAACTCCTCCACCGCAAAGGCCGCTGGTATTTTGGACAGGGTGTGGGTGAGGCTCGAGGCGCGATAATTTACGGCCAGGGACGGGAGGTTAAGCAACTCTTACCCTTAACCACCACCAACTTTTTTGCTTCCAAACAGCTTTTCGTGAGTTTAAAGAGATCTCTTACCCGCCGAGTGAGCACATCGTCAGCGACGTTTGCTGAGCCGTTGGCCATGATGGTAACCCAGCGTTTCGGCCTCATTGGTCTCATCCTGGTGGTCTGGCTGGCCATTGTGCAGCCTCTCATGGCGGCCAAGCGCACCGATTACGGAGGCAAGCAGAGGGGGGACACACACGCACCGGACCGACCATGCGCCATGGCAGATCTGCCCATCTTGTGTGCTTTTGGCTGGGTGTGGCTGATCTGTGGCTGCAGAAGTGTCGGTTGGGCAAGGAGAGCTCGGTAGGTGGCCCCCGCACGTCCATCCATCCATCCACGTGATGACATTGAATCGGATCTGTCTGTGTGTATCCACATTATCACCACAGGCGGTGCGTCCACTGAGTTGTCGGCGTTGAAGGCCCAGCAGATGTCGTTGGTGCAGCTGCAGCTGGACAATGCCGTCGAGGCCATCAGCGCCGCCCACAAACTCAACACCGCCGCCCAGGAGCTCAACACCGCCGCCCAGGAGCGCATGGCCGCGGCCATGAAAGCCATCGAGGCCGCCGACACTGCCACCACTGGAAGTAACTGACGCACACACAATGCGTTCGTTGGTTCATTCAATGACATTTGATCATTATCGTGTGTGTGCGGCTGCATGCAGACTGTATCAACAATACAGCCGCCTGCGGCGGGAAGGCCGATGGGACCCCTTGTAACCTCAGCGACGGCACAAAGTGCAAGTGCTTCGGCGGCAAGTGCAAGCCTTGCTGTGCGGGTGGCGGGTGTCGTTGCCATTGATCACTTTCACACACACGAGCCGGCACACGGCCAGGGGTAGGACGACTAGCTTTCACAGAAGCATGGGCCACCAGAACATCTGATCTACACACGGGCACTAACCAACATACGTTCGTCGACAGGCAGACACAGCACGGGGGGAGATGGCAGAGAGGGAGGGGGACACTTCTGCTGGCTGACAGGACAGCATTAGATAGCTGACCAGCCAGCTACACCGTCTATCTCTTCTCACGGGCTGGCGGGACACACACATCACATGGGAACACACACACAGAGCTTTAGTGGTCATTTTGCAATGTGTGCATGTGTGATTTATATGGGTGATCCCATCGGCTGGCTGTCTGTGAATCCGTGACGTATGTGTGCATGTGATGTGTGTGCTGGTGGATGGACTGCCTGCCTCATGGACATGGACATGGGCATGCGTGGTGTTGGCCGCGCATGCCTATGTCCATGGCCCGGCTGCAGCGTTGCATTCACACACATACCGGTGGATGGATGGATGGACGGATGGATGGATGGACCATTTCCTTTGCTGTTTCAAACCATCCAGCGAATTAAGCGCATCACACGCCAGGCAGCTACACACAACAGGCATCAGTTTCCCCGACCTAGGCTCCCTCCTGTCGACCGTTCTCCCTCCTCCTGCCGAATGTATGGCTAGGGAGGAAGGACCCACAACCAATCAAAAACTATGGTACACAGACAGCGCGGCCACAACGAAGGGCAGCCAGACAGCCACACAGACGTTTTTCGGTCGCTCTGTGCGGGGACGTCTCTCTCTGTGTTGGCACAATGTGGTGTGGTTTGGTGTGGTGTGGTGTTGAGCATTGCTGATGACACTTGGTTACGGGACAGCGTCTTGTCCTGTGGAAGAAATGGTACTATGTCGCATAAAGGACGGCACAATCTCACTGGCTATACATGGGAGTGGTCAACAAGACACTCGATAACCGCCAGACGACCCAAGGCAGAGAAGAGAAAGACACGACCAATCAAATCAACAGCTACCTATGGTACACAGACGACAGACACCCATCAACAGCTATAGCCCCGGATGCGATTTATGTGATAAAACCGTATCGATCCTGACAGGCCACGTACTGCGCGTGCACCAGGTGCAGCACCTCTAGCTCGTCAGCCGTCAAGTACTCTGACCCACCTAACACAGCGTAGCCATATTGATCCCTCACTCCCAAGTAGCCCGCAGGCAGACAGTGGCTGTAGACCCTCCCTGGGCTGGTCGTGGCTGCATGCCTGGCTGACTCAAAAAGGTGGTATAACCATCGTTCTGACAGCCACCTATGGTACAGACAAACAACACACCCATCACGACACGCATAAAAAAGTCAGCAAAATGAATGATCGCCTCGCTGCCACCCATATCGGCAGGAAAAAGAGCACACACACACAGGAGCACGTGTTGATAGAATTAAGGGAGAAAGACGGCACCACACCCACACAGTGTGCCACAACGCAGCGATGCGCCTCCTGCGGCACCGAGTGAGACACACAGACGCACACACGAAGACCACACGAGATAGGTCGAAAAAAGACACTGCAAGAGGCACATACACCCAGACACATCTCTCTCCCTCGCTCACTGCCCCACCGCATGCAGCACCTCTATCTCATCAGCCATGAAGTCCAGCGCCCCACCCAAGAAAGCATCGCTATATCCCCCCCTCTTTCCCATGTAGCCCTCAGGCACATCGCTGCTGTAGGTCCACTGGTGGCAGCTTCGGATGTCGGCAGCAGGCTGGTGGCTGCCGCCGTAGCCCAAAAACAGACCCCCGCCGATGTACACATTCGCACCATCACCAACACTCCCCTTCCTCCCCGCCACATCCACATACAGCTCCCTCCACTCCCATGCTATGTCGATCTTGGTCGGCGTGGCGAAGTGGCCGGCCAATGAGAAATACCGCACATCACAGTCGTATGTGCTGCAGCCGTTGATCGGCTTGTCGGGCAGCAGCAGACCGGCACTAATATACACGCCGAACAGATATATGTCCTTCTTGATGATGAACACCAGGCCGGTCTTGTCGCCAACGCAGCGGAGCAAATCACCATATGTGGCGCCGTCCCGCGATGACCTGACACACACGTGCTCCTACTGTGCTGCTAGTATTACAATGTGTGCTTTGCCCTTTACTTGTAGATGACGTTGAGCTGCTTGCCGCCCAGCCAGTTGCACATGGCCACGTACTGGCCGATTGTGAGAAGCGAATCAGCCCAAAGGCACTGCAATATCCACACACAGAGGCAAGAAGATACACAGCCAGTCTGCATAAGCATGTGCGCATTGGAGTAGACCTGCGCGCGGATTTCTTTGCGGATGGCCTCGCCCAGCTGGACAAATATATCGGGCACAGCAAGTGCACGTCTTCGGCTGAGTGTGTGACTTTGTCATGTCACCTCCTGTGTGTTCTTCTGTGCGGCTGTCTGATTGGATTCGATGAGGGCCTGCTGCTCCTGAAGCTGAACACACACAGCAGAGAGAGAGGGCATTTGCGTGCATGTCAGTCCGTGTCTTTCGCCCATCTCGATCTGACCTTAGTAGCGTGTTGCTGCAAATTGGTGTCCACGTGCGTGCGCAGCTGCATGCATTTACGGCGAGGCATAGTTGCGTGCACAGTGGTCACAGTGGTCAACAGAAGAAGGCAGGAGTGCGACAATGCATTGACGGATCGTGCGTCTTACCTGATCGTTTGACGTTTTGAGCGCTTGTACCTGGGCAGCCTGCAGCCACATATGTCCGAATGAGCTTGAGGACATGTATCACTCCTTCTCACCTGATACGCAGAGAATGCGGCGAGCGCCAACGCCAACAACAAGGTAACCTGCACACCCATATAGGACACGAGTACACACGACATCTTTCCTGTTTGACCTGTTTTGGTGTGGATCTGCCCCTCACCTGCCCACCGTAGCCCAATGGCGCCTTGCTCCTGACGTCATCATTGGTATCAGCTGCGTGCCCCGCAGCCTCACCCGCAGCTGGCCCAGGGAGGCCATGGTAGTTTTTCTGGTCGTCCTTGCTGTTGTCATGCTGCTGCGCCTCCCACTCGCCCGCCTCACACACGGCCCGGCGCTGATGGCCAGTGCTGACGGGGCTGCTCACGAATGACAGCTGCATCGCCGTGTTTGTGTCGTTGTATGCTTCCGCGACAGGTCGCTCGACCGACGTATTGTTGGTGAGAGTTGTCATGGACAGGCCGATGGCGACGCCGATAGTCATGCACACGAGCCCAACCGAGACAACGATGGCAGCAAACACACGCATGCCGATGGTCTTGCCCCTGGCGGCCTCTTCTGCTCGGATGAGCTGGTCTCCCGCCTCCTCGAGGCTCTCATGACGCGCAGGGACGGCGGCACCAGGGAGCAAAGGCTGCGAAGGAGAGGGATGCGGCTAGTGGCTTCCATGGCGCTGTTGGATCCAAAGATCCATCGGCTGTTGTGTCTGCCTGAGGCGCGAAGGGGGGCTTAAAGTGTTTCTGATCTTGTGCTTGGGCCTGAAGTTATCCTTCCATGAGGCGACCTTCGGTCATGCCGCGCTGTCGTCTGACCCGCCTGCCTAGGGACGTCACGGGTGAGGTGTTGGGATGGCTCACAGCAGACAGCTGCGGCGCCCTGCGAGCCACTTCGAAGACCGTCGGCTGCCGTCTCATCAAGAAGGCTTACCTGACGGCCCGGCTCGACACTGCCATCTGCAACAAGGGCCTCAGTGGCGTGCTGACCTACAGAAGGCGCCCACAGACGGCCCTGCAATACCTCGCGCAGCATGTGCCGGCCGCCGGGTTCGTGTTTCTTCCCTGGCTGGTCCATCTTGTAACCATCCTCGCGGCTGTGGCGGCCCTCATTGCTCTCTTTCGGGTGTGTGGGGCCTCTCTGAGGCTCGCACGGACGTTCGTGGTCCAGCTGTTTGGACCACGGTACGCGATGCTGGTGCTCCCCGTGGTGTGGTTTCTTCTCATCAGAGGAGGATGCGCCTTTGGTACGGCTTTCGGCACCTTCCTAGGACGCCACCCCTCCCTGCTGGCACTTGCACTCCTACCGGTGGCCGCCTTCAGATTTATGGCGGCCAACATCGCTCCCTCTGCGCGCCGTGCGTGGGCTATGGTGACGTCAGCGGTGACGGGATCAAGGGCCGACAGAATGTACCTGTGGAGCGAAGTGCGTGGGGCGCTTGCCGACGGTGGCAAGAGCATCAGCCATCCTGAGTATCTCTTGCGGCTCCTGTACGTCATCGAGGAGGGCGGCTGTTGGGAGCGCTCCGTGCCGCTCATCTACTTCATCAAGAATTCCCACCTCATCCTCTCACTGCCCATCACCGTCTCGGCTGACGATCTGCGACGAGTCGGCAGCAGGGCGGTGTTTGATTCTCGGCCCGATGCTGTGCGGCAGTACTCGCTCTTCAGCCACCGATTCACGTGGATGAGTCCGCACAGTCGCCTGAGCCGTGTCGCGGGGCAAGACCGCCTCGGGCCGCCGATGATGTCGCGACCAATCACCTTTCTGACCCCCGACACGATGCCTGCCAGCATCCCCCTGGCCATCGACTTCAACGCATCGGACCCTCCCACTCAGTGTATGTCAGCCACGTCGACACACACACACCGGGAACACGCTCTCTCTCGTGACCCTCTCTCTCTCTCTCTGTGTGTGTGTGTGTGTGTGTGCGTTGCAACCTAGGTTGCAACCTGGTAGCTGCATCCTTCACGGACCTGGTCTTTCTATCGCGCAGCGATTTGGTCTCAGCGGCGTCTGACGCCTCCCTGATTCCTCACGACGTCAGTGACCTGATCCCGGTGGCCGACCAGCAGCGGCTGAAGGACAGCATCGGCCAGGCGGGGGGCGTCACCTGGGGAGGCCGTCGCCTGGTGGACGCGTGTGAGAGCGGAGGGGGCGGCCGGCGTGTGAAGATGGTGATCCTGTGTGGGTGCAAGGCGACCGATGAGTTTGCAGTCTATGTCGGGCTGGGGCTGTCAGGCACACAGGACCCTCCCGAGGTCAGGACGACGGAGCGGATGGTGTGGGCAGGGAAGACTGTGGGTGAGATGTATCCTCGCACAGCCGGAGTGCTCGTTGGCGTGGTGGAAGCGCTGAGCGGATAGAGCGAGCGCAGAGAGACAGAGAAACAGACAGAGACAGGTGTGTATGCGGGCAGCGGCTGGCTGCAGTGAGGGCGACCTGGCGTGTTCGTCGGTCGCTGCTCGTTAGATTTGTGGAGGCATAGTCTATCGGTGTGGAGAACAGGACGTCATTAAGGTTTATGGGTGTGTTTCTTCTCTCTGTATCTATCTAGCCCCATTTTTTGTAGTATTGATTATACGTGGGTGTATGCGCGTGTGAATGCATGTGTGTATGTGTGTGTGTGTGTGTGTGTGGTTCTCTGTCGTGCGGCACTTCTTTCGGTACTGCTTCCATGCCTTAATTGAAGGGCCAATGAGGAGCGGCTGCCATCCAGCATTGACTCCATTTCATTCGCGCTGTCCCGTCCGTCCGACAAACAGACGACACACCACACCCTTCCTTCCCCGCCCCGCACCCGCACCACCAGTCAGTCACCCAGTCAGACATCCCCAAACCAACTCCGTACGTCACTTGAGCAGCATCACATCACACAGATACATACACCCACTGCATCACACAGACACGCGCACTTGTTTCGGAGCAGCTCGGATTCGTCCACACGAGGTCTGGCCTGCCTTACATTAGAGACAGTCACTGCACCCACCCACAGCAGCCGGCCACTCACTCAGTGCTGTCATGTGTGTGTGTGCGCGTGTAAAGTTGTTTGATCCGATCCATTATGTCTACAAGGACGAAGGCACCCACCCACTCACGTGTCCACGTGAAATGCAAGCAAAAACTGCAGGAAATGTTTGCTTTCTCACTCACTGCTCCCACCCCACACGCATCGCAGTGTTCACACAGATGCACACAGACGCCGAGGACGAGAGAGAGGGAGGGGAAGAGGACAGCTACGCGGAGAGGGCCCTACAGATGTGCCCATCTCCAGCCTCATCTTTCCATCCAGTCATCCCGCCCACGCATGTGTGTATGTATGTCGCGCTTTCACCAGCTCACTCCCCGGTTCGCTCCCTACAAAGACGTCAGAAAATCCGACTTACACGACACACACACCCACACACAGAGAGGGAGAACGGACATCGAATTCATTCCTAACTCCAAGCAGGCCCAAGGAGGGAAAAATCTCGACTTCCTGCCTACCTGCCCCTTCCGCCCGCAATCTGCGTCACGCCAACAAACGAACGTACGCGTGGCCGACCGAACGTATCGTATGGCGGGCCGGCCTTTCGTCAGTCCTTCCTGCATGGGCCCATGCATCCATGTAGGTCAGCAGCACTGCATGTGCACGGCTCCATCCACCCACATCAACACATCCACACTGACATGACAATCGAAGAGACTTGCACGCCGCCCCAGACCACGCCAGGAAAGCCATCAGCTGGCTGACTCATTCGGAGAGGTAAAGTACGCCAACACAACATGCCAACAAGAAATACTGACAGACAGACAGACAGACAGGCAGACAGACCGACACGAACGACGGATGGAGGGACGGACGGGCAACATGCGACACCACGCCAGCCACACAGATGAAGGAAGAAAACCTCACTCAGTCACTTAAACTGCCGGCATCTGCACGTACGTACGAAGCACACAGCAAAGCTCTCACCGCACACGCGCATACAGGCAGACAGACAAGGCAGACACACACCCACACCCACGAATCGCATGAATGAATGAATAAAACGCCATTCATTCGACACGCACACAAACACGCATACACTCATACGCACAAACACGGGCAACGGTGGACAGACAGACAGATAGAGAGACCGCGCAGCGCAGCGCAGGAACAAAGGAACAACTGACTGACTATGTCATGTGTCACATGTGTTGTGTGTGTTATTTGTGTTTGGTGGCTCGTCTGATCCGAGACCATGCGAACCGCACCACCACACCCCCTATGTTGCCCGCTGACAGGAGGATCGCTGCCAGCGCCACCGGCGGCACCGAGTCCGCAAAGTACCCGTCACGGCTGCTCAAGAACACTGTCAGCAGCTGCACACACACAGGCACACACACACACACACAAATCAGTCCCGGTGTGTGCCATCCACCCCCCCACATACGCACCTGAATGGCGAGGAAGGGCCCATCCCCGACGAGGGACAGCAGCTCAAAGGTCTCAAAAGCGGTGGCCGACACAGGGATAGAGAAGAAGGGCAGGGAGAAGAGGGAGCTCCAGCACACGTGCAGCACCCCCACGCTGAGAAACGAGCCGAACAGGACGGACACGAACATGGGGCCGAAAGCGCGGGCCTCCTCCTCGCCCTCCCACTCATCCTGAGTGAGCGCCCTGCCCCACCGCACGCCGCGCTTCCCGTCCCCCTCCGCTGCTTTGCTGGCAACACTGCTCTCGCGCTCGACGCTTTTCTCCTCGGTTGCAGTGGGAGTGGCACTGGTGGCGGGCTCGAAGGCTGATGTGGTGAATGGGCAGAAGGTCGAGCGGCCTGTTTCTGGTGCCAGGGTGGTTCTCTGGGAGTCCTCATGGATGTCCGAAAGGGTCGGCTTGGGGGGCTTCTCTGCTCGTTGCTCTAGCGTGGCGGCGTGGCTGGCAGCAGGCAGGGATTGCGGCACTGGCAGCGGCAGTAGTGGAGGTGGTGAGTCTGGGCTGCTTTCAGCGGCGATTGGAGCGCTGGGATGGGCCTTGAGCGCTTGAAGGATGGAGGGGAAGACGCACCGGGACGAATCGGCCTCTGGGGGAGCGTTCATGTGCATGTGCATCTGAAAGGACGGCGCGGCTATGGCGCCCGACAGGCAGACGTCATCTGTCTGATCCTTGGGCTCGTGCGCATGGTGCTGATGCTCGTCATCATGCTGCTGGTGTTGGAATGAGGCTTCAGTGGTGAAGCCCTTTTTGACGGCCGACGTGCTGCGGCTGGGGGGTGGCGTTGGCAGAGGGGTGGGGGTGGCCATGGTGGTGGTGGCCTTGTCGTCCACACGGATGTCTGCCAGCGTCGTCACCTTGGCCGGCTTGTGCCGGTGCTGGAACAGAGTGCGGTACGTCGTGTGCCGTGTCACCTGCACAGCACACACACACACGGACACACACACGCGCAGTTTGTGTGTGTGAGTGAAAAGGATCAACCAGCACTCACATACTTACCCATGCGAGATTGACAATGACGACGCTGGCTTCGTTGAAGAGGATGAGGAAGAGGAAGTGCGCACAGCCGACCCAAAACACCAGACCGGCTCCGCTGCCGAACCGAAACAGAGACGCCACAAACACAACTGCACACCACACACACGGACAGAACCATCAGCCACCCATTCCTCTCTCTCTCTGTCTCTCTCTCTCTCTCTGGGTGTGAGCTCACTGTGGACGATTGATGCGAGTCCAGCCAGGACCGCCGCGACAACTCGCCAGATTACGGTGCCTGAGTGGCGCTTCTTGCTGTGGTATGCGAGACCGACGCTCAAGAGAACCACCATCACCACAATCAACACGGCAACCAAGGGACGGCTGTCGATCTGCACAACGCACAGCCCACACACACATGGTGAATGCACTCATACGACCTCATCTCTCTCTCTCTCTCTGTGTGTGTGTGTGTGTGTGTGTCTGTGTGTGTGCGCCGCTGACCTCAAAAGAGCAGGGTTGGCCGTATGGCATTGTGACGTCGGGTACCCGCAGGAGGAGCAACGCTAGCGAGGTGAAACGTTGCCGATAGTGCTCCACCCCACACACATACCCTTGTTCTGAAAACCACACAATCACACACACACCACACGAAAGTAATGATGCTTTGCCTGTGTTGGTAAGAAACCGAACCACCACCCGGCCATCCGCCCCCCTTACCAAGGAGTGCGCCGGGGCACCACTTGGGCCCACTGATGGATATGGGTTCCACCTGGTCAAGTGACCATCGTGTGACGTTTTTCCACAGGAGGCACTGGAAGCGCATGCTGCTGAAGGCATCGCACTCCCGGTCCGCCTGACAAAGGCTCTGACATTGCTCGGGAGGAAAGTACAAGCTGCACAGACACGCACAGCCACAGACATACTTGCAATCGTTGTGTGTGTCTGTGTGTGGGCACTCCATTCGTGTGTGGTCGCTCACAGCTGCATGTTGGAAAGCACGACAGCGGTGCTGGGGTCAGGCTGCACCCCCTGTAGACAACACACACAGCCACCACACACATGAGACAGACTCTGTGTGTGAGTCTGTCTGTCTGTCCGTCTCTGTGTGTGTGTGTGTGTGCGTGTGTGTGTGTTTGTGTGTCCCCACCAAGTGGTAACATCCACAGTTCTCGTTCTGCTTCCTCGCCAGCTCGTTGAAGCGGACCTGGTACCTCAGCTCCTTGGTCAGGTAAGGCGGAGCTCCCAAGTCGCCCCTGTGGTAGCTCCGCTCCCCTCTGCTGCCCTTCTTGCCGAGAGCTCGTGAGTCAGGGTCGGTGGGGAGGCCGTAGTAGAGCGAGGGGTCTGCCGGCGAGAGGTGCTGCCAGTCGTGCGTCATTGGGGGCAGCGGCGGGGGAGGGAAGGATGAGCCCTCCTGGGGGCCGCAGTCATGGGACTCCACCCATCCTGTCACCTGCACACACACACCCACACAGCTGGATGGATTGATGGATGGATGGATGTGTGGTTTGTAGCGTACGGCGCCTGGGTGGCAGATTTTTCTGTCTTTGTTGCCGAATAGGAAGCACACGCCGTCGACGACCTTCTGGTCACGGGGGTACTTGTGGAACCAGGTGAACATCAGACAACCGGGAATCTGCACACCAACACACAGGACAGTCACGTGTGGAAACCAGCTGTGTGCGTGTGTGTGTGTGTGTGTGTGTCTGACCCCCTTGCAGATGTCATGGCAGCCCTCGGTGGTGGTGTTCTCGATGCCGATCCTGTTGTGGCTGCGGGGCGTGACGAACAGCCCCGCCACGTTGTACTCATAGCACGGCGACACGAGCCCGCCTGCACCCACCCATCGATTCATCCGTCAACCTCTCTCTGATAGAGAGGGTGTAGTGTGGTGTGTATGCAAACCTCTGTCGCAGTCGTAGCTGTACTTTTTGCCGCTGACGAAGTAGTTCTGATCGTTTGGCGGCACGTGCCGCCTGCCGGCGTCGGAGGATTTGATGTAGCAGCCCAGCTTCTTGGAGTAGGTTCACGCCATGCACGCGGGCTCCGCTTCGCAGCCCCGTGCACAGTCGCTGCACTCACACACACACACAGAGGGAGGAGAGAGAGGGTGCGTGTCCGAGTGTGTGTGGGGATGACATGGTGCGAGAGTATGACTGACAATGGCCGCGCAACCTGCACCGCACTCACAAGGCAGGCAGGCAGACAGGCAAGCCATCCAGTCCAGTGGGTGGGGGATTCAATCGCCTGTGTGAAGTGATGAATTAAGTGATTGATTGACTGACCATGTGTCCCAGCCCCTTGCGCTCGATGATGGCTGTCAAATTGTGCCCCTCGTAGTCATAATCCCTACGTGCAGCCATCAGTCGACCAACTTGCCTTGCAGGACCGACCTGCTGTTCCCGTCCCGTCCGTGTGTCAGTCACTCTGTTTACCACTCATAGCATGAAGCCCCAGGCGCGGGAGCGACGGTGACGTTGTCGGGCGACACGCAGTCGGAGGAGCGACCGCCGTCGCGGATGCCTCACCCTCTGATGGATGGACACAGGCAATGGAAGAAGCCACACAGACACACACGCAGCAGCAGAGAGCGTCGCCCATGGATAGCGCGGCCTCCCTCCCTCATCCTGTTGCTCACGGCCTCACCCTCTGATGGATGGACACAGGCAACGGAAGAAGCCACACAGACACACACGCAGCAGCAGAGAGCGTCGCCCATGGATAGCGCGGCCTCCCTCCCTCATCCTGTTGCTCACGGTCAGGCTCCATTCGATAGCACTCGGCGGCACGGGGCACAAGCACAGCGATCAACAAGCCGACCAAGGGACACACCACCACCGCCATGCTTGTCATTCTCCTCGCCCAGACGTGTCAGATCAGGTCAGATCGGCACCCTCGATGAGTGCCCTGGACAAAGGCGTTGGATCCGTTGTGCATGGCACCAAAAAGATCAGCAGGCGCGTGCCACTGCCCCTGCTGCCCAGAAGGAGCGTTGAATGGTCGTTTACGGAATTCGCGGATAGCCACCGCGGATAGCATATCGGGGCTTTTCGATTTGGCGCTGAAAGACGGAGATCCTGCACGCTTAGCTTGCAGAGCTTGCAGAGGTATCCCCCCCCGCAATGTCATGCATGTAGCAAAGCATGCAGAGCGCTAAACAATAACCAACCAACCAAGTGGTCCCCGATAAGACCTCCGATTCGACACAGCAGCCGCCCACGCGGTGCTTTTGCACTGCACACCCAGGGGTGCGCGCTCGCACACACCCAGGGCACACGAATGAATGAGTCTACGGTACATCCCATCCACCGCACCCACAGCATGAAGGGAAGGAATCACTGGCTGGCTCTCAATCTTAAACACTGACTGACTGACTGCATCAAAAAGCGGCAGTGCCCAGGCAGGACAGCAGACAGCACTAACTGCCCGCTGCATACACACACCCACACACCACAGAGAGAGAGAGGGATCAGCCTACCGGCTGACTGACACGAAGGTACATGTTCGTTCGGACAGGCAGACGATGCAGCAAGCACGGCTGGCTGGCTGCTGCTCCAGTAAGCACGGCAAACGATGCAGCTCAGCTGGCTCTCACGTCCATCCATATAATAAACATGCCACACACGAAGACAGCCGATGGGCTCAACCACGAATGCAGCCATTCCATCCACGCTTATACTACCACACGCACCACATCATGACAAGTACGCCTGGATATACTTGACAAAACCGCGACAGACACTACAGACGGACGGACAAAGCGAGGGAGGGAAATGCATGATCCAGCCGGCCGACAACACGCACAGTGCCACAGACAGACAGACAGACAGACGGACACACACACAGACAGAGCGAGAGTGTAGTGTGCACCGACACATGCACTTCTGCAGAGTCAGCTCAATCCAGCGGAGAGAGAATGAAGGCACCGAGGGAGGGATGGCACCTCAAGAGCCACAGACAGACAGACAGACAGACAGACAGCGACCACTCACATCGGCAGTGAAAAGAAATGGCCGGCGACACCATATCCACACACACACACACACACGCAGCCAACCAACCAACGCACCAGCCCAAAACCAAGGTGTCAAAAGCTCACAGAGTACGCTCACAAACCGACACGTGGCAATAGCCAGCCAACTCCGGACGACCACAAACACCACACACAAATAAAACCCACACGAGGACGAACGTTCGGTCACTCCGGACGGACCACAAACAACTCACACGCGAAACAAAGCCACCACACAAATAAAGCCGTCCCGTCCCACTCCGCCCCTCCCACACACACCACCCCAGGCGTCACGTCACTCGTCTGCGTCACTTTCGCCGCCGCTGGTGGTCTGTGTCGTGACGACGAAGGCCACCGATGAAGGTGCGTGTGAGGTGGACGGCTCGGTCGCCGTGGGTGTGCCTGTGATGGGCTTGGTGCTGATGCTGCTGCTGCTGTTGCCGTCCTTCATGGCGACGGATGGCAGGACCGAGTGCAGGGCGTAGCGGAGGAGGAACAGCAGCAGCTTGAGGATCTGAAAGACCGACGTCAGCAGCGACACCAGAGTCACTGACACACACACACACACACAGGGAGAAATGACGGATGGTGCGTCAGGGCTTTGGGGAAATGGGTGGTCCAGCCCGTCCATTCATCCATTCATCCATCCATCCGTCCATCCGTCCATCGATCGGCATACCTGATGGGATGCTGCCTGTTCCTGACTGGTTGAGCAACACGTAGGCCTGCAAAGCCACCTGCGGCACATCCTCTGTGAATGGAATGGGTAGCACCGCACAGAGACGACACACACGCATGGCAATCATTACAGTCAGTTCATCTGTTCCCCTCCCTCCCTCCTCGCCCTGCAAATCGGCTGGCTGACCGAGGAGAGTGAGGACCTCCAGTGTGAGAAAGGACTTGGTCTTGACGCGCAGAGAGAACAGTGTCCACCCGAACAGCCGAGAAGCGAACAGGTGAAGCACTCCCAGGTGCAGAAATGAGCTCGTCGCCACCAAGAGCACCCCCGCGTGGTTCACGTGTCGGTTCTTGTCCATCCAACGACCTTCAACACACACATACGGAGGGAGCGGTCGATCCATCTGTGTATATGTGTGTGGATGGGTGGATAAGTGGTCACTTACGGAAGTTGTGCCCCTGTTCGTTTCTGCTGCGCGTCATGTAGATGAGTGTGAGCGTGTTGGACAGCACCAAGGCCAACAGGTGGAAGCTCCCCGCCCAGAACACCCATATCATGCGCTCGTCGTCAGAATATGATCGCGCCACAAACGCACTGGTGCAGTGAATGCAACCCCCACACACACAGATGATCACGAGTGCTCCGCTGCGTGTGCCCCACCCACCTCGCCCTCACGCACCAGTCAGTGATGAAATCCCAGCAGGACACGGCGGCAATCATGACGGCCAAGACGCTCGTCCGCTTCTCATGGTACACGCGCGACACACAGGCGACCGTGAAGCAGCCGATCAGCAGCACGAAGGCGGCAACCATCCATGAGAGCGACGGCCAGTTGATTTCAAGAGGGCACGAGTCGCCAAGCGGCACACGGACATTCTTGACTTTGAGCACGAAGAGGGAGAAGGGCGTGTATCGCTCACGGTAGAATGCTGCAGGCCGACGACACACACAGAGACACAGACACACATGAGGGGTGGTCTCTTCTTCCTTCTATGTCGCCCACCAGAGTCGCATAAGAGGCCCTCGCCTGAACACACACACACACACGCACACGCACACATGGTCACACAACACGCCCACGACATCCATCCCCTTTCGCTCACTGAGTTTGTCCCGCGGGCAGAGCTTCGGCCCCGAAAGGTCGGGTAAATCCGGGTCTTCCTCCCATTTGGTGACTTTCTTCCACAGAGCACCTGTTCCACCTGCTGCTGAAGTGCTCGCACTCGGCATGCGCCTGGCAAAACAGCTGGCACCGACGGGGAGGCATCAGGTAGGTCGGAACCTCCTGCACACAATGGATAGCACAGCAGATCTCTCTCTCTCTCTGTCTGTCTGTCTGTCTGTCTGTCTGTCTGTCTGTCGACCTGTATCACTTCGGCGCTCCCCGGCGCGTATTCGGGCGGCTTGTCTGGGTCGATGCCCATGTCTGAGCCGCCGTCCAGCCGCTCAAAGTAAGGCTTAGTGGCCTCCTTGTAGCACCCACACACATTGACCTTCTCGTAAGCCTCTGTCGGACCCCACCCACACCCACACCCACACGAGAAGATGCAGATCTGTGTGGCTCGGCCACATCCCCACACGCACCTTCGGCCACTGGATACGGCGGGTATGACGACTGCAGCAGCTCCAGTGAGAGTGAGAGCCCCTGGCTGGTCAGCCTCTGCACGTCGCCGTCCGCCGGCTCCAGAGGCTCACTCGGCGCTCCGCAGTCCCGGGCGTACACGAAGCCGCTCGTGGCGTGCTCCGAGCATACCTTGTTGTCGTCAACCCCCGCATTCTTCATAAAGCTGACAGAGAGAGATGGAGAGAGAGAGAGAGAGAGAGAGAGTGCGTGGGTGGGTGGTTGGCGTGGGATGGCGTGTGTGGGGTGCGTGTGTACCACTGTCTGGTTTGGCCTGGCAGAGCGATGTGTGTGAAGAAGCGGCACTCGATCATGTCGATGCACGCCTGCTGACACTCATCCACCGTCAGATTGGCGTCGGCGTACTTGTAGCTGATGTCAGACCTGCGACACACACACATCTGCATCTTCTCTCTCTCCCTCCCTCTCCCAGCCGGCTGACCAGAGTATTTTGACGTTGTGTTGGATGCATGGGTGTCTTTCGTCGAGAGAGCGGCAGTCTGAGCTGCCCTTCTTGCCCATAGCAATGGCCGCGAAGCCCCGCCCGTCGCTGTCGCCCGCCCGACGCACCGCAGTCACGTTGGACAGAAGGAAACACTCACCCTTCCTGCACCACACCCATCCATCCACCATACACACATGAATGTTGGGAAAAGTGGGGTGGGTCGATGGATGGCGACATACTGATTTACCAGTCGAAGCTCCATGCCTTGCAATCTTGGTTCTCTTGGCAAGCCTTGGCGCACCCGTCAGTCAGCCACACGTATCGCTTCGATATGGGGTCGGAACCCTCCAGATAAGTGCCTGCACACATGCAGATGGCACACAAATGTATCCGTTCCCGGTTGGTATGCTGGCCCACCCACCCGACCCCACCCATCAACGTCGACTTCCACGTCTGCAGGCACACAGAGGCAACGTCATAACTCGGCTACTCTGTCTGTGCGTGTGCTCCATGTGGTTGGCTCACCCAGCAGCCGGGGTCCAGCTGGTCAAGCGATGCTGCCTGCTGACTGACAAAGCCGTCGATGTCATCGGGCTGCTGCTGCTGGGCACATGCAGATCTCGATGACAGCAGCACCAGCAGCAACAGCCACAGACCATTAACGTGGAGAAGCAAAGGGCGATGGATCATCAGCCTTGCCTTATGTCAAGCTCACAGAACAGACTCACGCTTATCGGGTCCCCTCTCCCAGAAGCAGCTGAGCTTGCAGATCGTGTGCCGGGAGAAAAGGAGACGACAGATGAGAGGCGGCAAATGAAGGGGGCTGGCTCCCCGATGAGGTTGCACACAGAAATCTCGGAAGCGGCAGCTCCGATCAACAGGCCCCGATAGAGAGCTCCCCTCCTCTCCCCTTCCCTGTCTCCCTCTCCTCTGTGTCTTCTTCTGGAGCTCACCTTTGTTCATCTGGCTGCCTTTGCTGATCGACAGAACTCAATAAGAACACTCTGTTGGCTCCAGGTCATGGCGATTCGGGCAGTGGTTTACCTGTTGATTCTCTCTGTGGCATGGACGTCTGCTGAGGCACAACAGGTATGAGCACATCCACGAGTCAGTCACCCATTCATTCATTCATTCATTCACAGACATAAATGTTTTGGTGTGGCGTGACTGACTGACTGACTCGTGTGTTTCAGGTGCATCTGCGTCGTGTGCAGAGTGACCTGCCGAACGGCACATCGCTGTCAGCGTCGGAGTATGATGCGCTGCTTGGCCTGCTGGTCAATGACACCACAGAACTCATCTCCCTCTACCGGTACACACACATCATGCCATGTCAACAATGGCTGGAAGATCCTTCACCGTCTGTGTGTGTGTGTGTGTGTGCATGTGTGTAGGACATCTGTGCACGGCACTGAATATGGCAACCTGCTGGACCGAGTGGGCAACGCACTGCCTCTGGTGTTGGTGATCAAAAAGGACGAGTATGTGTTCGGCTATTATATCGGTGGCGGTCTGCTGCAGCCCGACGACCACACCCGAAAGTTCACCGATGTAAACAAGACAGGCACCCTCAACTACATGTGTGATGTGTGGCGGTTCTCGTTGGCGGGCCACTTCCCCACACCGACCAAGATGGACCTCGACTCAAATGAGACGTTTGTGACTGTGGCGGTGAGGGGGGCAGATGTGTGCTGTGAGAATGTGAATATCGGTGCGGCGCTGCATTTGGGCTGGGGTGGCAGCGGCGGCAGTCACCAGCCTGCTGCCGACATCCGCAGCTGCTACCACGAGGCCATCGTCAGCGACGATCTGCCCGAGGGCTACATTGGAGAGAGGGATGAGGATGGCGATGCTCTGTTTGGCGGGTCGCTGGAGTTCATGGGTGACGAGATTGAGGTGCTGCGTGCAAGCGCCAGCCGCACGCAGATTGCCATTGCGGTGCTCGTGGGGCTGACCGCGGTAGTTTTTGCCGCATTTTAATTGAGTCAATTCACGACCTGGCGTGTACTGGGCGTGATGCCGACATCTGTAGCTGCCTTCAAGCCACCGACAGCAACGATGTGCCTGAGGGCTGCACGGGGGAGACAGAACTGAGTGGGTCATATGAGTTTATGGCTGACGAGAACGAGGTGCTGCAGGTGGTGTGCAGCAGTGACTGAGTGGGGCGCATCTCTGTCTGTCTGTCTGTCTGTCTGTCTGTCGTCGGCACTTTTATCCACGTTCGTCTTCCTCTCTGTCTCGATTGTGAGGCCATTGTGTGCCTATTGCATTTCTAGTACGGTACTGTGTCAGCGTAGGTAGGTCAATCGGGTCTACCTGACAAGTGTCTGTGATGTGTGGCCTGCTGCATGCCTGCCTGCCTGCCTGCCTGCCTGTGCTGATTCAGTGGATGTGTGGTGTCAGTCAATGGATGGATGGATTGATTCAGTGTCTTGTGTTGTCGTACACTCATCCACTCGTGAGACCGTGATAGAATCTGTTCCGAACCATCCAGCCATGCAAATGATTGGTCTCTATATACGCGCACACGGATGAAAGGCGCCAGCGTGAGCCTTGCCCCTGACGGAGGCACACACGATACAGGGAGACGTGCGTGTCTGTAATCACTCATTCATTCATCGCCTTGCCTGTCTGTTTGGCTCTCTATCCATCGTCAGATCTGGTTCTTTTAGAGTCAGTGTGGAGATGGGGCCTTGGATAGGGTGCTGCCTGAAACCACTCCAAATACGGGACGGATTGGCTCCCCACTATTGGAGACTTGTGAAGCGCTGGTCAGTATACGCCACTGCGCAGCCTCATCGGGGAGCCAGCCCCTTTGGTAGCGTACGCGTGCGTAGCGCAGCGATCGCGTACATACGCGCCGCGGGCGGGAGCGACCGATCGACACACACCGTCTCCGGCTCGCAGGTGCGCTTGGCAGGACAAGCGCTCTCCGTGATTTTTCGCACCCACCCACCCATGCTTCGCACCCACTTACACCCGCACTCGTCCGCCGAGGCCGGGGAGGCGCCCCATGACGCCGGGGGCGTCTCAGCGAAGCGAGGCGAGACCGACGGGAGGTGGCGTAAAGGAGCCACACCAGGGAGAAGCCAACCGCCAACCAGCCTCAGGGCGCCCGCTTGCCCTTCCCGCTACGCGGAGCTCCCTCGTCGCGGGGTTCAGAAAGCCGCCGAGAGACTGCTGCTGGATCCGACGTCTCCGACACCCCTGGGTGGCCCTGGCGCTGCACCCTCCGTCCCCGACGTCCTTGCCGCCGGATCCGCCAGCATCGACGCCATCGCTGCTGTATCCAACGATTTCAACCCCCCCTGCGGCTGGACTGTTCACCGCAGCCCCTGCTGCTGAACCCGCCGTCTCTGACGCCCCCCCTGCGAGTCGGTCAACTTCAACGCCCCTGCGGCTGGAACCGCCGTGTCCGACGCCGCCATGGCTGGATTCATCGAGTTCAACGCCCCGGCTGCTGGATCCGTCGCCCTCAACGCCCCTGCTGCTGGACCCGTCGACTTCAACGCCCCTCCTGCTGGATCCGCCGACTTCGACGCCCCTGCTGCTGGATCCATCGACCTCAACGCCCCTCCTGCTGGATCCGCCGACTTCGACGCCCCTGCTGCTGGATCCATCGACCTCAACGCCCCTGCTGCTGGATCCGCCGACTTCAACGCCCCTGCTGGACCCGTCGACTTCAACGCCCCTGCTGCTGGACCCGCCGACTTCGACGCCCCGGCTGCTGGATCCATCGACCTCAACGCCCCGGCTGCTGGATCCGCCGCCTTCGACGCCCCTGCTGCTGAATCCCGACTTCGACGCCCCTGCTGCTGGATCCATCGACTGCAACGCCCCTGCTGCTGGATCCGCCGACTTCAACGACTTGGGATCCCCGCCGATGTCTCGGCGCCTTCCACAACCATCATGAGGCAGACATTGTCATAACAATGAACCCAACAAGCACCCACAATCGAACCGCAAACAACAACACATTCATCGCGCCGACGGGCGCACAGGTCACCAACTTAGTCACCGCACTGACACGCACAGGGGTCACCAGCCATCGCGGCTCGGCGCGTGGCGAGACTGACTTGCTCGAGGAGGCCATCGCGGCCAGGGACATTGCGGGACTGACTGTTGGGGGAGGCCATTGCGGTCAGGGACATGGCGAGACTGACTGTTGGGGGAGGCTACCGCGGCCGGGGGAGGCTACCGCGGCCGGGGGCATTGCGAGACTGACTGCTCGATGAGGGCCATCGCGGTCAGGGACATTGCGGGACTGACTGTTGGGGGAGGCCGTCGCGGCTAGGGGTTTTGCGGGACTGACTGCTCGATGAGGCCATCGCGGCTAGGGGCATTGCGGGACTGACTGCTGGGTAAGGCCCTCGCGGCCAGGGGCATTGCGGGACTGACTGTCCGGGGAGGCCATGGCGGCCAGGGGCATTGCAAGACTGACTGCTTGATGAGGCCTTCACGGCCAGGAGCATTGCGGGACTGACTATTCGGGGAGGCCATGGCGGCCAGGGGCATTGCCGGACTGACTGCTCGATGAGGCCTTCGCGGCTAGGGGCATTGCGGGACTGAATGTCCGGGGAGGCCATGGCGGCCAGGGGCATTGCCGGACTGACTGCTCGATGAGGCCTTCGCGGCCAGGCGCATTGCGGGACTGACTATTCGGGGAGGCCATGGCGGCCAGGAGCATTGCCGGACTGACTGCTTAATGAGGCCTTCGCGGCTAGGGGCATTGCGGGACTGAATGTCCGAGGAGGCCATGGCGGCCAGGGGCATTGCAAGACTGACTGCTTGATGAGGCCTTCGCGGCCAGGGGCATTGCGGGACTGACTGCTCGGTGAGGCTTTCGTGGCCAGGGGCATTGCCGGACTGACTGCTCGATGAGGCCTTCGTGGCCAGGAGCATTGCGGGACTGACTGTTCGGGGAGGCCAGGGCGGCCACAAAAATTGCGGGACTGACTGCTCGATGAGGCCGTCGTGGCCAGGGGCGTTGCGAGACTGACTGTCCGTGGAGGCCATGGCGGCCAGGGGCTTTGCAAGACTGACTGCTTGATGAGGCCTTCGCGGCCAGGGGCATTGCGGGACTGACTATTCGGGAAGGCCATGGCGGCCAGGGGCATTGCAGGACTGACTGCTCGATGAGGCCTTCGTGGCCAGGGGCATTGCGGGATTGACTGTTCGGGGAGGCCATGGCGGCCAGGGACATTGCAAGACTGACTGCTTGATGAGGCCTTCGCGGCCAGGGGCATTGCCAGACTGACTGCTCGATGAGGCCATGGCGGCCAGGGGCGTTGCAGGACTGACTGCTCGATGAGGCCTTCGTGGCCAGGGGCATTGCGGGATTGACTGTTCGGGGAGGCCATGGCGGCCAGGGGCGTTGCAGGACTGACTGCTCGATCCAAGGATGACGGGGGATAGGGCTATCGCATACTGAGACGTTGCCGGGGCTGACTATTCGGTGAGGCAGGCCATGGAGGCACGAGACATCGCGAAATCTAGTCGGTGAGGCCATCACGGCCCGAGGCATTGCGAGGATGACGGGCGATAAGGCTATCGCATGCTGAGACATTGCCGGGGCTGACCACTTAATCAGGCAGGCCATGACGGCCCGAGGCATTGCGAGAATGACGGGCGATAGGGCTATCGCATACTGAGACAGTGCCGGGGTTGACTATTCGATGAGGCAAGCCATCACGGCCCGAGACATTGCAAGAATGACGGGCGATAGGGCTATCGCATACTGAGACAGTGCCGGTTTTGACTATTCGATGACGCAGCCCATCAATAAACATTGCGAGAACGACGGGTAATAGGGCTATGGCACACTGAGACATTGCCGGGGTGGACTATTCGACTAGGCAGACCATCACGGCCCGAGACATTGCAAGGATGACGGGCGATAAGGCTATCGCATGCTGAGACATTGCCGGGGTGGACCACTCAATCAGGCAGGCCATGACGGCCCGAGACATTGCAAGAATGACGGGCGATAGGGCTATCGCATACTGAGACAGTGCCGGGGTTGACTATTCGATGAGGCAGGCCGTCACGGCCCGAGACATTGCGAGGATGACGGGCAAGAGGGCTATCGCATACTGAGACATTGCCGGGGTGGACTATTCGATGAGGCAGGCCGTCACGGCTCGAAACAGTGTGAGGATGACGGGCGATAGGGCTATCGCATATTGAGACATTTCCTGGGTGGAGTATTCGATGAGGCAGGCCATGACGGCCCGAGACATTGCGAGGAGGACGGGCGATAGGGCTATCGCATAGGGAGACGTTGCCGGGGTTTCCTATTCGACGGGGCCGTCGGCTTGAAACATCACGAGATGGACCGTGTAAAGCGGCCATCACAACTCAAGTCATGGCGACACTCGCTATCCGACAAAGTGTGGTATCATCGCGAGACTGACTAGTCGACGAGGCTCAGACTCTAGTCGACGAGGCTCAGACTTGACGCGGCCATAGCAGTGCGGGAGTCGGGCCATCACGGCATGAGAGCGACCGCTCGAGCGAGTCGTCGCAACCCAAAACAGGGCAGGGAGCGCGTTGGGCTCCACGACGTGCGCAACGCATCCTTGGGTCTGTCTTAAGGGTCACACACAGCGGCGGCCCGGGGCATGGCGGATTGATTGTTCCATCAGGGCATGGCGGCTCGGGACATTGCGGGATTCATTCTTCGATCCGGCCATGACGGCTCGGGGCATGATTGTAGAATTGACGGTTCGACGGGCGAAGTCGGTGTCGCCGTACGTAATCACCCAGGGCGGTCCGGGACATTGCGGGATTGACGGTTCGGTCAGGTCATGGCGGCCCGGGGCATTGCGGGATTGACGATTCGTTCGGCCATGGCGGCCCGAGGCATAGCGGATTGAGTGTTCGACCAGGGCATGGCGGCCCGGGACGTTTGGGGATTGACGGTTCGACGGGGCGCAGTCTGCACCGCCGAACATAATCATCAATCGGCGTCAAACGCCGTACAACATCCATAGGCGGCAAGCGCCGGAGAAACCCACCAGTCGGCGCCATTGCGGCCCGAGACATCGTGGAGTCTGGTCGGTGGGGCCATCACGGCCCGAAGCATTACGGGGATGACGGGCGATAGAGTTATCGCATATTGAGACAATGCCGGGGTTGACTATTCGATGAGGCAGGCCATTACGGCCCGAGACATTGCGAGGATGACGGGCGATAGGGCTATCGCAGGAGACATTGCCGGGGTGCACTATTCAACCCACGAGGCCGTCGGCCTGACGCATCACGACATGGACCGGATGAAGCGGCCATCACGGCTCAAGTTATAGTGACATTCACTATCCGACACGTATGGTGTCATCGCAAGACTGACTAGTCGACGAGGCTCAGACTTGACGAAACGTGACGAAAAGGTAGCATTGCGGGAGTGGGGCCATCACGACACGAGAGTGACCGCTCGATCGGGCAGTCGCGGCTCAAAGCATGACAGGGAGCTCGTCGGGCTGCACAACGTGCACAACGCATCCTTGGGTCTGTCTCAAGGGTCACTCATAGGCGAGTCCATATCTATCCAGAGGGAGGCACGCGTTGCTCGCTGGAGTTGTGAGCTCTCACTCGCCGAGGGGCACATCCCTCTCGCGCTCCCACACACCATTGGGCCATTTCGGGAATCTCACCCGACCGAAGGGAAGGTGAAGGGGACTCAAAGGGTTTACACCAGAGAAGCACTCAATAAGAAAGTACGGGTCTCTTAACACCTTACCACGGTACACCTGCGGTGGTACATGACCTGACAACTCACTCAGCGATAAGACATACCCTCGACGACGGAGGACATGCCCGTCTCATTTGTCTCGAGCACTCAGACACTCACGGTGACGCACTGTTGCCCTCGAGAGCTGCTAGTCGACGAATCACGCGTGTCGGCAAGTGCAAACTCCCAATGAGGGACTTAGACGCCGGCATACCCGATTGCCCTCACATTCCAGTCTACGTACACCGCCACTGCACGAAGCTTAACAACCTGCCTGCGTCCCCTCGCGATGACTGGCAGTCCAAGTCACGCGACCGTTGAGTCTCCACCTAGAAGACACGCCATTGTGATTGGCGCCGACAGACAACAAGCTTATCTCGCGCAGGGGAACGGCCTTGCCGACGAGCGACCCTTGCCCTTAAAACATCTCCCTCGTGTAGGTTACGCTTACGAGATACCCACTGCCCTTCGGAGTGTAGCCAATCCGACACGACGTTATCATACATTACGACGTGTGCGGGGATGGGCCGAGATGGCAATAAGCGACAAATTTTACCCGCGATGTACTTGACGATCCACACACCGGGTAATCGGTAAGGTACACTTGCCGCAACGACTTGCGTGCCAACGATGCATGTCTCGCCACGCGCTCACCGATGACGCGCGTATATGGCGTAAGACTAACCCACTCGACGGTGCCGCACGACTGCGGGAAGGAATCGCTTACCTGTAGGCGAGACTTAGGGACTTGCTCACCGGCTGGCGGATACCCACGTGCTATCTTTCGATGCGACTGAGGGCAGTCAGCGAAATGACAGGTCTCAGTCACCAAGCGACGTCACCCAGCAAGTCACCCAAGGGACAAACACAGCAGGTGACATGGGTTTCCAGAAGGGACACCTATGGCTAAACGCCAAATACAATGAGACACGGAACGCATACTATGAGACACATCGAACAGAGAGAGCAACGGACGTCACTCACGCGTCACGTCACCAGGCGCATTTGCCTCGAAGGCTTTGCTGATTAGGCGTACCTGACTCAATCACCTACTCGCGCGACATACGATGATACTGTGCGTTGAACACCAATTATACGGACAGATCTGTCTCGGAGGTCGATTGCGCCGGATAACCATTGCCCTCCGGATTGAGACCGGTCCGGTACGACGTAACAGTACATTACAGTACATTGCGCCGTATGCGGGATAGGCCGAGATGACAATGAGCGAACATGCACTTAAGGGATACTCTCACATTACACGCACACTTCGTATCAGTCGCTGTTGCACCCGGTTACCGTCAATCTATGCAGGTCACCTCCCTCTACCCACGGACGCTCTTTTTGCCGCCAAGCGCGACACCAAAATAGCAGCCCCTTTACGCATCGCTGAAGAGCGGCAGGCTTCGACCGAAGGGACCAATCACAGACACCTGAATGACAGGCTTGTCTAACTAACGTGTCTCCGCACGAAGGGTGGAATCTTACCGTTAGACCCGTGCTCATAAGGTCATCATCCCCGTCAGCCTCCGGCGGCCTTGCCCGCCTGTCGACTGCATAAGGGAAATACGAAAGAACAACAATGAGGGACGGGTCGTGCCAGGAGGAATTACATCGAAAGTACGCGGCCCGTGCCAATACGATCTCATCGGCCACATACAGACGACAGCTCTGAAGCGTTAACAGGCGGAAGGAAGACTTCTCGAAAGTAGACAATGAGCAGTAGGAAGTTGCCTGAAATACACAGTACAGTGAAGCAGCGATTCAAGCTGTGTAGCCCAGCGATTACAGCCATACGCGCCAGACGGGGCCATACTTACCAGACGGGTATACCAGGTCGAAAGCGAGAGAGTCTCGTCTTCAAGCAAGCAATGTGCAAGAAAGGTATGCACAAGACAAGCCAGCATACGCTCTCGCTGACCGCCGGGACGGAAGAGTCTGAAACACTCGTCAAGCTGGCAGGCGGCTTGCGCCAAGATATAGACGATATCACTCATCGAGTACCCGCTCTGAGACAACCACGAGACACACTTGACGGACCGACAACACGACACGCACAGGCATACCTCGTGTAGCAGATCGAGAGTATTCAACATAAGCCGGTGTCCTTCACCGGTCACTAGGGCGGACGTCTGACAGAACCGCTTGCACGGCCCGAAGTCCACGACACGACGGGCGAGATGGGCCAAACGACACGGACGCGGCAGCGTGCCGAGCGATGGCGGCCGAGGAGTCGGGCAAAAGGGCGCCGACATTGCAAGCAACAGGTAGGGGCTAACAACTCGACGGGACAACCAGAATTGCGTGAAACGAATACTACGCTTCCTCCCACACACTAACTGCCACTCCTCTCTCATACCGCGCTACCGTTGGCCCTTTGGGAGGGCACGACACGTGCACGGGCATGGGACCGGATTGGGCCCTGCCACCTTTACGCGGTATGAGATCGGCGAAGACGGCAGTTAGAGTGTCGGCTGGGATGGATGACGACGGCTGGGCGACGACGTGCAGTCGGCGCGACCCCGTGGGAGCGGAGCCCGCCGAGCGTATGGTAGCGTACGCGTGCGTAGCGCAGCGATCGCGTACATACGCGCCGCGGGCGGGAGCGACCGATCGACACACACCGTCTCCGGCTCGCAGGTGCGCTTGGCAGGACAAGCGCTCTCCGTGATTTTTCGCACCCACCCACCCAACCCGCCGGTCCCCCGAGGGCACGACACGTGCACGGGCATGGGACCGGATTGGGCCCTGCCACCTTTACGCGGTATGAGATCGGCGAAGACGGCAGTTAGAGTGTCGGCTGGGATGGATGACGACGGCTGGGCGACGACGTGCAGTCGGCGCGACCCCGTGGGAGCGGAGCCCGCCGAGCGTATCACAACCACTCCAAGGTTTACCCACTCGAAATCTGGAAGCGGCAGCCTCGATCAGACCCCGACAGAGAGAGAGCCCTCCCTCCTCGCCTGGTCTCTCCCCCTGTCTGTCTGCCTTGTCTTCCTGTCTTCTTGTTGACTTCAGACGCTGCCTTTGTTCATCTGCTACCTTAGAAATCAATAAGAAGACTTGTTGACTGCTATCGTCCAGTTCACTTCATGGCGATTCGGGCAGTGACTGTCCTGCTGATCCTCTGCGTGGCAACGTCTGTTGAGGCAAGGCCCGCCCAACAGGTAACACGATCAATCCATTCATTTCATTTGATGTGTGAGAGGATGACTCGTGTGTTTAGATCCACTTGCGTCGCGTGCAGGAGGCCTCACCGCCGAAGGGCACATCGCTGTCTGCGTCGGAGTCTGATGCGCTGCTCGGCCTGCTGGTCAATGACACCACAGACCTCACCACACTCTACCGGTAGACACGCATCATGCCAACAGTGCTGGGATGGGTCATGTGACAGCTGATGGGCAGATTCTGTGTGTGTGTGTGTGTCTGTGTGTAGGACGTCTGTGCATGGCACCACCTACGGCGATATGCTGGACAATGTGGGCGATGCAATGCCTCTCGTGTTTGTTATTAGGAAGGACAAGTATTTGTATGTGTTTGATGTCCGTACGTCTTCGGCGCGTACATCAATTGCGGTCTGGATACTGGTACTTGTTGCGGCCTTCTTACCCGACGACCCGACCGACTGGCACTGGTACGACTGTGATCTGTGGCATTTCTCATTGGCGGGTCACTTCGGCAAGCCGACCAAGGTCGACATCATCCGAGCGGAGCAGAATGTGCGTGTGGCGGGGAGGGAGGGGAGTGTGTGGGGTGCGAATGTGGTCATCGGTGGGCGGCTGTATTTGGGTAAGGACGAGGGCAGTGACCGGCCGGCAGCCGACATCCGCAGCTGCCATCAGTACACCTTGGGCCACTATCTGCCTGAGGGCTACACGGGGGAGGGGGAGGGGGATAGCAATGGCGATCCTGCTTATCTGGGCGGGTCGGACTTCTTCCATGCGGATGAGATGGAGGTGCTACACGTGCAGCGGGTGTCCGCGCCGAAGGGCACATCGCTGTCTGCGTCGGAGTACGAGGGGCTGCTCGGCCTGCTGGGCAATGACACCACAGAACTCACCACACTCTTCCGGTAGACAGACACATCTCATGCCGTGACGCCAACAGCTGACAGATGGCTCTGTGTCTGTGTGTGTGTCTTGTGTGTGTGTGTGTGTGTGTGTGTAGGACGTCTGTTCACGGCACTGAATGGGGCGACCTGTGGGACTCTGTGCAGGGCACCAACTATGACGACCTGGACTCAGTGGGGTGGGGGGGTCTCGTGTTTGTTATCAGAAAGGACAAGTACGTCTTCGGCGTCTACAGAAGTGACGGCGTGGACCGTGATCTGTAGTATTTCTCACTGGCCGGCCACTTCGACAAGCCGACCAAGATCGACATCGACGAAGAGAGGCAGTCTGTGAGCTTGGCGGAGAGGAACAGCAATGTATACTTTGCGATATCGGGAACGGGACAGGGAACAGCGAAGCTAATGGTTGGCCAACCACCTCATCTGAAGTTGGGCTGGAGTGGGTTTGATGCTGATGGAGATGGCACTGCTATAGATGGTGAGTTTGATGGTTCCGATATCCGCAGCTGCTATCAGTACATCGACAGCGAGTATCTGCCTGAGGGCTACATGGGAGTGAGAGATGAGGATGGCGATGCGGTGTTGGGTGGGTCGCTGGAGTTCACTGCTGATGAGATAGAAGTGCTGCGCGTGCTGAGGTAGTAATGGCTGAGTGGGGCCGATGTCTGTCTGTCTGTCTGTGTCTCGTGTCACTGTTCGTTTGATGTGTCTCGTGCGGCCATTTTCATTTGTAAGAGAGAGTCGTGCGGCGTCAGCGTAGGCCAATCGGGCCTACCTGGCAAGTCTCTGTGATGCGTGTGGCTTAGCTGCCTGCCTGCCTGCCCCTCAGCACTGACGTGTGTGTGCCTCTCGTGATGAGTACCAACGCAGATACTCTGATGTTTTGTTCGTTTGAATGTTGGTTGACAGCTCCGATAAGAGGTGTCACTCAATGAAGACATGCATTACACCGACTGACCTCCGTCTGTCCATCGGTCTTTCCGTCCACACACAGCCATGCCACAAATGCAAAGGAATGCAAAGCCAAGGCAGGCAGGGAGGGAGACGGCTACGTACCGACCAGCAATAGATCAATCACAAAACACACAGCACCCACATACATACATCTATCAGATCAGCCATCGGCCACACACATGGGGCACACACTCACTCACTGACTGATTAGTACTGCACGAACGAACGAAGGCATAGCGAGGAGGGAGGGGGGAGATAAGGGGGTTCACTCACGCACTCGTCGTTCGTTCATTCATTATCACTGCAATGCACTCATCCATTCATTCTTTCATAAAGACACGCACGACACAAATCACGTATATACACACACACGCACGAAGGCAGGCAGACAGGAAAAGGAAAACGCTGCTTACCGCACCACACACACGAGAGACACATCGCAGTATGACGACAGACTGCAAAGGACACGACAAGAAAATAAAAGGAAACCCGGCCGCCCATCCACTCACTACATGCTACATGCTATACCACAGACAAGACAAAGAAACAGACAGTCAGACAGACCCACCGACCGACCGACCCAGGGCACCCGATGCAGGTAGGTATCTACGACTAAAGCCACAGCCAATGCACGCCCAAAAGAACCTCCCTCCCTCCCTCCCTCCTCGCCTGCCAACACAATTAACCAACAGCCAACCAGACACCGAGTGAGTCGCACAAAGGGCCCCACGGAAAAAAGAGCTCGTGGTCTTAGTGGGGCGGCTCACTCGCGCATCTCACTCACCCACACCTACGCCTACACCTACATGGCACCCCGGCCGCCCATTCGGTCGGTCGGTCGGTCATCGATCTCCTGCCCTGTCTGTCGTCTCATCGCAGTACACGGACACATCACGGCACGCACACGGCATGCACACGTCGATCCGCATGAACACCTGGCCACGCATCATCATGTTTGCATCTATGTCACCGGTCATCGACGATGGACAGTGTCGGAAAAAAGGATCTCGTCCGTCCGTCCGTCCGCCAGTTCGCTCCTCTCCTTCATGTGTGTCTGACTGACACAGGCGACCGAACAGCGACGAGAAAAATACGCAACACCGACACAGTGGATGGACACAGGAAGTGAGTGGATGGATGATCAACACAATGAATGGATCGATGGATGCACAGGCAGGCACAGAGAAACAAAGAAAATGCACTCCGCTCCATCAGGCATTCACTCACTCACTCATTCACAAGCACGTGAATTACACAAACACACACACATGGGTGGACGGATGGATGGATCATCACTCTCTCATGGCATCTCGCGACTTGCTGCATCTTGAGAGGCATTTGTCCGGTGTCTCGGCCTCGATGACGCCAGGCCGAGAGCTTACGACACATTGACGAGCGTAAACCTCAGCCTGACGGCTTCGAGGAGCAGACGCCAGACAGTTGCCGTGAAGATGCAGGCAGCCACTGTATGTATTGCGCATGTCACGCATCAATCCATCGCCCGCCCGCCCCGCCTGCACGCCATGTTGGTTGGCTAGACATACGCCAAAAACGAACGGATGGATGAGTGAGTGAATGAATGAACCAACCAACCAACCAGTAGCCATAAAAACCCCACACACCCCATAAACGCACTCAGAGAGACACACAGAAACGATAATAGATACAACACAGAAACAAACGATATGCGACACACATGCAGGCGGGCAATCGACGAATGTATGCATGTGTCTGGGCCCAGACGCAGCCATCCCGACTGTCTCACTCTCACCCTCTCCCCTCCCTTAATCCCTCTCCAGTTGCTTGCTGCGATGGCTGCTGCTACTCCACTGCACAACGAACGTGGGAACCACACCATACAATGAAAATAGTGCGATCCATCCATCCATCTCTCCCTCCCTCCATCCATCCACACTCACGCAACACACACCTGCCTGCGATCGACGACATATCATAAATACGGGATGCGATAGACAAGACGGACACCACACACACACACACACACACACATGGACGGATAGATCAGTGCTGCTGTGGTGTGGTGTGGTGTGGTGTGTGGTCTGTCTAGGCGTCGCTGTCGGAGTTCCTGGGCGAGGGCGGCTGGGACATGATCTCCCGCGCGTCGCCCAAGACGTTGTCAATGCGATACAGCTGCTGAGCCTGAAAGGCACCACAAGACAAGACACACACAGTGTTCATTGACGCATCTATCTATCGGTCCCTCCCATTGGGCAGGCACCCTCTCACCTGCTCGAAGTAGACATTGGCGCAGGCCGCCCTAACGGCCGCCCTGGGTGCCCATGCAAACGGCTTGACGTCGAGCTGCATCACAAACACCACGTCGATCGTCCCGTCGCAGCTCTGGCTGATCACATGGCCCCCTTGCTGCAAATCACACACACACAATGGTGGATGGATGGATGGAGGCATGTGTCTCTGTTATCTGTGTTGTGTGTGTGTTGTGTGACTGACCAGGATTTCGGCTCTGACGGCCTTCTCTTTCTTGGTGACGAGGAGGTCGTCGGGGATGTGCTGCTTGAGGTCCACGGCAGCAACCACACACTGATGCGGTGACAGCTGCACAATCACACACACACATACAGCAAATGGTGAATGGGTGTCTCGTCTCATGGATGGCTGAGTGTGTGTGCGGGCGGACCATCTCGGCGTGAGTGATGTGGCAGAGCACACGCCGGGAGTCGCTCGGGATCGAACTCTTGTAGATCTACACATACAGGTCACACCACACACACACACACATCCATCCATCCAACACACGCTCCTGTCTGTCTGTGTGTCTTGTCTTCTTTCTGACCTGGTATGTGAGGAAGGTCTCGTCGGCGACTTGTGCGACGTGCTGGCTGGCCTCGTAAAGCCAGAACTCATACTGGGCCCGCCAGACGCTATTTCTGTCGAGGATGACCTCCTTGACCTCGTGGATGTCCAGCCCGGGCGACCGCATCGTGTACCGGCCGCGGATCACGGGGTCCTTGCTATCCGGCAACGTCTTGAGCTCCAGCTGACACACATACAAACAGACAAACATGAGCAATTGCACACAAATGGATGGATGGATGAGTGTGTGTGTGGTGGGGGGCAGGGGTGCTCTGGGATATGTGCTAACCACGACGCCATTCTTCTCGGATTGAAACTTCCACTCGCTCACAGGCGACTGCGCCATCTGCACCAGCTTATGGACCGCCTCCAACGACTGCACGGACCCACACAGATACATCAGACACTGGTGCGCTCTCCCTCTCTCCCTCCCTCCCTCGCCCCTCCCTCTCTCTCTCTCTCTCTCTGTGTGTGTGTCTCTCTGTCTGTCTGCGTGTGTGTACCATGTTGTGCACTTTGACTGCAGGAATGGTGCATCCCTTCTCGCTCTCCCACCCCGGCCGTCGAAGGTCGGTGCCGCGGACGGGCCAGCAGGCCGGCCAGGTGACCATCTGGGGGTAGGGCGAGGGCATCGACACCTGGCTCACGGGCGACACCTCGCGCTCGGCCTCCTTTGTGGGGGGTATCGACTGCTTGCGCGTCAGGCGGCGGGAGAAGTTGCTCAGCTGCCGGGACAGCTTCCGTGCGAACGAGTTGCGTCGCGCCATGCTGTGCTCGCGCTCGAGGGGTGAGAGGGGCGACATGGGGTGGCTCGTCTGCTGGGTCGACTGCCGGGTGAGCCGCCCCGTCTCGCTCCGCAGGAAGATCTCCTCCTTGACCACCGCTTCCGTGCTCTGAACAAATGACGCACACGACAATACTCATTTGTTCTCCCTTCGCCCCCCTTTGGTCTTCTTACGGCTCTGATGCGCTTCTTGATGGCCTTGAGGCTCGACGTCTGTCGTGAGAGGCCGCCCATGGGGCTGGCCATTGCGGCCGGGCCAGTGGCCATGTCATGGGTGACGATCGCCTCGGGCTCCACAGCGGGTGCCGCTCTGCTCCCGTTCATGAGCTCGAGACGCCTGTCGAGGAACAGCCCGCCACCGGCCTTGTTGTGGGCGGCCCCCAGGTCCCTCTCGCCGGTCTTCATGGTGCGGAAGCGGGGGATCTTGCCGGCGTAGAATGGGGTGCGCTGGTCGGGCAGGGCGGGGAAGCAGTCGTGGTAGATCTCACCACCCAGCACGTAGAAGCTGCCCAGCACCGGGGTGGAGCCCTCCTCCACCTCGCTCACGGCCGTCTGGAAGGTCTGGAAGCCCCGGTCCAGCTTCGCGTGGGCGCTGGTGGCGCCTCGCGAGACCACCTGCACTCCCGCCCCGTTGTTGCCTGCTGTCGAGTTGGCCGACATCCACACAGACTGGTTGTCCGTGTCTTGGGCGGTGGCGGCGGTCAGGCGTTTGCCGCATCGGGTGCCTGGTGAGGGCTCCCTCATGGTCTTGGTGTGCGGGGGCGCGAGGGCGAAGCTCACGAGCTGCCGCGTGTTGAAGGCGTTGACCGTGTCGAAGACGTTGGCCACCCCCGAGTTGAAGATGGACGACGTGTCGGAGACGCCACTCTTGGTGAAGGGCGCCATCTGGTGCACTGTGGTGGCGGGGCCGCGGTTGGTAGATTCGTGTGGCTTAAACTCCTTGACGGTGTTGCTGTCGATGGGGCTTTCCTCGATGGGCGACAGACGGTTGCCGTCGGTGTGGTAGTAGCTGCTGTTGCCGGCCTCGACCGGGGAGGCCTCTCTGTCGAGAGCGTCCTGAATGCTGAGCGAGGTGGGCACGCCCTTGAGAGTGGTCTCGAGGTTGTCCAGGGGGCCAAAGAACGTCAGGATGACCGGCAAGATGATCAGGCCGTGCAGGAAGCCGAAACACAGCACCTGCAGGCACACAGACACACAGACAGGGAGGAGGGTGTTGTGTGCGTGCGTGTTGGTATGCGTGTGTGTGTGTCAATGGCGTACGAGTGTCATCATTCTGAAGAAGACGACGAATATGAACGAGTCGACTGTGACGATGAGGACGATGGCGAGGAAGGTCGAGATGGCGCCGTGGAAAATGGCGTTGCCCATCAACACCAGCGTCTCGTTCGCCCTGCACACATCAACAAACCACACACACCACACACACGGCCAATTGATGGATGAATGGATGGATGGATGGATGGCTGCCTCCTCACCTGTGATTCTTGGTGGGCCCCGTCGCGTGTGCGAATGTGTGACACACGTGGGTGGTGTAGTCGACCGAGAAACCTGCAATCGCACACACACACACACACATGACGCTCCTGCCTCCCTCCCCCTCTGTGTGTTCGTTGAGGCGTTTGTGGGTGTGTGGGTGTTTCGTAATACCGATTGAGATGATGAGGTTGACCATGGTGAGCATGTTGAGGTCGAGGCCCCAGAATTTCATGAAGGCGAACAGGCCCACGTCGATACTCAGTATCATCAAGATGACCAACACCCAACACTGCCAGTGGTGCATTAGGAAGATCGACACCTACACACACAAACACACACACACAAACCAGCCACACACATGAGACTCTCTCTCTCTCTCTCTCTCTGTGTGTGTGTGTGTGTGTGGTGCTCTCACAATGAGTACGGCCAGCAGTGCCCATCCCATGTTTTGGAAGGTGTCGAACAGGATGGTGGCGTCGCTCTCGTAGTAGATGAAGTACTCGCCAAACGCCTGACACTTTATCGCCCCCGCCTTCGCCTCAGACGCCTTGCGGCAGTCGTCGCGCGACCCCTCCATGAGCTTCAGACCGTTGACCCCCGACTTGGCGAAGAACGTCATGCGATAGCTCTCAATCGTCTCTGAGAGATAAACGGATGGATAAGGCATGCATGTGACGTGAAGCGGGATGCTTGCAAGCTTACGGTTGTCGCCTGAGAACTTAAACTCGGTGGAGAGGTAGCGACCTGTTCCTCCTAGGAATCTCTTCAGGCTGCACACACGCACACACGCACGGTCGCGTGGGCAATTTGTGTGGTATGTCCCTCGTCTCGTCTCTCTCGCCAGAGTGTCTGTGTAAGCTTACTCGGTCATGAAGAGCGTCGGGTCGTTGGTGTAGTTGGCAAGGTTTGGATTCTTTGTTCCGAACGGTCCCCCCTGTTCCTCGAAGATGCGGAGTGGGTCGAGCATGTTGTTGGGGCCCTTGGAGACGTAGTCACTCTCATTGATACGCTGCACAAGCTGCTTGTAGTTCTCCTGTTGACACAGACACACACACACACACATCGATACTTACGGTTGTGTGTGGTGTGGTGTGGACTGACCCTGGCCTCGTTTCTCCACCACTCATGCGGTTCCGGGAAGATGACCATGACCTGCTCGCCGTACGTGTCGAACCGATCCAACAACTCATCGTAGAACTCCTGCACTCATGCATATTTACATGAGGCAATTCTGTTGCGGCGTGTGCGTCGCTCTCGTTGTCGGTCAGGTACTCACCCGGTAGTAGGACTGGAACGGCGTGAGTTCGAGGAGGTTGAGGCCCATGGTCACGTTGGAGTCGCCCCAGCCACTTATGGCAAGGTATCCAAACCACATCAGCACCACCAGCACCTGCACAACACACACACACACACACACACATCATGAGCTCCCCTCCCTCTCCCCCTCCCTCCCTGGTTGTCTGGCTGACCTTGAAGGCGGGCACGGTGATGAGCCGCCCCCACACACTGCGGAAGAACTTGCGCGACCACCGCCCGACGTTGCCCTTAGGCTCCTCAAACTCAAAGTACTTGGTCACATTGGGGTCTTCCTCCCACCACAGCTTGAACGGCAGCCGCTGGCCGCCCTTGCCGTCCGACACATCGCGGCTGCCCCTCGGCACGCGCCGGGCGGGGTTGCTGGGGTCCTCCAGGTGCGTGTGGAACCACCACTCCCAGCACGTCTCCTCGTGCACCTCCCCCTCCCTCGGCCGACGGCGGCGGATGTTCTTCTCCTGGTCCCGCAGCTGGTGTGCCACGAGCTGGAAGGTGCTCATCTCCTTGCGAGTGGGGTACCGCTTGACGCCGGCCGGCTGCCAGCTGGCCGATCGCCTGACGGGATGCATTGGCTGGGTGAAGCTGGCCTTCTCGTCGTTGACGAAGGTGAGCGCCACCTCACCCGCCCCGGCCTCTGTGGATGTCTGGGAGGTGCGCCGGCTCGAGGAGCTGCTGCCGTGGCCGGTGCTGCTGGTGCGGTGCGTGTCTGCACGTGTGCTGTCGTCGCGCGTGGACTTGCGTGAGAAGCATCTGAGGCCGCAGCCGTCGAAGTAGGTGGCGAGGAAGAAGGTCTGGGGCGGCTGGGTGGCCTCGCGGCGGCAATCCAGACACAGGATGGCCACGAAAAATGTCAGCGTCAGCACGTAACCCTGGTGACACACACACGCAACACGACGACCAGCCAATCAGTGCTGCGATGCACTGGTGTGTGAGTGTGTGTGTTTGCACCCACCATGGCGAGCGCAACGGCAGTGATGATGCAGAAGTTGACGATGGCGTAGTAGGGGCTGGCCGCGCCGACACCGAAAGCGATCAGGTTGGTCAGAGTGGTGATCGTGATCGAGATACCTACACACCACACACACAGCTCTCACACCCGCCATCACGTCACCCCGTGTGTGTGGGAGTCTGAGTGCCATACTTACCGCAGTCCTTCATGGCGAGTTGGCACCTCTCTCTGGGTGAGGATGACTGGAATGCGAGTGCGTAGCTGTTCATGATGACGAACATGTCGTCCACCCCCACACCCAGCACCAGGAATGGCGTCGCCTCGGCCGGCGGCACGTGCTTCATCCCACACGCGTAGCACAGACCGGACCCCAGCAAAAAACCCAACAGAGCCGCAAGGCAGCCCATCAGGGCCGGAAACGTCCTGCAGACAGCCAGACACACAACACCAAACATACGGCAGGGAAGGATTGTGTGTGTGTGTGCGTGTCCTCGTCTCACTTGGTCTTGGATTGGTCGCATGAGAAGTTGGCCACGGCGGCGTAGCAGAAGACAATCACTCCGGCCAGGAAGAGGCGGATAAGCTCCGCAAAGCCGAGTGTCGTGCTGGCCTTCAGCTCGTCATCTGCACCACCAAGCCACACAGACACAGAGAGGGAGGGAAAGAGAGAGAGAGGCTGTCCGTCACTGTCCCTCCCTCCCTCTTCATGTGTGGTTGAGAGCTTGCCGTGCGGACCGACCGATGGATCGTCGTGCGTTTGCGTAGATGGAGACATTGTGTTTCTTGAATTCGTCCTTCCAATGATGGTGGGCCTCGTCGAGGAACTCCTGCTCCCACGCCATTGACGCTGCGCGCTTCTCGGATGACATGTCGGAGGTGTCGTCTCGCAGCGACCAACGAAACAACATCGCTGCGATCACACACACACACACATACACAGGGTGACGCTGTGACGTCATAGGATTGTGTCGGTGTGTCGGCCGGCTAATGCATACCTGATACGTTGTCGATTGTTGTCCCGTTGTTGTCGGTGCCACGGGGTTTGAGGAAGACGTCAACGGGCCAGTTGATGCCCTGCTGCAATACGTATTTATCATGGTTGGGCCAGTCGAGGGGGCGCTCCTCGGCGGTCTTGTTCGCCCAGCGGCCATTGTACATACGCAGCACGTTCTCCATCGTACACCCGTCAGTACCGTCTGTATCAATCAATGGACACACAGGGTGGCTGGGTGGGTGGGTGGGTGGGTGTCTGTTGGAGCGTTGGATGACGATGGATGGCCTCACTCACTCCCACACCCATCCATCCAATCACGTACCCTTGACGCAGACTTCATCGAAGGGGTATTCCTTGCCGTTGACAGTGACATTGCGATTGTTGAGCCCCTCCACCATTTGGTTGGCCCTGTACAGGACGTCCTCGTCCAGCAGGTTCTTGCCATCCTCCCCCACAAACAGCAGGAACGTCACACGCGGCCAGTCGCCATACCTCTCCTGGATCAAGGCCAGGTCCTGATAATAGACGTCCGTCAATCAACAGACACAACCCAACACAAATCGCACACGTGAGACCACATCTGTGCCCGCCAGTCGCGTGTGCGTGTGTGATGGTTACGCTCATGGCGTCTGATGTGGGTTTGGCGTAGAGTGTCCGGGGGTTGGCCTCCGCCTCGCGCAAGATCCACGCAGACCCCATGGCTATCGACACTATCGCGGGAATCCATATGAACTGCCAACACAGTCACACAACCACAAGACACGATGGCAGAACCGCTGTGAGGTGAGGACCTCCCTCTCTGTCTGTGTCTATGTGTGTGTGTGTGTGTGTGTGTGTGTGTGTGAATGACTTTGCTTACCCAACAGGGGTGGTCGTACACGAAGCCCGTGTACCTCTCGAAGGCCGAGTCGATGCTCTCGGTGAGCTTGTGCTTGAAGTTGGTCACGGCCTTGCTCCACTCCTCGAACCAGGAGCACCCCATCGCGACAGACAGACGGCGGGCGATGTTGCGATAACAATCAAATCAGCTGAGTGATGCGATGACCGAGTGACGCGCTGGCGGGCGAAACCGAGTCCCTCTCGTGCGATCAGGTGTGAGTACTTGTCAGACGGAAGACCAGATCTGACGGGAGATCACCCTCATGCCTCTCTCCAAGACATGTGCTGCGGCAAACGGGTCAACAAAACTTCCTTTCCAATGTGCGGAGCGATCTGCTGTCCGGCGCGGCTTGTGTGCTCGCTCCGTGCGCCTCACGCTTCACGCCTTCTTCAAAATGCCGCCGATCGTCTTCTCTCAACCCTAAACCCTAATTGAGCTCGCAAAGATGGCTAAGCTCGCAGACGCGAGAAGGGACCAAAACCGTGCCGAAGGGTCTGGTAGGCCTTGCGCGATCAGCGTTTGGCTTTGTCTGATCAGAGGAATCCGAAGAAGTGGATGACGACGGGTCTCCGGAAATGATGCCTTCTCGCAGTTTGCCCATCGCGCCGCCGGCCGGGGAGCTGATCTCGGAGGCCGCGGCGAGCAGCTGCACCATCCTGCTACTGGACGCGCCGAAGGACATCGATGTGGGCATCGACTACCACTTCTGGAAGATCGGTCCGAGGTTCATGGGCATCAAGCTCATCCCGCCTGGGGCGCACTACATCTACTGGAGTCCGCCGGGCGAGGAGGGCGATACCAGACTGGGATACTTCCTCTACCTCAAACCCGCGCAGGTCACATGACGACCATCTGGACAAACAGGCAGAGAGGCAGACAGACAGACAGACAGACATTCATTCACTCACTCGTGTGGCTGTGCAGGTGGTTGTTCGTCGGTGGAACGCAGAGGCGGAGGTGTTTGACGTCGTCTCGGAAGATGTATGTATGCAGGAGGGACAAATAGCGAGAGGGAATGGCGCACGTCGCGATGTGTGGGATATCGTCGTTCGCTCGCCGTGTGTGTATGTGTATGTGTGTGTGTGTATGTGTATGGTTCAGGAGGAGACTCGTTACGGCGATGGCGTGTCCAACCTGCACTTTGAGCAGAATCTGGGCCCCTATCCGCTGGAGCTGGCCTCAGACTGGTCAGAGCTGTCCAGCCACATCACACAAACCATCATCGACAAAGTCGAGGTCAGCCAACACCATCCGCATCATCCCTTAGACATGTATTATGTGTGTGTGATCAGCCTGTTGGTCACCGCATTGCCTCACGCGGCAAGGAATACGACGCTGAGGACAAGAGGAGGATGGAGCGAGCCACCGGCCAGGAGAGTGTGAGCCTCCCAGCACCCCCGCCCGCAAAGAGGAGAGGCGTCAGCTCATCCGCAGAGTCGGCCCCGCCAGCTGTGGCACAGGAGCCCTCAGAACCACCACAGCCAGCAGCAGAGGACGCCCCGACGGAGTCATTCGACAGTGAGTTTCCAAGTGCTGAGTGCTTCAGCTTGCTGTGCTGTATGTCATCTATGTGTGTTGCGCATGGGTCAGGTTCGTTCCGTGGCCGGGTGAGCAGCGGGACTGTCTTCTTCTCCGATATACCCAAGACGAGGATACCACCAGGTGGCTGGGCGGGCGGGAGGGTGGATGGATGGATGGATGGGAGAAAGTTCGACGCAGCAAGGAGAGGGTGGATGAGCCTCATTACTCACTAATTTGCTGTGCTGCTTGCGCTGTGCATGTCGTCAGGTTCGTCCCCCTCTGACGTGACGAGGCTGTCTCTCGATCGGTCCTCATGCCTGGAGAAGCTACTCACAGCTAACTACAGGAATGGTAGCGAAAGCACAGGCCATAGAAGAGCTGCAGTGAGGGATGCATGGTGTATGGTGCCCTTCAGACGATCGTGGCATCCTTGGAGAGCTGCAGTTCGCCTACATCGCCTTCTTGCTGGGACAGGCAAGGCTGATGGGTCGATGGATGGACACGAAAAGTGTGCTACGCTGACGGCTGTTTTGTGTGTTTGCTGGTTGCAGAACTTTGACGGCTTCGAGCAGTGGAAGGCCCTGGTGAGATGGCGAAACGGACGGCCACACATCCATCCATTGATGGCTCATCGGCATCCGAGTGTGTGTGGTGGCTGTCTTTCACTCCCTCAGGTGACGCTCTTGTGCAATTGTGAGGACTCGATAAGGGCCCACCCTGACCTGTACTGCGACTTCATCCGTACGCCATGCAGCCACACACAGCCAGCAGCACTCTGAGTCAAGGACACCGTCTGTGTTGTGCTTGCAGGTGTGTTGTACGCACAGCTGAAGCAGGCCCCTGACGACTTGTTCACCGACAGCCTCCTGCAAGGCAACTTCCTCACTTCTGGCCTATCGGTCAGCACAGCGCCTATAGTGTATAGAGGCCACGTCTGCCCGAATGTGTTATTGTCGTCGATGTGTTGTGCATGTGTGTGTGCAGAGTCTGTGTGAGCTGTGTACTGACGCGTCAGCGCCCCCCAAGCTGAGGAGAAGGGTCGACTATCTGCGGGATCTGATCCGCTCCAAGTTCAAGATGTCTCTCGAGGAGATTGAGGGCCTCGACGCCGACGCTCCCATAGTCGTTGACCTGCAGGAGGAGCAGAGAGCCATCGACAGGGCCAATGCTGAGGCAGCGGCTCGCCAACACCAGCAGCAACAACAGCAGCAGCCGTCTGTATCAGAGGCGGACATGATGAATGGTCCAGACCTCAACTCGACTATCGGCAGCGGCCTGAGCTCGGCCCCCGAAGACCCCATGGAGACATAGGGAGCACTGTGAGAATGCTGTGGCTGTGTGGGGGTACGGGGAGGGATGACTGATAAGGGAAGGGAACTTCATTGCCGATGGATGTTCTCTTTTTCTGTGCCGTCCACGACAGTAAAAGGCTTCATGGTTCTCCTGTCCAAACGTAAATCTCGCAGACCGAACTTTCGGAGCGCGCGTGCCTTTTGTCGCACAGTAGCCGGGTAGCGTGATGGATAGCGAGAGCGGCCGTCAGCGACCCCCCAAACGCAAAGCTGCCTTGGCGGCAGCAGCTGCATCCGCACGCCATCGCACGAAGCGCGAGTGTCTTGGTGATGATTATGATGATGATGAGATGCATGATGTCATGGCTGAGAGCAGCAGTCCATCGGAGGGGGTGTCGGACTGGGAGGAGGAGGTCATGACGCGGCGCAGCAAGGCGGCCGCGGCCAGCAAGAAGCAGCGGCGCGCCAACACAGCCAAGGGCAAGGCCGCGGTCAAGCCGGAGGCCCATCAGGAGGGGGAGGGGGGTGATCACAACGGGGTGAAGATGGAGGATGGGATGAAGGAGGAGGCGGAGGGGGAGGGGGCGGGAGGGGCTGCCGATGATGATATGGAGGTAGCGGGCCGCACGTGTGTACAAAGAGGACGGTCCACACAGAATGGATGGATGTATTTTGTTGTTGTGGTGTGTTTTGATGCATGCATCAGGATGCGGCGGCTGGTGTGGCGGCCAAGGGTCCTGGCGACATGCTGGCCGCGCTCGACGGCGTGGCTGATGCTCTCATACAGCAGTTCGTGTATGTCAAGCAGGCCAGGGCCAAGGTAAAAAGGTCAAGGGGAGGGAGGAGGGTGGAGAAGCCGCGGCATTCACGTGTCGTTGGCTTTGTTGTGTGCGCTGGTCTCTTCTCAGGCCCATTCTGTGTTGGCCGCGATGGATGCCCTCCCGCCTGCACACTCATACGGCGAGAATCTCCGCATACAGGTGACAGCACAAACCAATCCCACGTCCATTTTCCCCTCTTGTTGTGAGTCTGTCTGTCTGTCTGTGTCAGGCCGTTGAGCAACAGTGTCGTGGTCTGATATCCATGGGGTGTCGCGACACCGAGGCACAGCTGCACAGCACGGCCATCACTGCCAGGGGCCAGACGGAAGAGCTCGTCAAGAAGCTGGACATGATCCACAACCAGATGAACACTCTCAACCAAGACGAGAACGAGGTACGTGGAACATGCAACGCGCAAAGAGGGAGGGCAAGACGATACCGTTGTTGTGGCAATGTTGCCTTCCCTTTCCCTCTGTCAGGAGCATTCGTTTCTGCTGAATCTGCCTGAGTTCCTGTGGATGAGCGACGACGAGCGCATCGGCATCGGCGGCTTCCTGGGATTCATCTTCTGCATCGAGTCCCTCTCGTCCGTTAGCGCGCACTTCCACTCCCTCACCACCCAGCAGCCCGCCATGCACCCAACAGTCGAGCTCAACCGCAACCCCAAACCAGACACCGCCGCCAAATGGACAGGTAAGAAGAGAGGAACACACACGCAGGGTTTCTGAATCCATATCATCATATGATGGTTCTCCCTTCATGCTGTTCAGAGCTGCTATCGTCGTGCATGTATCTGCACATCAACAACCTCAAGGTGACCCCCTCCCTGGTGCGTCTGCTCGAGGCCATGGCAGCGACCCTCAGGGAGGTCCGCCTGCACGGAGCGGCCCCTAAAGGCCAAGGTGATACAGAGCGAGTGCGTGCCCAGGAGGTCACAAATGTCATCTCTCTTGTCTGTTGCCCGTGTGCATTCGTTCGTCCAGATGGCTGCCTTAGGAGGGACTGGGATGATGAGTTCGGAGGCGGCTTGTACCGTGAGCCCATCAAGATGCAGCCGCGGGGTGAGCCGCTGGTCTTCCCCCACCTGCGCAAGGCCTTCGTGCTCGGATCGTGGGGCCAAATCGCTCAGGTAACGAGAACTGCCACACACACTTCCCTTCGTCTCTTACACAAACGCACTCTCTCTCTCTCTCTCTGCATGTGTGTCTGTATGTGTGTGTGCCTTCAGGACCGTGATTACCAGTTGCCGGCGCTGACGGAATTGGGTGTGGTTGAGCTCGTGCACTACAGTTTCGCAGCTTCGGCGGCCCCTCGCGTTTGGGTGGAGCGGGCATCAGCCGGCCTCAGGTCGGTCGTCGTCGAGCGGCATGCCACCAAGAGGTACCTCAACGATGTCGGCGACCTCGTCAAGGGCACCATCTCAGGTCAGCCCCCTTGAACATGCACACGAAGGCCTTATAGGCTGTAATCGAAGGCATCCGTCCTGCGTGCGTACGTGTGTGTGTGTGTGTGTGTATGTGTATCAGCCTCGACTCTCACGAATGTTTCGGGCGTCGACTACGGCGGTGAGGATCGCTTCAGAGACCACGTTGTGGCTTTGCGCAACGTACAGATGACACTCCCCCGCCCAGCTGCCGGCCTCGTCGTCGACGACCGCCCTGTAGTCGCAGAAGTCGATATCGTTCGGGTACACATCAAAACACAAAACGAAGACAACATCACAACACATAAAAACAACACGTGTGTATCGCATTGGTGTGTCTCTGTGTGTATGTGGCGTCAGGGTCTGCACCAGTTTCGCACAACGTGCCTGGCCCCCAACGCCACCGAGACGTACGTGGGCGACCAGCGGCGAAGGTTTCCCACTCGCCGCTGGCAGATGCTCCTGCCCCCAGCGCCCGTCGAGCTGCGCCTCCCCCTCTCGGGCGCTGCGGCCGACCTGGCTCCGTGCCTCCCCACACTGGAGGTCCTCGCCGCACAGGCGAAGACCGTCATCCTCACCACACACGCAAGCGCAGCGGAGGAGAGCCATGCCGGAGTGGGCGCCTTCGTGTGCGGCAACCTAAAGGAGCTGACCATCCAGCGGGCACCCGACACCTTCACGCATCCACTCCCCCCCTACGTGGTCGCCACCCCTGCCGTCGCCTTCCCGGCCGTCGAGGCAGTCGTGGTCCAGGAGCAGGGGGCGGGGTTCTATGACGGGGGGGTGGGTAGCATCCTGCCAAAGCTGCCTTCTCTCGAGCGCGTCACCTTCAGTAGGACGGTGGCCGCCATCCCGCACACCAAGCTCTGTCTCATCCCTACGTGTGTCGGAGTTTTGGCCACGGACGGCAGGCCGCTCACGGTAGCCTTTCATGTGACGATAGGCAACCTGCAGAAGGCCAACTCGACCAGCCATTACATCAGCTGGTCGCTCTATGGTGGGGAGGGTGGGGAGGGGGCGGGGGCTGGGGCAGGCATAGAGAGGGAGAGAGGCCTCATGCAGAGTGGCCGAGTTAGCCGCATCGAGGTGGAGATCAGCATGACAAGTGGGGGAGGTCGGGCGTCAGGTCTGAGTGAGAGCAGGGCCAAGGAGATGCACCGCTCTTTTGCCGAGTGTGTCGCCGAGGCCTTTACCGCCAATTCATGTCTCGACTGTGTGGCTCTGACTGTTCGTCCGCCTCCCCGTTACAACCTGCTGCGTGTGTTGAGTGATGCATCCAAGGGTCGCTTCATTGTGTCGCCCCCTGACGGCGATGACAGCGATGCCTTTGAGGTGCGCCGCATCAAACACGAGCAAGAAGAATAAAAGGAGGGGGGGCCAAGAGAAAGAGAGCAAAGATAGGCTAGGCTCCACACACACACACACACACTCTCTCTCTCTCTCTCAAAATTCCATACACACAGAGTTTCTCGTTAGCTGGGTGGGCGGCCCTGTACAGTACAAGAGGGATAACGAGACGTACGGATGCAACGCAGTGGCTGGCTGGCTGGCTGCATGACTACTCGTGCGGCAGTTGATGGATGGATGGATGGATGGATGGGTTGATGGGAGGCGGCTGTGGTGTTTGTGTCTCTGTTCTAGTGCTACGCACAATAGAGACACAATCACGGCCACTCACTGCCTCGGTTCATGAGTGTGAATGTCTGTTTGGCTGTCTGTCTGTCTGTCTGTTTGGCTGTTTGTGCTGAGAGGATGGGACCGAAAATGATCGACTCCAACTTCAAGGCCGAAGTCACAGGACAAAGATGCGTCCACACACACATGTACATCGCCCCCCCCCCCCATGGATGGGCGGATAGCATCATCCACCCAGTTAGTGCATCCCAGCAAGTCGCCTCACAAACCTGGTCAATCGATTCATTCAGGTGCACCGTGTGTCGGTCTGTTAAGCGAGAGACATCACGTAAGGTCAATGCGGCTGAGCTGACACAGATGTCGATTCGCATCGATATCAGACAGATCAGCTCATCCCATCACGATCACAGCTCGAGCGAAGAGTGGCCACCTCTCGCATGAGATTCTCCTGGCCCTCCAGCAAGCATGCAGCTTGCCGCCATCCAGTCGATCAGCTGGTGGAAATCCTCCGGAACCGCTATTTTTGTTCCATGGAGAGTCTCCAGTGGGGGCTGCATGCATGCAGATCGTTACGCCCCCAGTCTCATCCGCACATCCTGTCCGGTGTGGACCTCTTGCCGCATTGTGGCAGTGGTTCTGGTGCTGGGGCTCTCACCAGCCGAGGTGCTCATCCCGCAAGTGGCTCATGCGTTTTCTCTTCGGTCTCTTGCAACGGGAAGGGCGGGCCTGAAGCGTTTCATGAAGCCAATGAGTACAAGGAAAGTGTGTGAACTTAAATTCGTCTATTGCCACGTGCTGACGGTCGATGCAGATGGCAATCCTCAGACGGAAGTGAGCACTTTTCTTCTTGCGCTCCATCGATGAAAGGGCGAGTTCACGGAAGACCCGTTCGTGTATTTGTGTTCAGGTGCCCGACGTCTACACGTTCTGGAAGAAGAAGAAGCAGAGGGACGCACTGAAGAAGCTTGACAGCCATGGCCAGTTTGCCGCCTCCACTGGGGAGAAGTACCAGATTAGGTGGGATTTGATGCCATTGGCACTATACATGTCTTGCTCCCGTGTTGAGACGCTGTACGGCACTGCGTGTGGGTATCTCAGATCTTCCGCCGGAGCGCACGGGGTTGTTGTCTTTGCCGACATCGATGAAGGTGGGGTTGTCTTTCTAAAGCGAGTGACTCAGCTGTGACTGCGTGTCTCAATTGTATGCAGCACACATCGACAAGCCCTTTGGCTTCCCCGAAGACAAGCTCAAGACCTCTCCCGGTGAGTGGGACAGTGAAGAGAGCAACGGATGTGCCGACAAATGGATGAGACACAAAATTCAATGACTGTATGTCTCACTCTGATGCAGACGAGAAAGTCAAGCTGCTGCCTGTGGTCGTGAAGCTGTCCAAGCATGAATACCAAAGCGGAGTCCAGGAGTTGGAGCTGGCTAAGGAAAAGACGGCTTACAAGGACCTGTGGCAGACGGCTCAAGCAGAGCGCATCCTCGATGCCATCCCCCGAATCCCTCACTTCTACGAGCCGAAGAGTGCAAAGGGCGCTAAGGAGTACCTGATCATCGACGAGATGGCCGGTGTGCCAGTGGGCGAGGTGCTGGACATGATGCAAGACTTTGTCATCAACAAAAAGGCTGGGATCGACCCAAACGCCACAGTGTCGGTCAAAGGGCGCGTGTCGCTTGTCGGAGACGAAGGCAGAGACCTCTCGTCAGTCGAGATGCCGTTTTGGCGCTTCCTGATGCTGCTTCTGCTCGAGGGCGTCTATCACATGCATGGACACGGCATGCACCACTGCGACATGAACGAGTAAGTTAACGCACCAGTGGGACACACACATACCATTTGTACTATGGACGCATCCATGGGAACACACAGCGGCAACATCCTCCTTCCGCTCCAAAAAGAGGCCATCGACGAGCCATTCGGCTTCCAGATCCCCGGCAAGGTAAACGAGGTGACATACATCTCGGCAGTCAGCTCTCTCTTTTTGTGCAGGATGGGGCCATGGTGTCCACTGAGATATCAGCTCACAATCTGCAATTGATCGACATCTCGAGGATGATCACCACCAAGCCCGAAAAGTTCGGGCCGTGCCTGCCCCTCTTCCAGCCCGACATAGCCAGACTTGGCTGTATGCTCTACTGGATTGTACATGTAACCCTCGCGCAGACCCCCGGCCACCAGAAGGCTCTCGAGATGCTGTCGGCACTGCTGGACCCCGCCAAATCTTGCCTCGTGAACTCTCGAGAGCTCAAACGCAACGAGCTCATCCAGTGCCTGACAGACGATCGGCTTCCTGCCGGCACAGGTATGTCATGCGAGTCGTTTGCTGTCGTCGCCCGACACGGAATGTACATTCTTCCCTGTCATGAATGTATGCAGAGGCCGAGGGGCGCCGCCAGCTCCTCATCGCTGGCCTGCGCTCGCCATACTTAATCGCGAAGACCTTCGATCTGGGCGGGAAGCAACGGGACGTCGACCTGCGCGGAGGACTCATGGAAAGACCATGGGATGCACGCGGGCATGTGACGCCGAAGTACGAGAAGCTGATCGGCTGGATGCAGGCGAGCTGCTCACGGAGGGGCGAGGACGACCTGATGCGAGAGATAGCCTCTCTGGCACTCGATGCAAAGTAAAAAACATCATTCTTTGCGACGCGGCTTTAAGTTTGCGTTACAGCAAAGGAAACAATTGCAGGCGCGTCCAGCAGTGATCGCAATGGACGCGTCGTCTCGTCATGATAGAATGGACATGTCAGCTCAGCGAGTGGGCGTACCCGCATTGACCTTACGTGATGTCTCTTGTTTGACAGACTAACAAACCTGGATACCTGGATGAATCGAAAGGGTTTATGAGGCTTGCGGCGGTCTTTCGCGTCTCGTGAACCAGTCAGGGCGCATGTATGTCAAAATCACAACTGCATGTTCCACGCGTGTGTGGCCACACCAACCCGAGTCTCAGGATCCTTGGACGCCTTTGCATCTCGGGCAATTCGGTGTGTGTTCCTGCATGCCATTCAAAGCGGGCGACAAACCGCGAGCGAAAGGGAAAAAGAAGATTGAAGAAGTGGATGTGGTTGAGGGTAGGGTGCGGGGCATGTGGCGGAACAAACAGCGCGAAAGCAATAGAAGCAATCCCCTCACGAATCCCCCCGCGATCGGAACAAAGCTTGCAGACTCTGTCACCCCGAAAGAGGGTTCCGCGTAGAAGTGAAGAAGCCTTGTGAGCTCTCCCTTGTGAACTCTGTTAGCTCTCTTAGCTCTGGGGGCTCTGCCTTGTGAGATCTTCATCTGCTGCGTGCAGTCTATCACAAGGCCAATCAATCAATAGCAGGTGCAGGCCCACGCATCGCCCAGCCACCCATCTGTCTATTCATCCACGTGTGTGTCGGTGTGTTGTGTTTGATGCCTGCAGGGTCGCTGCTGTCCAAGCCGTCCGTCAGAGTATATCCCGGATGCAGGTGTTTCGATGCCCTACTCGACTGCTCATCCGTCCCGGGATCCTGCACGGCGCGCTCACGAGCCTGCTGAACGAGCTTCCCACTGGCAGAGTTCTCCTCGTGACAGATCAGGGGCTGCGCTCGTCGCGATGGTGCCACACGGCCATGGATGCCATACGCACAGCGGCAGGCGCACCTCGGGAGCTGTCTGTTTTCGACTCTATCGAGGTGAATCCGAGGCTTTCCACCGCACGCAAGATCGGGGAGATGGCTGTGTCGGAGGGCGCTTCTGCTGTGGTGGCTCTGGGAGGTGGATCAGCCATCGATGCTGGAAAGGCCGGGGCGATGCTTGCAACTAATATGAGCAGTGAGAGCGCGGACGATGCGCTGCTAAGGTTTGTCGGGCGGAACAAGTTTGTACATCGGCCGCTGCACTTTGTGGCTATCCCCACAACATGCGGGACAGGCAGCGAGTGCACGTGGGTGAGCGTGCTCAGCCATCCCAAGACGAGGCGAAAAGGTCAGCACCACCTGCACACTGGATGGATGGACTTCGGCACACACGCGTGTGTCTGTGCGTGTCATGTGTGCCGTCCGTCAGTGTCGATCAAGGGTGATGGCATGTATCCTTATGCGGCCATTGTGGATGCCGAGCTGCTGACCACATTACCAGTCCACCTGATTGCCCAGACAGGTGAGTGAACCCTCCGTCGTGTGTGGCTCATCAGTTACTTGAGCCTCTTTCCATCCCTGTTTGCCGTGTGTGTTGTGTGCAGCATTCGATGCGCTCACACACGCCATGGAGGCTTTCACCGGCCTTCCCGCCAACCCAGTGTCAGACGCATTGGCCATCAGGTAACTCACCCACATCAATCACGAATGGTCGTTCGTCATTGTCTCTGTTTATGTGTGCAGGTCCATCCAGCTGATCCTGGTCCACCTTCCTGCAGCTGTGGCTGCCACGTCCGCCCCTCCCTCTGAGCCGCTCGAGGAAGGTGCCATTCTCTATCCATTCAAGGCTCTCGCTGAGGCGTCCACGATGGCCGGTCTTGCGTTCAGCAACTCTGACGTAGGCGGCGTCCACTGCCTGTCGGAGAGTATTGGCGGCGCATACGACGTGCCGCACGGTCTGGCGAATGCCACCCTGCTGGTACCCTACTTCAGTTCGTGCCTTCGGCGGGCTGTTGAGGGAGAGGGTGAGGGCGGCCGCGGCACACGGCTAGAGGAGAGGCTCTTTGAGATCGCTTCTGCAGCTCTCACGGCCGTCAAGGAGGCCAACAGCGGGAGAAACACCAACACAGAAGGTACGAAACCAACACAAAATATCCATGTCTGTCCACCCACCCACCCACCCACCCATACACGAGTCTGCTTCCATTCAGATGAGTCGTGGTATGGCCATCTGCGTGACCACGTTGACAAGAGCACCGAGCTGCCGGCCACCGAGTGGCTGCTGTGGTCCATCCGGGACATCCAGCAGCGGGTAGGCGGCATCCCTGAGCGCTTCGACACTGCATCATTCAACCAACCCTTTGACATGGAATGGGTGGCGAGAGAAGCGGTGCTGAACAATTCCAACCCGTCATGTCCGCTTGAGATGACTGAGAGAGACTATGAGGCAGTGATGAGTGAGGTCACATGACAGGATGCATGTGCACGCGACGTACTCGAGTGGATTTATCATGGATGTTGCCTTGTGCATATGGGTGGAAGCTGTTGGTTCTGTGCCACATAAAATGCTCAGGAAGGAACAGCATGACGAGGAGGATGAGATCTATTCAAATCCTCTGTCGAGAATCCGCGGGCCCCAGAGACGGGCCCCATTTTCAAAGCGCGTTTTTCTTGTTTTTCTCGCGTTTGTCATTAAGGAGGCGAGGAGAACCGCGTGGGAGAGGCCTCTCCCATTTCAGAGCAAGCAGCTGGAGGCCGTGCACATGGCCGTCGCCGGCAACCCCCACAGCGGCGTCACGAGGAGGACCTCTATGTGGAGATGAAGAAGTGCGAAGGCGTTAACCTCATGACCTTCCTGGAGTCCCAACGGAGTGCCACAAGACGAGACCATCAAAGCGGAGAATTGCATTTTTCAAGATGACGAGAGCGTCCTGAAGCTTATCGATTTTGATCTGGCTGTGCTAAAGACAGAGTACAATAGCGACGACGATGGGGGATTCTGCCGAGGAAGGATGGCGGTGCAAAAAGAAAGAGGAGGCCTGCGGAGAGCAGACAGTCAGGTGCCCTTCTCAGAGTTCAAGGAAGGTAAGCCGGGGCCTCATCGCTTCTTTCTGCACCGATGTTTGTGCGTGTGTGTGTGTGTGGTTTTGTTTCTGTGCAGTACAACCACTAAAAACCACTAAAGAAGAACACGAAGGGCCAGCGGGCCAACAAGAGGGGGGGTAAGCGATACAAAGCCGACGTCATGTTCCATTCCATTGATGCACGCACAGGGCACCGGGCGGCCGGCTGCCACGGCCTGAGGAGTTCTTGGAAGCATTCGGGGAGAACATCAAGAAACAGAAGGGAGAAAAGGTGAACTCGGACCGGCTCAAGACGCAACTGGCGGGCCAGGCCCGGATGTGGGACAGCCAGGGAAAAGAAGGAAGCCTCCGTAAGCGACCGTGCATGGTTGGCTTTGCTTGTCTGCACCCGCTTTGCCTTCAGAGCCCTCGGAGACAACGACTTCATTGATTGAACGCCTCGTGGCGAAATTCTGCCCCGAGAAGAAGGTAAGCGCTTCACCGCTTATCCACCGGTGATTCACAGGACTTCTCCGTTTCCTTTCCCACTTCTCTTTGCTTCAGGAAGAGAAAAAATGAATCTCACCTGACACTATCAATGAAAAAATGATTTGAGGCCTTCGTCGATAAGCAGCCATTCATTGATGTAGCTCAACTTGCCCGGCTTCTGGAAGTGTCGCGTTGGCGACTTCTATACGCCGCCGCATGGCACCGAGTGCCAGATGTGCGGCCGACCTCGAGGTAGGCGCCTTGATTGTCTGTCACTGCACGTGATTGTGTCGTGCTGTGATTGATTTGTTTCGTTCCGCTCAGGCGAGGGCGAGGAGTGCGACGACGGTGAGTAGGGAGGAAGAAAACGACAGAAAGACGGTCTCCATTGTGCGTATGAGTGTGTGTGCGTATGCGTGTTTGCAGAGGGTGGGCCAGGACCGGCTGACCCACCCCAGCAGGGTATGAAAAGGCAGCATTCACGCGCCATCATGGTCCTGTATACATTCATTCTTTGTCTCACAGACCGGTCAGCTGATGTACACTTCGTCTTCGTTTCATGGCTGGGGTGTGCATGAAAGTATTTGTGGGCGTCTGCCATGATGTATGTGTTCAGGCGAGGCGCAGGGCGGCAAGAAGAAGAAAGGTGGGATACTGATGCGAAGCAAGACATGAGAATGCACCGCCCCTTCCTATTTCTTTGTCGCTAGGCAAGAGGGCCTGGTGCTCCTCCATTGGAGAGGTGCTCGAGGCCATCGGCCAGAGCCGCCTCCAGCAGCAGCAGGCCAAGGGCAAGACCACGCTGCTGCGGGGGTGGCTCCAATCGGAGTCTCAAGGGGAAAGAACGAAGTGGGCTAATCAGGGAAGCCACTCAACCTGCGTAAGAGGACAGACACGACATAAACGTCTTCATCGAGAATGTCATGTTTGTCCTGCTTAGCATACGGGAAGAAGTGGCCCCACCTCATGCAAGACAAGCTCAACAAATTCTGCGGCCCGCAGGTCACTCTGCATCACCACCAAAAAGTTCAAGTCGCTGCCTGTCGATGTGTCTGTCTGTCTGTCTGTCTCTCTCCAGCCATCAAGCCCTGACAGCAAGAAGAAGAAGGGCGCTTGTACAGGGGAGGCAGTGTGTTTGAAGGTAGGCAACGAGACTAGAAGCCGCGGCGCTTGTATATTTCCCTCTCCTTTCCAGGTGCGCAAAAGGGACATCCCAACGTCCCCACCAAAGCGTGTGTGTGGCCTCTATCTGTCTGCCCTTCAGTGACGACGAGATGGTTGAACCCCTGTACGAGCTTTCCGGGGTACGTGGGAGTATCGAGCTGCAGGAAAGAGAGTTAATCGTTGTGCATGTGACAGGTCTGTACGGGGGTGAGAGAGAGAATACACTCGCATATGCAAAGAGAATATCCTGTGGGTGTGCAGCGAGGGCTCCACAACTACGGTCAACGTCGGCAGGGGACTCCTCACCGAGAACGTCACCGAGAAGCCCCATGTCTCTCCTTTTGTTCAGGTGCACAAACCCAGAAACCTTGACTCACTCGTTGGACACACAGGTGGTGAGTGACTCGACACAGAGAGGGGGTGAGATAGTGAGACTGTGCCTGTCTTGTTCGTTTCTTCTCAGTGCCATGCTGAAGGACGTCCATACTATCATCGCCCAGAAGCCCCACAGCGGCGTCATCGGCTTGCTGGACCTGCTGGAGCACGAGAAGGACTTCTACGTCGTCATGGAGAAGTGCAAGATGGAGAAGTGCAAGGGCATCGACCTCCAGAGATCTTCCAGGTACATAGAATGCGGGTCTGTTCTCTGGAAGAGTCGATCTGATCAGACAGACAACTCTTCTGTCAGGGGGCCGAGTTCGCCGCTCGCGACGGGTGGACCGACGCCATAGATCTCGCCAGCCGCCTGTTGGCTTTGGATCCCCGTCTCCGCCCATTCGGTGAGTACGTCTGTGCCGATCTACATATCACTCACCACACATGCAGCGGAGGATGCACTGAAGCATCTATGGTTTGCGGCTGCGGGGCAGCAGCAACAGAAACAGCTGCATACGAGCATACTCCCTGTGCACGTTCAGCCTGGGAACCTGCAACCTCGCACGGCCGCCGCAGATATGCTCGGTAAATAAGGGACAAACACATGTACATGTCTCTCTCTCTCTCTCTCTCTGCGTATGTACACGTCCACATAGGCCTGGGGACGTTCTCCACCTGTGTGCATTCTGTGTGCAGCTGGTGCACAGAGATTTCAAGCCCGACAACCTACAAGCCCGACATGAATGGGATTATTTGTCCCGGCACCTCGTATTACATGGCACATAGAAGAGGCAAAGGCACAATCAAACAGACTGGCAAAGAGATACGTTCACGACGCAAACGCACTTTATGCTGCAGGCCCCCGAGTGCTATGCTCACGAGTACAGCAAGGCGTCTGACATGTTTGCCGTCGGTGTGATCCTGTGAGGAATGAGGTCGTATAAGAACTCCTCGTTTGGTTCCATTTTCGCACCTTCTTCCTTTCGCAGATTCACCATCATCTATGGGGAGTTTCCCTTTGACATCGGCAATGAGCTGCTATATTCGGAGAGGCGAAGAATACTGAAAAAGGTTGGACGAGTCGTCAGTCAGTTCTCGCTTTCAGGGGCCATACTTCGATCCCATGATCCAAGCAAAAGGCCAATGGGTCAGATACCGACGGCATCAGATTCCATCTTGTTTTGTCTTGTCTTGTCCTGTTGTGCGCAAACGCAGCCGACACAGCCCTGAATCATCCATGGTTCACAGGAAAGCCGCCACCCAAGATTGACACGATCGTGGCAGACAAGGTGAGCAGCGACGTCAACAAACCATTCATTATCCCCGCTCACTCAGTCGCTTAGTACTCTTGTGTCTCTTCTGCTGTTGGCCCTAGAGGGAGCAGGCAGCTCAGCCTGAGGCAACGATCGGGACTTTGAAGAAAAGGGCATGCAATCGACACCCAGTCTAGGGGAGCAATGCAAATCACACCATCGCCGTGTGTCATTGCTGTCGATTCAGGTTGAAACTCGGAAAACATGTACACAGTCAGGTGCCTTTCTCGGCTTTCAAGGAGGGTAAGCCGAGGCATCATCGCTTCTTTCTACACCGATGTTTTGTGTGTGTGTGTGTGCGTGTGTGTGTGTGTGTGTGTGCAGCACAACCACTCAAGAAAAACACGAAGGGCCAGCGGGCCAACAAGAGGGGGGGTAAGCGATACAAAGCCGACGTCATGTTCCATTCCATTGATGCACACACAGGGCACAGGGCGGCCGGCTGCCACGGCCTGAGGAGTTCTTGGAAGCATTCGGGGAGAACATCAAGAAACAGAAGGGAGAAAAGGTGAACTCGGACCGGCTCAAGACGCAACTGGCGGGCCAGGCGCGGATGTGGAACAGCCACGGGAAGGAGCGAAGCCTCCGTAAGCGACCGTGCATGGTTGGCTTTACTTGTCTGCACCCGCTTTGCCTTCAGAGCGTCCGGAGACAAGAAGTTACCTCATTGAACACCTAATTTTGCCCCGAGAAGAAGGTAAGCGCTCCGCTTCTCCACCAGTGATTCACAGGACTTCTCCGTTTCCTTTCTACTTCTCCTCGGTGCTCAGGTTGGCAAATGGCCAATCGTTGTCTACATTTTATATGTGACGGAGACATGAAGTGCAGACACATCGCCGTCACCCCGTGGTGTCTGGTCAGTGCAAGGAGGAAGGGAGGAATCGCGGCGTACATTTTATATTTGCCCGAGACGTGATTTGTATCCTCCGTGGTGACATTCGTGACGCATTCATGGACACGTGTCGGGGTTAGATCAATGGGATCCGTCGATCCACACGGAGTCAGCAAAATTCCCACACATGAAGGTCGGTGTATGCAGAACAGACGCAACACATACAGAGAGAGAAACTGCTAGCTACTTGCGCAATCCACTGCACAAACAAATACACCAATGGCCCCGCCTACGAAAAGCTAGTGGGAGCGAATACATATATACACACACACACACACACATATACGTTGGAGAGAAATACGAGACACACACTAGCGAGGGCACAAATGAATGATTGGCCGTCGAGGTAGGATGTTTCTGCGCATGCGCACGAGCAGAAGTACGGCGCACTCCTGACAAACCCACTAACAAGTAAGCACACCAAACCACTTCCCTGCCCCCCCTGCCTGTCTGCCTGTCTGCCTGTCTGCCGGCCGGTCAGTCGTCTCCCTCTCCGATTTCATATCTGAGGTACAGGACGCTCCTGGCGTTCCTGCCGCCGATGTTGCACGAGTAGTTGTATGCACAGTTCCCGCTGGACAAGATGCCGCGAACCACATGGTCACCCGACGTCAGATGGGCACTGCCACTGTTGCCAGCTGCACACACAGAACAGATGCAGCGGTGTCGGGGCTGAGTGTGTCGGTGATTTGTTTGGTTTGTGGCGTCCCTACGGTATGCGTCGCATAGTGTGGATGGGTATAGCTCGTTGCAGTTGCCGGGGAGGGCACACCCCTTGTGCACATACTGCGTGGGGTAGTTCTGCATATCTGAGTCACGTCACAACACACACACGTATGTGCGCACGGACCTGTGTGTGCCTTTCATTCAATGGCTGACAGACACTGACCAGCAGGGTATCCACCCAGGTCGGTGTTGAAGCTTCCCGACTTGCAGTTTTCAGGGTCAGCGATGCCGTAGAAACCCGTCTGCTGCCCCTCGTAGTTCTTCAGCTTCAGCACAGAGAAATCCATGCCCTACAAGCACCACATCACATGACATACACCCAGGAGCCTCTCCATCCATTTGTCGTGCGGCATCAATCCGCTCACCCCGCTGGTCGCTACGCTTGCGTCGTTGAACCAGGCCACGTCGACCATGGCGAACTCTATGTCGGCCTCGCCAAAGGGCTCCCGGTGGTGCATTGTGTCCATGCCCATAACAGCCTTGCCGAACTGACATAGCAAGACACGAAGGGAATGTGCAGATGAACCTGTGTGTGTGTGTGTGTGTGTTTGTGTCCAGTCAGTCACCTGCATGACGCCGAAGTCGCCCGTCACGCAGTGAGCAGCGGAGATGGCTGCATTCTCTGCACACACACACACACACACACTCACACACACACGGATTGGAAGGTGTGTCTGGGGATACTCGTACACCGACCTGATATCATCTGGCAGGTGCACCCCACATCAAAGTACCCCGTGGCGCTCGACGGGAAGCTCCGCGTGTCGTCCACCAGCTGCCGGTCGTCCTCCCCACAGCAGAACATACATTTCGGTTGCAGTGGGGGCCCAAAGACGCCCGGCTTCTCGCTCATCTGCTGATCCTCCTTGTTGTCACGAATCGACCGGCCCCCTTTCCCTGCTCGTCTCGTCTTGGCGTTGGCTGTGGTGCCGCGCAGGATGCCGGCCTTCTCGAGCTTCGCGTCGATTTCTTGCTCGGTCAGGGGGTGCTTCATGACGAACGTGTCACCGTTGGCGAGCAGGCGGACGAACTTGTAGGGCCTGTCATCCTTGGGGGCGGGGAAGGTGACGTTGGTTTTGCCGTTCTTGACGATCAGATCGTGGTCAAGATACGGCTTGGGCATGGCCGTCTTCCTACGCCACACACACACACACACACACCTGCATGGGTGTGCGTTCTTCCCCTGTCTGTCTGTCTGTCTGTCTACCAGGCTCACGTGATAGGTACGGCCTTCATTCTGCCGACATAGACGTATCCGCTCTTCTTAAACCGGTTAACGTGCTCGGGGGTAACCCTGTCGAGGCCTCCCATGGCCACGTGGCTGGGCGCGCTGAAGTCGCGCTTCTCTGATATGCTGTGCGCCTTCGGGTCAGTGGTGGGGCACGACCCGCGGTAACGGATGGACGTCCCCTGGCACAATGCCAAGCTGACACGCACCACAACGATACGATACGGAACAGTTTCTCGGTTCTGAGTTTCTCTCTCACCCACCATGGCCCGGCGTATGTGTTGAGGTCGCTGCCACAGACCCGTTTGTCCTTACTGAGGAGCCATCCGGCGGTGCCCTCCGGCCAGTCGTCCCGCTCCATCACCCACTTCCGGGTGGAAAACGTCTGGCAGTTGCACATGTGCTCCACATCGATCTTGGTTGCCGGATTCCATTTCCCGCACTCTCCCACAGCTGCCGACAGGAGAAGAAGGGCGAGAAGGCGGCAGCAGTAAGAGAGAAAGGCCCACATTCCCGCCACAACCAAATAGCGTTTCTGTACTATTATTTCTGCTCGTAAACGGACGCAGCGAATCCCGGTTGAGACGATGCGTCGACAGCCTCCCGAGCCCATATTGTCTGTCCTGCGGCTCTCCCCTGGCCCCTTGCCGCGCTCTCCCTCCTTCACCCTCTCCCTGCCTACGAATCGCATCAATGTGGGCAAGCAGAACTTCCAGTTCGACAGAATATACGAGCAGGACGCCAGGACCGACCAGATCTATGGGTGAGAAGAGAAGAGAGGAATGCAGCCCTTTTCTCCTCTCGTGGACGCGAGATCTCCCGTGTGGTTGTGTTGTGTGCAGCGATGTGGTCCATCCCTTGGTTGAGTCGGCAGTGTTGGAGGGCCTCAACTGCACCGTCCTCACACACGGCAACGCCAGCAGCGGCAAAACCGCCACCATGATGGGTACTTATGGAGTGGCACCGGACCGGAGTCATGGGCAGATCCACAGCTTGTTTTCTGTCTGTCGTGTGCCATGATTGCAGGTTGGGACCGTTTTGCAGGTGTGGTTGAGTGCGCTGTCGATGGTCTGTTTGGTGTGGCGAGGGAGCAGCGTGAGCGTGACAGCTCCAACATGTACCTGGTCCACGGATCTGTGCTGCTCATCGACGGGGATAGCATCGTAGACCCACTGCAGGTGAATGGATGACGCCCTTGCCTTTGATGCACAAAGGGGTGTGTTGGTGGATGTGTCTGTTCCGGATCGGCTTTCTGTGCATGTGTGTGTGTGTGTGTGTGTGTGTGTGCAGTGTTGTCTGCCGCTGACGCTGCGTGGCGACGAGAATGACGGCGGTGTGTATGTGGAGGGCATCACACTGGTCGAGGCCTCAGACCCCGCACACCTCAAGTGATGCACGAATGGATGAATGGACCGACCAGCACCATCATACACGCATGTGTGTGTGTGTGTGCAGGGATATGATGAAGCTCGCAGGTGAGAATATGCGGGAGTTCGTCCACAGGGGCAAGGCCAAGAGGGTGAGTGGGTGCGCACGGGGGGTTGCTGGACGCGCTGCACACATGGGTGTGTGTCGTGTGTGCAGGCCAGCAGTGGGGTAGAGAGTCGGTACCACACGGTGGTGTCCATACTGGTTGAGGCGTTCGACCGACCCCCTTCTGGCGACCAGCACACCACTAGCACACACGAGAACAAATCGCTCTGCGGTGAGGAAGACGCACACGGCTACAGTACCCATGCCCATTGATGCATCAATTGCTCGTTCCTTTGCGCCTTCAGTTGTGCCCCGTTCGCTGCCGTGCCGCTCTCTGCGGACCTCTCGGATGACATTCGTCGACCTAGTGGGGCTCACACCTTCAGCGCAACACTCACAGGCATGTGGCACATACACGCAGACAGCCACAGGCACAGGCACACCACATCAACACGGGCGCCTGTCCGTGTCGGTGCGGTCGCCACCCAGGGTATCCATCGCAGCACCGACGCGTCCCTCCTGGCACTCAGCGATGTCGTCAATGCTGTGGCCGCGCGCATGCACGTCCCTTACAAGTGCGCATCTGCACGCCAAACCACGCACGCACGCAACACACATGGACTTTCTCGTTCGTTCATGTGTGTCTGTGCGTGTGCAGGTCGTCTTTGCTGACCCGTCTGTTGCAGGACAGCATCGGCGGCACGTCGCGCACCCTGGTGCTGGCCCACCTGGACACACACGCAGAGAAGAGTCACGAGATGACGGGCGCGCTGCGGTTCGCAGCCACATGTAGAAAGGTACTCATGGTCGATGGGCATGCTGTGTGTGGGTCGGCTATGTATTGGCCTCTGCGTATGTGTGTGTTGGCCTGTGTGTGCAGGTGATCAATCAGCCCGAGCCGTCGCCATCGGTGCAGTCGGGCAAACTTATCGACCTGTGGGAAGAGGTATGCCACACACGTGCTCCTATGCGTGACTATGGACCTTTGTGTGTGTGTGGGTGTGTGTGTGTGTGCAGCTGGAGTCATCCCGTCAGGAGCTGGAGGGCCTTATCGAGGCCAAGAGGAACAACAGCAGCAGCAGCAGTAGCAGTATTGGTGTTGGCTCGGCCTCAGTGGTGGACGGCCTCCCCGACGCCCTCATGCAGAAGACGGCCGACCTCATGTACCGACTCACAGGTACACCTCCCCTCCCCTCCCCCCCCACACACACAAACGCGCCACTCTCTCTGTGTCCTTTCTTTCTGTCAGGCTATCTCCCAGACGACATTCCCACCCTCCTGGGCGCCATACAGCCGACCGCCCCCCAAGCCACGCCCCCGCCCCACACAGTGACGTTGCAGGGGGAGTCGCCGGGCAACAACGACCCGCACGACAGCCCCGTGCAGTCGTTCTTCCGGCTGGATGGCGACACGCAGCGGTTCATGGAGGAGTCACCCAACCCTCCGGTCGGCATGGGGGAGGGGGAGGGGGAGGGAGAGGGAGAGGAAGAGCATGACGAGAGTGGTGGCGGGGAAAATGACGATGCCGAAACAGGTACGTTCTGTTCCATCTGGTTCCTTGATGCGTCGGTGCACGTGATGGTCTCTCCCTGTCTGTCTTTGTCTGCAGTCGTTCCTGTGCCGTTTGGCGAGCCACTGATCGCAGAACAGCCGGTCGTCAGAGAGACCACCACCACCACCGATGAGCAAGAACCGACAGACGACCAATACCAGGACCAATACCAAGACCAAGACCAGCAGCAGCCAGAAGAGGACACCGACACGGCCACCAGTCAGCCCCTTCTACCCCCGCCCCAGGCCCCCCTGAGTCCCCTGCTGATGCCACCATCAGAGAGGCCGATGCACGTCAACCCACCCATACAGGAAGAAACACCCAGCGAAGAGGAGGACGAAAATGACCACGGAGAGGGGCTGGGAGAGGAAATGGGTGTCGAGGGTGAGCGGCAGCACCAACATGAGCGTGAGCAGCGTGAGCGAGCCCCCTGCATGACGGCGAGGGTTGGCAGTGTGAGCAGCAAGGAGAGGGAGAGGGAGTGGGAGTACGACGCTGCGCGGGCCATGCTGGAGAGCAGGACCAAACAGCTTACCAACGTGCAGCTCAAACTACAGGTGGGAAAAGGGCGGAGGGAAAGGTGCGCTGGAGGCCATGCATGGCCGTGTGTGTGTGCAGGCTGCCCTGTTGTCGCTGCAAGAGAAGGAGAGGAGGATCGCCGAGCTAGAGAAACAGGTCGCACAAGCTCGTACGCACGCACCATGCGTGGTCTGCATGTCTGTATGTCTGTATGTCCGCAGATAGCGAGTGACGAGTCGTCAGAGCTGCTGACGGTCTGCCTATCGGAACACCGAGAACTGTACACCATACTCAAACCAATACTGGTAACCCAACCCAAACACCCACCCATCCCACATCACACACATGTCGCCCCATCTATTTGTCGGTATGTATTACATGCCGTGCACAGAAGGGTCGTTTCTCCCTCTCCGAGGCGCCCCCCTCTCCCCCGCTGTCACTGTCGCCTCTGTTCGCCCCGCTCCGGTCGCTGGCGGGATGGGTGGCGGCATACAATAAACAACAGGAGGACCTACAGAGGGACAGCAAAGCCAAGAAAGGTGAGGGAGCGGGGCAATAGAGAGAAAGGAGGGAGAGAGCTGCAATGTGTGTGTGTTTGTTTTTGTGCGTATGTTGCAGGTGGTGCGTTGGGTGGTCGTGTAGGCTCCTCTATGCGAGGGTGTGGTCTGGTTGACAAGAGGACTGCCACCGACGAGGCCACTAAGGATAGGTAATGCGATGATGATGCACACACGACCCCAACCGCCATGCTCACGCATACACACCTCTGTCTGCCTGTCTGTTTCTGTCTGTGTGTGTGCAGTGATAGCGACTTAGTATCGAGCAGCAGCAGCCGGATCTTGCGCAGGAAGGTGCCGCTGGACGACCCATACGACAACAACAGTAGTGGTGGCGACGGTAGTAGGAGGGACACCAGCAGCAGCGGCAGGAGGGACCTGGCGGAGCAGCCCCCCAGACATGCCAAAGGGATGGGCTTCGAGGGGTAACACACGTCACACACGGAGGGACGAGTGGGTGCATGACGCCACCATGGATGCGTTGCGTTGCGTTGCCTGCAGGTCTCCGGTGCCATCGTTGAATGACACGACGATCGGCTCCCCGCCACCCACCAAGGAGGACAGACAACACACACACCCGACCAACAGACAGCCGGAAGACCAGGTGGGCACACACACCGGGAGAACGCACAGATGGACGGATTCACCTGTTGCCATGTTCGTATGTGTGTGTCTGGTGCTGTCAGGCGAGTGCCCCCTCTAGCAGCCGCATCAGCGCCCCTCCGCCCCCTCCGCCACACATGTCGATGCCCTCTGTGCACCCGCACCCCGCCCAACACGCACACTACCCTGTTGTTGCTGCTGGTGCTGGTGCTGGTGGTGCACCGTTCGGAGCTCTGATGCAGCCCACACACGCACAGCAGCATCCTGGCGGAGAGGGCCAGTTCATCGCACAGCAACAGCACATGAACAACGGTGCGGGGGCCATCCACCAACCACACCCAGGTCAGTGGGAAGACGTGCATCTCTCTCTCTCTCTCTCTGTGAAGGGCTCTTCTGTGTGTGTGTGTGTGTCAGTAGGGTTGCCGTACACACACGTGCCGTTGTCATATACGTCTCATCACCATCCCGGCCACCAGGGTAGTTTCCACCACCACCAACACCACCACCCGTCAGCAGCAGGGCGTCCTTTGCAGCGAGCGCCGTCCCTGCCGCCCCATGCCATGGGCCGCAGCGTGTCGCCACTCGTCACGCACAGACAACACCCACACATGGTACGCCGAACAAACACACACACACTCACACACGCCAGGCCACCCACTGCACTTGTGTGTGTTGTGTATGTTGTGCAGATGGCTTGGCCGTCGTCATTCATCGGTCCACTGGCGCCTGCCCCTGCAGCTGGTCCTGGTGCTGCTGCAGGGCCTGGTCGTGGGTCGATTGGGTATCCCGCTCAGCCGGGGCCGTTCTTTAGATAGATGACTGAGTGGATGGACACACGGAGGGGGGAAGGGGTGGTATGCATGTCTGGGGATGTGTGTATCTACCCACACTTCTACATAGACAGGGAGGGAATGACTGCACGGCTCGGATCCCAATGTGACGGCATCGAATGCATTGATTCTCCTTCATTTTCCCCATCCATGGAGCTGTTGTCACCATTGCAGTTGTCACGTAGTAGAGCGTTTTCTTTGAGCTGATCTGCCTTCGTTGGGGTCTCAAGGGGAATCCAAGCCATTTGTAAATCTGTGTTCTCCCCAGAGTAGTCTGATGGATACGCGTCCGCCGCGCAAGGCGGCTATAGCTGCAGCGGCCGCATCGGCACCACACAAACGCCATCGAAACAAACGCCCTGCCGATGACGACGGCGGTGACCAGCCGATGGACCATGTGGACGACGATGGCGAGGAGGATGAGAGTGAGGGTGAGGATGAGGCCATGGCTGAGAACGTCAGCAGCTCATCGGAGGAGGGATCTGACTGGGAGGACATAGCGAGGGGCAAGAGGGGCGCCGCCGCTAAGAAGAAGCAGCGGCTCGACGCCAACGGCAGGGCAGCTGGTGTGGCGGTGGCCAAGAGGGGTGCGGTTAAGGCTAAGGCTAAGGCTAAGGCTCAGGGGAGGGGTAGGGCCAAAGCCAAGGCCACGGCCACTGGGGAGGAGGGAGATCAGTGTGAGGAGGGGGAGAACGGCGAGGGCGGCGTAGATGGTGACGTAGATATGGAGGTGAGGAGTGATATGTGCCCTCGATTTGGTGGCCCATTTCTTCTCTGTTGTTTCTCTGTTGGTGCAGGATGTTGCTGAGAAGGAGCCGGAGGATGCATTGGCGGCGCTCAACACGATGCGCGAGGAGCTGCACATACTCATCCAAAGACTCGACCAGACGGAAGCCAAGGTGGGGAAAGGTGACAGAAGGATGAAGACAGCACTCGCCGTGTTATACCATGCCACCATCCACTTGTCGTGCTGTATCTCTGCATTCTCCAGGCCCGTCAGGTGTTTGAGGCCAAGAATGCCCTCCCGCCCCCCAACACAGACGTAGAACACAACCGACTGCAGATGCACCACGCCAATACACACACATGGGCAAGACACACAATTGCATGGGTGCTGTGTGTTGTGTGTGGATGTGTGGCGAATGCATTCAGGTTGTCGAGCGTCAGTGTCGTGTGTGGACGAGTATGGTCATGCGCAACACCAAGATGCAGATCGACAACGCCAAGGGGACGGCCACGGCGCAGCTCAACCAGACGGTCGAGAAGCTCGACATCATCGAAGACGGCATCAACAAAATCAACCAACCTGAGCAGGTAAGATATACAGGGCATCGTGATGTGTTTATGATTATTGTCATCTTGACAGGGTGAGCTTGCGTGTCTGGAGGGGCTGCCCGAGGGCCTGTGGCTCAGTGATGACGACCGCATCGGTACGGAACCACAGCCCACACATGAGACCGAGAAGCCTCTCACCGATGCTGTCCATTCGTTTCTCTCTGTTTGCAGGGCTGGGCAGCTACCTTGGCTTCGTGTCGTGCATGGCGTCCCTGTCATGTGCGAGCATGCACTTCGCGCCCTGACGTCCAACAGCGCCATGCACCACATCGTAGAGGTCAAGACACCACCTCCTGACGACAGCATCGACCTACTCCAAGGTGACAGCAGCAAGGGACGGAAGCGAATACACCTCTACGTGTTCCCTTCTGATGCCGGCCACTTTCAGAGCGGTTGTCTGCGTGTCGCGAGTTGCGTGTGCGTCACAGCCCGTGTGCGGCGATGGTGCGTCTGCTGGAGGCCCTCTCCGCCACCATCGTCACCCTCACACTACAGGGGTCGGCGCCCAGCCAGCAGGAGATCACCCGCACCGACGCCAAGAGGGGGCGGCACCAGAGGGGCAAGTTGGCGCAGCGGAGGCTGGTCAAGGCCATGAGGAGGGGAAAGGTCACCAAGGTCGAGCTGCCATCCAGCACGGCCCCAGTGGTGTTCCCACGCCTCCGAAAGGCCACCATCTACAACGCATGGGGCCGCATAGCTGGCGATCGCAACTACACGCTGCCGGTGGGCATACCTTCCAACCATCTGGCAGTCTCTATCAGTCGGTCTCGCTTTGCATATGTCTTCAGGCGTTGAAGGAGTTGAATGCGGTGAGTCTGGGCTATTTTGGGCCTCTGTTGTTCATTCGCCGGGCGTCGGCTGGGGTCGCATCGCTGCACATCACACATGACGAGGTGCGACAGAGAGAGCGACAGATAAGTGGCATGATGAATACAGTCGTCGCTTGCATGCTGCGTGTGCATTAGGACGTTGTTGCCCACGCTGAGGATGACGTAACCCTGCATGCCGTCGTCGAGGCTCTCAGAGGCACGCCGACAGGTATGCATTTGACGGCACGCACACGGAGCCATCCTACATTGCATGAACTCATTCACCACTCTCCTCTCTCTCATTCATTTCAGCTGAGACGCTGGTTTCCCTCACCGGACGTGTTCAGCTCGATGCCCGCCCTCGTCAGCTCTCTCACCTCCACCCTCAACCCCCACCTCTCAGCTCGACCGTCGACCGATTCGTCAACATGATGAGCACGAGTCGCCTGCAGAGGCTGCAGCTGGGTGTGGGGCCTAGGGAGATCCAGTCGGCAGCTGACATACAGGTATGTAAGTGAGCCAACGTTGCCATCCGCTGATCTCACTCACTCTCATACACACATTTGTCTGCCTCATCCGCGCAGAATCTCCACCGCATCCGCACTTCCTGCCTAGCCCCCAACGCCACCGAGGACTACTACCGAGTGCCGACCCACGACGAACGCCGCTACGAAGGCATCCGCGGCCCCATCCCAGACAAGCCCCACATCCGCCTCCCCATCACAGGCACCGCTGCTGAGCTGGGTGGCGCCGTCCCGACCTTCCAGCTGTTGTGCGCACATAGCAGGGAGGTCACTCTCGAGCCCCACGGGAGCCAGGGTGCGGTGAGGGAGGCCCCCGGCCTGGACGACCTTGTCTGCACCGAGGCCAAGAAGCTGACAATCAGGCCATCAGGCGCTTCGCAGCCGCTCCCCCCCTACGTCATCGGTAGTCCCGCCTCCCTCTTCCCGGCCGTCGAGTCAGTCGAGGTCAGGCAGGATTTTGAGGGCATGGCCTTCTACGATGGGGGCGTGGGCACTGTCTTGGGGGACCTGCCCTCACTCGAGAGTGTCACCTTCAGAAGGGATGTTAGCTCGGTTGCTATAGAGGGGGTTGCCGGGAAGGGTGTTGCCAATGGGCCGCAGACGACCTGTCGCCGTGCTAGTCTGTGTTTGGTGCCTGCTGCCGTCGGTTTTCTGTCGGCTGAAGGCACCACGGCTCTCACAGTAGGTGTCGGGTTCGATGTGCATTTCCCCGGGCCCCTCTTCTTTGATCGCGATCCGGCACAGGAGAGGTGGGAGATCAAGTGGAGCGTGTATGGGCAGGCAGGGGAGGGGAGGGAGACCATGGGGCGGATCAGTAGGATTGAGATCAGCCTGCATGCGCGACTTGAAGGGGGGCATTATGGTATGACAGAGCAGGAAGGCAAGGCTATGTGTCGCTCGTTGGCCGACGCAGTGGCCGAGGCCTTCTCTCTCTTCCCCTCTCTGCGGTCGGTCTCTCTGTCTGGCAGCAAGCCACGATTCCCCTTAGTGCCTGAGATCAGAGAGGCGGCTCAGAGGAGGTTTGTTGTCGTGTCTGGCAAGAAATCTGCCGTTGAGATGCGCCCCACGCGCGCCAGCAGCAGCAAGGGAGGAGGGGTCAAGGGAAAGGGTAAGAAAGACAAGGCCACCAAGGCAGGCTAGATCGTCCACACACATACACATGATCCATACACACTGCCTCTCGTTGATGATTAAGTGAGGGGGCGGGTGTGAGGCTTCAGGAGAGGAAGGGGCAGCTCTGCATACAGACGTGCAATGGGATGGCTGGCTGACATGTGCGGCAGTGGATGGATGGATGGATGGATCGATCGATGGATGGATGTGAGGTGGCTGTGGTGTCTGTGTCTCTGTGGGAGTGTCAAGCCTTGACCACAGAGACATACATATACACGGCCGCCGACTGCCTCCCTCCATGAGTGCGCGTGCGTGTGTGAGTGTGAGTGTCTGTGTGAGAGCGCGGGACACACCTTGGTTGGTTGATGGATCTTGACGATGGCATGTGAAGTATGATCATGGTGTAAGGCTTCATGGCTCGCCATCTGTGGGTCTAGGGTGCTGCATGAAACCGGTGTTAATCAAGATAGATCCGCGCCGGGATGAGGCGACTTGTGACCTCCCTACGGCCGCTCAGCAGGTCCACCACTCTTCCCCTGCTCGCCAAGACTCAACTTCTCCATCCCCTGCTGCAGATCCATCAATGCCGCCGCCTTCCCATCCCACTCCCCCATCACATTGGATCAAGGGATGTGAAGGACACACCTCGATCAGGTGTGAGAGCGCGGGACACAACCAATTTACACGGCCGTTGATGTTCCTTAACGGAGCTGCCCCAAACCGGATCATCAAACGAGTGGACACGCACAGATTACACTGTATACATACCCCTTGATTGAGTAATACACGTCATTCACCTAGGTGCTCTCGTGCGAAGAAACTGGCCAATGGTATATCATGGACCCAAACCTCATCGTCAAGGCCCCCCACCTGATCGAGGTGCTGCGCAGGGAAAAGTGTCCCACTTACACCATGATTCAACCCCTGCTTGATGCACGTACCATTGCCGATCGATGTCATTGAAGCTTCAAGGCCACGCAACCATTCAGCCACATACATACACACGTGTCAATCCACCACCTCAGCCACACACACATGTGCCCCATCGCACTGCAATTACTCTATTCATCGCATCCAAACCACAGCCCTTCGCCGCCGGTATACACCATGGGGGGATGGACTGATGCACACTGCTCGGCGGACTCACTCAAGTAAGCGTCTCTGTCACACGCACCCACAGCCGTGCCGTGGCATCCATCGAATCGCCAGTGGCATGTAGAGACACATTCCGTATGAAGGCTGGCAGGAAAGAAAAAGGCAGGAGGGGCAGGGCAGGCAGGCAGGCAGCCAGGCAGGCAACGAAGAAAATATCAGATAACGGATGCATCGCAGGCAGGCTGGCAGGCAGATCGACAGACAGCCACCGACCATATGGATGAAGGAGCGCAGAAAACGAGGGCTCACTGTACAGCCAGCACCTCGACCTCGTCGGCCACAAACCCATCTCTGCCACCCAGACAAGCATCGCCATATCCAGTCCACTTGCCCCAGTAGCCCGCAGGCACGTCGCTGCTGTCGATGGCCTGCAGGCAGCTGCGGATGTCAGCATTAGGCCGGCCACCCTCAGGCCAGCCCAGCGACAGATACCCACCGACAAACACCTTCGCACAGCCGGTAGTCCCCTCCGCTCCCGCCACCGTATAACACGCTGCTTCTGTTGGGGAATGTCTATCTTGGTGGGCCTCCAGAAGTGGCCGGCCAATGAGAACCACCACACATCACAGTCGTACTCGTTGCAGTCAGTCGGGTTCTCGGGAAGCTCCAGGCCGCCGCTGATGAAGGCGCCGAAGACGTAGCGACCTTTGCGAATGATGAACACGAGGAGCAGCTTGTCGCCCACACGGTCGAGCAGGTTGCCATATGTGGAGCCGTCACGCGATGACCTATACACACACACAGACAGAGAGTAAGGACAGGAGTGGGGTCGCGTGAATGTGTCCAGTGCGTACCGATAGATCGATTCTAGCTTGATGTCGCCGTAGAACATGTTGATGAGGGCGACGTACTGTGAAGGTGAGAGCGACGTGCCAGCCGGCAGACGAATCTGGATTCAGAGAGGCATGCGATCCACCCACTGCACGAGACATGAAAAGTGCTATTCGTGCGTACCGGTGGAACTCGTATGCCCATCAGGTCCGTGAAGGTGGCCAACAGGAGGTCGCGCACCCACACCGACACGAAGACTACCACGGCCACCAGGGGCGTGGACACCCATACCAGCGTCAACACGAGCCAGCCGACGAGCCACAGAGCCCACCTGCACCAAACATCATTGCCAGCCAGCAATGCAATGCATCACATAGGAATATTGGGTCGATTTTGCCTTCTCACGTCTTGATTGTGGACAGCACAGAGCTTCCCATGGCCAGGGCCTGCAGAGTCGCCACACACTCTCGCGCCAAGTAGGTGGGGCGCACGGCATCCTCTGTGGTGTCCACCCTGATCGATCATGTGATGAAGCAACACACAGAAATATACAGGAGCATCGATGTCATCACATCAACGCACCCGTATTGCCTCCATGTGTGTGGGTGTGTGCACCTACCTGCATGTGGGGCAACGGGCAGCGCGACGGCCATGTGGGTGATGGCGGATGAGCTCTCTAGCGCACTGCGAACAAACCGAATGGCCTGCACATCCGGTTTGACACACCAGAACAGTCGCGCTGAGACCCGTCATGTGTGTTAGGTTTGTGGATGCATCGCTCACTCACCGCATGCCGTCAGTGTCAGCGGCGCCTTGTCGCCACGGGACTGGTACTCCTCGTGACACACACCGCACTCGGGCACACCAACAGCCGCCATCTCTGCAACGCAGCAAACGAGCGGTGAATAAATCCATTCAAATGAATGGTGCAGTTGTCATTGCAACCTCACCTGCAGGCAGCTTATGCACCCCTCCTCCCTCTCAGTACTGTATCGGCTGGCCTGTCGATTATCTACGCTCCGGCAGCATAAAGTCTCAGCTCTGCACTGCAAAGCCAATCCTCATGGCCAACACCGTCCATTGCCTCCCCTGCTGCCCTCAGCTGACCTCCTGCTGCCACGAATGCGGCCGAATCGCCGTACGCCTTTCCCTTTTTCGGCGCGGAGGATCTGCGAGCTTGAGAATGAAGGAAGGTAAGTTGGTGAAGAGATCAGCACCAGATCTGTTGCGACGAAGCCTCACGAGTCAGAATCAGCACTGTCTGATACACCCATACTTCGTCTCGAAGTCTTATCCATTCACCGTCCCTGTCTGTGTGTGTTTGTCGCTGCAGGCGTGTTTGATTCGTTCCCGTGCGGCGATGGCGCCCTCACCATCCTCTGCTGCTGCCGTCACTGATAGCAAATCACCAGCCAAGGCCGACGACACGCAGCCATGCGGTCAGTGAGCCATACCATAAACGAAAGCGACTACGAGTGCAGTTGAGTGTGCATTGAGCGATGACTGCAGGTCACAAGTTCCATTTTCAGTGTACGCGCAACCGCATTTGCGGCCTCCCGAGTACTCCCTCTGCCGGCGTGCCCAAGTGCAGCGGCCTATGCAAAAAGGAAGGTGGTGGTGGTGGTGGTGTTAGCGATGACACGCCGGGCAGCCAACAAAGCGGGTCACAGATGCTCACACTAGAAGGTCAGCCACAGACGAAGGGAAAGGCACGCAAGCGTTTCACCGAGGCGGCTGGTGTGTGTGTGGTGTCCTCTGTGTCCCGTCAGGCTGTTCACTGTGTATGGACGTGAGTGATGGAGCACATCACTGGATGCGTGGCGGTTAGCTACTGTATGTGTGCTGGTTCTCCTTCAGTGCGTTGTGCAGCGGATTGGCTACGGCCCTCGCAATGGCGTCTGTCCGCTCTGCAGGCACATCCAGGAACACACTCACAGATGCAACACGGCCCTGCGGGCACGGCACTCGCTGTGTTGCTTTGCTGTCCAGGGCTGCCCGTGCCTGGGCTATCGGCGGGAGCTCCATCGGCCTGTCGGATGTGGCGCACATCGCCAAGTGGCTGGGCGGCGCGTCACTCACGCTCATCTACAGGTACACACACGTACACTCACATCTGCGGCTGGCGTGTCAAGTGTGCGTCCGTCCTTGTGTCATGGTGGAGCTCAGGGCATCGCGTGACGGTACGGGATATGACGATCTGCTGCGGTGTGTGGGTGACAAGCTGCGCCTGGTGTTCATCATCCGCAAGGGCCGCTACGTCTTCGGCGCCTTCATCAGCGGCGGCCTACACGAGCCCAGAACCCGACCAGCCGCAGTGTATACGACTGTGGTGTCTGGTGGTTTTCATTGGCCGGCCACTTCGCCAAGCCGACCAAGATCGAGATCAACGACGAACGGCAGCAGTGGGCGGGTGCGGTTGGGAGGGAGGGAGCTGTGGGTGGGGCGAGTGTGTTCATCGGTGGGCATCTGTATCTGGGCGATGGTGGTCGCAGTGGCCGGCCGGCCGAGGACATCCGCAGCTGCCATCAGTGGACCTCCAGCGCCGAAGTGCCTGAGGGCTACACGGGAGAAAGGCAGGATGACATTGCAGTATTGGGCGGCTCGCTCAACTTCGTGGCTGACGAGCTGGAGGTGCTGCAGATGCTATAATCCTGACTGACGTACGTGTGGCGCCGTTTGGTGTGTGCCACTCGCCTTCCGTGCAGCGGTAGCCTAGCCTGTGTCCATGACGTCTGTTCTGAGACGGAGCCACTGACGCCATCTTGATTGCGTTGATTTATTGTGTTCCCCCCCGTGTAAGGTCTCGTCACCCCGTCCAGTCCATGGTTGTGCACGCACACGACCCCCTCACCACCCACCACAGCCATGCCGCACAAAAGGGTCTCACGCACAGCCCGACAGCAACAATACAATGGATCCATCACATCATTTGTCCATGTCGGCCGAAGAGTCGATGGACATCTTGCTTTCGCTGTTACTGCGGCTGCCCTCCCTCTTGCGCCGCTTCCGTGACGATTTGTCACGACGAGACGACTCTGACCAATCACACACATACATACACACATACCCACAGGCACATGGGTCACATCCATCCACCTATGGGTCAGGTCGGCACCCACCTTTCCTCCCCCTCTTGCTGCGTTTGCGATCCTTGCGCTTCCGAGACGCCCTGTCGTCGCTCGAATCAGACAAAGGGCTCTCACCACCAGCCCCCCTATCTGCTGCTGATGCACCTCCTGCTGGTGGTGCAGGGGTGGTCTCCGATGGCAGATCTGGGCCGTAGGGCATGGCGGCCTCCTGCTGCTGTCTCTCCCGCTCCCTTCTGCGCTTCTTCCTCTTTTTCTTCCGCTTCTTCCGCCGTCTTTCGTCCTCACTCGACTCAGAGCTGTCAGACACCACCTGATCGACCGACCAGCAACCAACGGGACACGCGAAATGCTGTAAGAGTACACACAAAGAGGGGAGGGGAGTGGAGGGGTACCTCTATTGGTTGAGACGCTTTGTTTCTGTCGTCGTCCTTGTCGCGATCTTCTTCATCGCGCGTGTGTGGTGGGCTGGGGGATCGGTGTGATCTGCGGCGGGCTGACGGCTGGCTGTCGCGCCACTCAAACACTAGACCTTCACGCGCATCTGAGAATAGAACCGACAGAGACACACACAGATGGGGGGAAGGGAAGACAGCATCACGGCGTGCGGTGTGTGGTGTGATTGTGGAGGTACCTGTGGGCCCCTGGGACTCCTGTGTGGGCCGCCCATCCCTCTGCTGCAGCCGGTTCTGCGTCATCTCACGGTACTTGAGGGCATTGGCGTTCGTCGGCGACAGCTCTGATCGACACAGGGCGTGTGTGTCATCAGGCATCCGTCACACATCTCATCTCTCCTTCTCATTCCCGCCACCCACTTACTGAGTGCCTTGTCGAAGTCGACCAGGGCCTCTCTGAGTTTGTTCTGGTTGGCCAGCGCCGCCCCCCGTGCGATGAGGCCGTCCTTGTGGTCGGGCCAGAGGTCGAGGGCCGTGTTGTAGTAGTCCATCGCCTGCACGTGGTCGCCGCGCCGCGCTATGCTCACACCCTCACGTACGCGACGGTCCGCCCACACACGGCTCTGCTCCTGGGTGACCCTGAGACAAAGACAACGAAACAGCGGCAGAGAGAAACGTCATATGTGGTGTGTGTGGTGGGACGAGGAATAGTGGGAGCCTGCTCACGTCTTAGCGATTGATGGTTTGGCGACTTGTCTGGGGTCTTGGTCGAGGAGCGTGAAGCATGGGTCCACGAGCCCCGCCTCGCCCGCCATGAACCGCAGACTCATCGGATTCGACACCCTACACAAACCAAGCCAAGCCAACCACACACGTGAATCGATACATACATGTATGTATGATGGGGCATGATTAATGCGTGACGGTCGTTGGCTTACTTTGGGTCAGCTGCGAGGAGGTAGGCCAGGCGGCTCCGCAGCACGCGGCCGCCCGCACGGTTGCGATCCTCAGGTACTGCACACACATCAGTGAGAGCATTTGTGCATCAATGTGTGTGGAGGGCCATGCGGACGACAGGTATGTATATACCGTCTGAGTTGATATCGTCGCTTGTTGGCATGAGGTGGTGTGAGTCCACCTTGAGTGTGGACGTGAAGCCAAGCGGCTTCTGCAGCGCGATGCTGGCCGTCGGGCCGCTCATGTGCCGCGGCGCCTTGAGCGACAGCAGCATGTGGCCTCCAAGCTGAACACACACACACACACACACACGCTGAGCTGCGCGACAACGGCTGGCGTGCATCAGATCGGTACCCACCTTTTTGAGCAACCGTTCTCCTCCCTCTCCCAGCACCACGGCCCGCACCCCGGTGCCAATCGGCAGGAACTTGCTGCTCACACCGCTGCCACTCGACGTACGACAACCGAGGCCATACTGTACGGACACGAAGGCACAAAGGCACCGGATGAGGGCCATGGGATGCATGTCGACCGTCCTTTGTCGACCTACCGTACCTCGTTAGCGTGTATGCCTTCGAGCAGCAGGAGTCCGTATACGCCCATCTCGCCGCGATCCAGATCCCACTCCCGGACGCGACGACGAATCTGACCACTGTCACCTGACAGACAGACAGACGAATGGAGGGATGGATGGGCGAATGCCGGGCGTGCAAAGAACGGCAATGGTGCACTGCACTGCATGTGGTGTCAAGTGAAGTGTGCTGGGCTCCCTCCCTCACCGTCTCGTGCGGTCGATGGCTGTAGTGTGGCTGCGTGGGGGTAGACCTCAACGGCATAGATGCGAACCACAATCGCGTCCTTATCCCTGGTTCGCAAGAATACAACAGAGCAGACACAGTTTACTTTGCCGCTTATTCCACCGGTCGGTCATCCAGTGTGTGCAGTGCAGGTGTGTTGGCTTGTTACCTGTCGGAAGCGGCCACCCATCCCCGCACCACAGTGTCGACCTCGAGATTCTTACGCAGCCATCACACACGAACCACGTCACGTACAGCAGACCATGTGTGTAAGGAGGGTTACAGACAGACAGACAGTGAGACAAGAGGGCAGGGCAGGCCAGGTGAGGTCACACCAGCCAGTCAGTCGCATCAGACACAGTCAAGCGTGAATCAGTGTGCCAGCACGTACGTATGTGTGGTGAGTTCTTACGTTGATGAGAATCTGCCGCCCTCGCGCACCATAACCAATCGTCCGCTCAACCTGACACCCATACGACCACACACACATACGCATACGCCCCAGGCGCCCTTCTCCCTCTCCTTGTTCTCTCACCATAGGGAAGTCCTCTCCCTGTTCCTTCTCCATCACACGATCCACGATGTAGCAGGCCTCCTGACGACCCCTAGAGGGAAGACCCAGAGCCACGTCGGCGAAGCCCATGTCGATGTGGCCGATCCGCTGACGAAAAAAATCGGGCGGCGTGTCACGCCGATCAGCCGATGCCTGCAAAGACAATGATGCATGGATGACTCAGTTGATGTGCCGTGGTGGTGTCCACATGTGGTGTGTTTGGCTCACAGGCAGCGACGTTTGCTGTGTCCTTTGCGGCCGTTGTTCTGGGTGCCGCGTGCCTTGCTCAACAAGCAGGAGTCATGGTCACGGGGGCTAGGCTGGGGGCAGGTGCAGGCATATTACCGATAGAGGGAGGTGATGACGAGGGGCCATGATCGGCCTCATCCGACGCGGGCACATGACGCTGACCAGGCAGGCAGGCAGGCAGGAGAAAGAAAAGCACATCGGATTGAGTGGGCAGTCGTTTTGGATTCGTTTCTAGGCACCTCACCTTCATGAGGGTGTTTAAGTGGTTGGCCATCCGTGAGAGCGCGCCACTCGACCGAAGCTGTCCACCACACAGACATCACATGAATGACCGACCATGGTGCCACACATGGATCGACCATCATCAACCTTCTGGATGGACTCATCGAGAGTCTCCTGCAGCAGCTGCCTCTCACGCACTCCCCCATCATCCCTCGCATCCCTCTCCCGTCCGTCGCGGCCCTCATCCAGATCGATGGCCACATGTGTCTTGTCGGTCGTCAGTGCCCTGTGGGCGGCCTCGGCAAAACCATTCGCACCAAGTTGGGGAGCGGGAGGAGGAGAGTGAGGCCCTCGATGGCTGCTGACAAAGGGACATCGCTCTCATCTCAGTGGGCACTTGTGCGTCTATCTGTCTGTCTGTCTGTCTGTCTGTCTGTGACCCACGGACTGGCTGTCTTCTCGTGGTGGCGGTGATGACGCGCGTGGTCTCTCGTCAGCTTCATGAGGCCGCCCTCGCCTCGATGGCGAGTCCCACCTCTTCATCCAACTCGGAGGGACGCCAAGAGCTGACAGGAAAGAGGAAACCGAGACCACAATGCTTGCCGCCGTGTGACTGACTGTCGGCTCCTTACCACTCAGCGCCTCCCATCCCCCAACTGGTCCTTGTGTTGCATTCATCGAAGGCCGCTGCGACGTACGGTCGGACGCACGGTCGGCACCGTCACGCGATGGAGGCTGCCGACGCGAATCTGCATTCGTATGGCGCCTGCAATGGGCAGAATGTGACATCAGAAGGAAGATCAGCAGCCCAGAGATCAGCGTGAGTGTGTGGATCTACCTGTCGTCCATGTTTCATCAACCCTTGGCTTGCTCAGCAATTCTCCTGTGCTGCTCCGTGTTGCCTTCCTTTCTTCTTCAGCAATTTGTTAGAGAGAGCGGTTTCACGGAACTTGTTGCAGCGGTTTCAGGGAGCACCCGAACTTGTTTCTCTGCGAGCTTTGTGGCACATCTGCAAGCTTGGCTTCAAAAAAGACAGGAGGAAGGATCTGACCACAGCTCATGCCGCCGTCGACAGCTCGAAGAGATTGAGGTCAGTCATCACACCTGCAATGAACGAAGCACACACGCAATGATACAGTTGGCCATCCGCTGCACGTCTGTTCAGGTGTTGACATCGATGTACCCTGGGCCGGATGAGCTGATCATCGACGAAGTGGCGTGTGAACGACGCACACACATCACTGCAGACTGCAGATGGCTCTTGAATGATGCTTTGTTTCTGCTGCATGTATGTGTGTGTGTGTCTGTTGCTGCTTCTCAGTGGCGAAGATCAAGAGTCATGAGCAGAGCACCGACGACCTCACTTCGGTGTCAGCTTCCTCGATGAAGACCTCAAGGCAGACGGCGAGAGCCCTCAGCTGTGCATCACTCTGCCACCCCTCTACCCGGTGAACCAGGTTCGACGCCTTTCCTCTGCACACAGCCGACTCATCTGTGTCGCTCGTGTCAGCACAAGAGCCTGCGGGCGGAGCTGCTGTCGTCTTGCCTGCCCACACACAGATTGGCTGAGTGTGAGGAGGCCCTGAAGGAGAGGGCCAGGGAATGCGCCGAGAGAGGTGTCAGCAATAGAGATTTGCAAGCAAACAAGCACACATAAGGCCTTGCTGATCATTGTGCTTGCAGGTGAGGAGTGCGTCGTCGACATTGTCCAGTCAGCCAAAGTAGGAGAGCATGGGCAGCCATGCCATGGGTGGTCGGCAGCAAGATTGTGTGGCTCTTGTCCTTCTTCGCGTAGGATTCACTGGCCGATTTCGTTGCCGAGCACCGCACAGAGATCGAAGAGGTCGAGAGTTGGCTGTAGGTACCACACATGGACTCACTCATGAGACTCACTGTGCTCATGTCGGTCTGTCTGTCTGTCTCTCTGTGCGAGTGTGGCTTGTGTGCAGGCGGCACAGGCGGCGGCTGACGACGAGGCGGATGATGATGAGGAAGACGATATGAGCGATGATGCACTGGCAGAAGAGCTGCAGCTGCTGGAGCTACAGGCGTCTGCCGCCGCACGACCACCAGCCAGGCAGCAGCAGCAGCTGGGAAGGCGCGTGTGCTACAGCCACCACATCCGAGCAGAGACCAAGAGGCGATACATCATCCAGTAAGCCAAGGCTGACGCCATCTCATGCTCGTGGATGGCTGAGTGGTGCCGATTGGTCAGGTGGGCGTTGGAGCTTCGGCTTGGCGGCTTCTCCAAGATCGGCTACCCTGGTGTGGTGATTGTGGAAGGGCCGGAGGAGGGCTGCATGGAGTACATCACGCGGCTGCAGAGGCTCAGGTGGAAGCACTTTGTGGTCCGTGGCGAAGAGATCATCGACGGTGAGCAAACGCACGAGCCGTCCTGTCATCTGCGAGAATCCTCTGTGTGTGTTGTCAGTGCCTGCATCCAAGTGTCTGGACGACATGAGGCGGCTGCCCAGAGGCTTCGAAGTGGGATGCCATGCCCACCTGCACCGCAGCCGCTAATGTGTGTGTCTGTGCAGGAGTTGGGATCGAAGGAGATGGGCAGGATGGCCGACGAGTGCCGCAAAGCAGGTACCAACCAAACGGAAGTGTGTCAGCGGAAATGCTGTTGATTTGTGACTGGCTGTTTACAGGTTAAGGTGCGTGTTTCTGTGCATGAAGATGGCTCAGGTGCCTTTCTCACTTAAGTCATGCGTGCACGACTGGCAGACTCAATCGAGCGATGATTCAAAAAGTGATACAACCATCGTTCGTTCCCTCAAGGCTTGACAGTCACGGCCGACAGCCAGCTATGGTACACAGACGACATCTACCCCTCACCACACGCATGAAAATCAGCAAGGTGACCATCTCGCTCGACAGGAGTACGCATTGAAAGAATACGAGCGAAATGCATGTCTAATGCCTACAGAACATCGCACACACACGTCATGTGCGACACCGTGGCGATGCGTCCTGTGCAGCACTCAGTGACACACGCACACGCGCACACGAGACCATATGAGAAAGATCGAGAAAGTATACGATCATCCGACAGCAAACTCGACGTTAAAAATCGCACACAGTCAGACACAATTCCCTCAGTGCAGCACCACTATCTCGTCAGCCATAAAGCTGCCGGCCTCCCCAGCCAACAAAGCATGCTGGGGGCAATATGATTCATCATGAAAGACATCATCAAAAACTGTCCCCATGTAGCCTTCTGATGGGGATATATGGCTGTAGGCGTTCTGAGAGCAGCTGCGGATGTCGGCAGCAGGCTGGCCAAAACAGCTCTCACCATACCCCAGACGCAGATACGAATGGATCCACACATTCTCACGGCATTCATCCGCCTCCCTCCCCGCCACCCGCACCCACTGCAAATCTTGGTCGATCTCGATTTTGGTCGGTGTGAGGAAGTGGCCGGCCAATGAGAACCACCACACATCGGAATCGTATGTGCGATAGCTGGTCGGGTCGTCTGGCAGCTGCAGACCGGCACTGATGTACGCGCCGAACACATAACGGCCCGTCCGAATGATGAACACCAGGCCGGTCTTGTCGCCCACACAGCGGAGCAGATCGGCATACGTCATGCCGTCACGCGATGACCTGATACACAGACACACGCACACACACGTGTGCGCCTACTGTGCTGCTAGTATAAGAATGTGTGCTTCGCCGGCTACCTGTAGACGACAGTGAGTCGCTTGCCGCCCAGCAACTCAGACAGGGCTGCGTGCTGTTCACATGTGAGCAGCCCGTAAAGCGACCATCCCTGCAATGGACATATGAACCACGGTACCATACACGGCCAGTGTGACAAGGGAAACAGGACACGTGTACCACTTGCCTGCTCGATTGACGCATTGATGGCGGCTCGGTCGGCTGCGCGGCTCTCCTTCAGCGCCTGAATCTCTGCCTCCTGCGATCCACCATTGGAACAGACGGTCCTGCTGGCAAGCTGCATACTGTGTGTGCGATGTGTGCTTCATACCTGTGTGTCGACTTTGGCTTGAAGCGTCTGCATCTGGGCGGCCTGCACACACACACACGTACTCCAATGTTGCACATGAATGACAATGTCGAGACCTCTGGCGTACGCACCTGTGTGGCCACCTGGGCGCTCAACTGTCGGTTCTGGACAAGGAGACAGACGGCCATGGTGACATAATAAACAAGCCTGTGTTTGGGAGCGTGTATCACTCACCTCCTCTGAGGCTTCTCTCGCCGCCTCCTCAGCTTGCACAAGCCTATCTGCCGCCTCCTCGAGCGTCATGACGCGCAGTGAGGACGGCGCAAGTTCCGGGCTGTATGGTGGAGGGGGTGCGATGGGTGGGTACAGGTCGTTAATGTCGGGAGCATCGGCAGGTGGCCCTTGCTCGAACCTGTGCATCAATTAATCACAACACGCACATGCTCGGCTGTGAATGATCCATTCGAATGATCAGTGGCTCACCTGCTGCTCTGCCCTCCCATCTCTCCAGTGCACCGCCGCATTAGATCTGCATTCAGCGCAACGACAATTCATCAAGTCGAGACTGCCAGTTTTCCTCCCTGCTAGCCTCACCTGGCCTCCTGCTGCCACGGATGAAAACGAAACACGCCTCTCGTCCGCCAGTGAGTGCTCGCCCTCTCTTGCAAGAGACCTCCCGACTCGCACACAGTACTCGCACAATAGATACTCTCCACTACGCACAGACTGCTCTGCTTCGGCTGCCTTCGAGATCTGCAATGGCAGTGAGTGTTGCTGCACCTTTCGGCCCCCCGGACCTCCCTTTCCTTCTTCTCTGCGAGCTTTTGCAGCGAGAGAGCGGTTTCACGGAATGATTTTGCAGCGAGAGAGCGGTTTCATGGAATGTCCTAAGCGGCCTGACGGCCAAGTCCCATGTCTTTCACGCGACGACGAGACCTGCGAGCTTAGCTCAGGGTGAACGAACGTTGCCTGGTAGCTAGGCGAGTTCGTGAGATGGCGATGGTGTGCAAGAACGTGGCGGTGTCGATATTGGATGGCGTGGTCACACTTATCACGGGCATGTCCAAGCTGGAGCGGCTCCTGGCGGGCGACAACTCCGTGAGTGTCCTCTTCCTCGGACCGCCACTGCCAACCAAACTCACCAACTCCGTAAGGACGCGGCGCACACACAGATGGCCTGATGCGACAGTCATTGCTGCCGGGTGGTGCGTGGCGGTTGCTTGCCCCTTTGCAGATCCTGATACTGCGCATCGAGGAGCAGCTGTTGACGGTGTCCGAGCTGCTGTACGATGACAAACGGACGGCTCACCATGTGACGATGGAGGTGGCGCGCATCTTCCGAGTGAGGCCGAAATACCTCACCGTCCTCGAACAGGTACGGCTGCAGACTGACAGCAAGCACACACGCCAACCGGGCAGATAACTAACTCGCTGCCGGCGTGGTTGGTGGGTTGGTTCAGGTGATTCGTCAGATCCGTGTGGCCAACGAGGGCAAGAAGGCCGTCAAGCAGTTCCTCACCGTGCCGTTCGACTGGACCGACGAAGCCCACCGCAGCGAGCTCGAGGAGATGTGGACGTGCCTCACTCAGAAGGACCTTCCCGAAGGCAGCATCCCCCCTCGTCTGCCCGACGGCCTCGGACCCATCAGCGCTGAGGGAATGGAGGCGTGGAAGAGCATCGGGTTCCAGGAGCCGTCCAAGGATTTTCGTGGCGTGGGTGTGCTGGGGCTGAAGAACCTGGCCTACTTCGCCAGGACCCATGGGCCGCGTGCGAGGGAGGTGCTGCATGAGTCGACACACGACCCCAGATACTGGTTCCCATTCGCCAGCACAGGTGAGTGAGGTGGGTGGGAGAAAGGATGGATGCACAGAAGGGAGCCCTTGGATTGTATTGCTGCTGTGTATGTGTAGGGTTGAACATCACAGCGTGGCTGACGCAGTTTTTGGACGAGGGTCACCTTCGCGTGTTCTTCTACAAGTACAACCGACCCGTCATTCACTCACTGGCGCAACTCTCACAGCCTTGCAAATCTCTTCCTGCGTTTGTTGTCTGTAGTAATCCGGCCGACCCGCTGTCGATCTTCTCGACCATCTACTGCTTTGTCTTCTTGGAGTTCAGTCGCTTCTGGCACTTGACGAGGCCAAAGGACATCATGCAATTCGGACAGGTGTGCGGCGGCCACGTGCAGACAGGCGCACCGTGTGTGTCTCGATGTGTGTGGCTGTGGTTCCTTCCCTCAGGTGAGCGAGAAGTTCAAGACACGGATCCTCCTCACGCTCGAAGGTGAATGGGGACTCCAACACGCTCCAAACCACACTCGTGCTGGCTGGCTGTTTGTCGTGTGCACTGCACCCTCACAATTTCTGCAATGTGTGTGAGCAGGCGTGCCTGACGTGTCGCATCACTCTGAGTGGGGCCTCAACGCACAAAACTCAGGTGTGGCGCACTCGCCACCTGACACTCACATACCCAGACTCTCGCTCAATCTGATTGAGGGGTGTGTGCGCGTCTGTGTGTGTATCAGGTGAGGATTTGATGGAGGAGCTGACGTGTTGGATCGACGGCGAGGTGCACCCACACCGACACTCCAGGGTGCTGCAGCACATCGTCAAGATCTAGATGGCGGACACACAGAGCAGCATCGATGGCTGCTCGCACTTGTACAGAGCCGGCTGCTGGTGCTGGTGTGTAATTGAATGTTTCTGGTGTTGAGACCGTTCTGTCATTTTTCGTGGAGATCGCTGTGTGCACGCTTTTATGACACCTTCTCGCTATACGTCAAGTGCGGGACTGATTCATGTACGTACGTACATGCGATGCGGTTGTCACCACATGCAGTCAAATCCACAAATGTGCTCAACGAACAACCACAGCATCCATACAAACAGCACTGCGTTGGTTACTATACAGACATCCAGCCAGTCATACGCTCAGGACAGACCCGACTGGAGGCTGTGGACGAACTCCCTGATCTTGTCCAGCATTTGTTTGTCAGCCGCCTCCTGCTTGCCCTTGCCCTTGACGGTCAGGCCGTGATCACCCCCATCGATGGACAAGAGCTCAGTGCGGCCCTTCATCTTCTTCCTCGTCGCCTCCAGCTGGTCCAGTGGGCTCATGTGGTCTTTGGTGCCGCTGCACACGAGTAGAGATGAATGGCGATGAACATTCACTCACTGCCCTGCTGGTTACGTCAGAGTGTTTGTTACGTGATGAAGAGAAGGGGTGGCGCGTCGGAAGGAAGGGCCTTCAGGGGCTGATCTCTCAGCTCCTGCACAGTGAGGAGATGAAAGACAAATCACGACTAGGTGAAGCATTTCATGTGATCGCACCTTCGAAACGCTGATGAGAGGATAGCTGCACACAACGAACACGTCTGTGTTCGTCAGCCGTATCCCCGTCTGTGCTTACCCGAGTGCGATCATACCATGGACCTTCGACCGCACCTCCGGCTGGTCGTTGCACAGATGCACAGCCACTCTCGAGCCCATCGACCTACGTGAACCACACACACACACATAAAAGAGAGAGATGCGCACCTTCGCTGATTCACTCACGTGCCAATGAGGAAGAGGCGGTCTGCCTCTTTGCTGGCGGCCTCCACAGCAGCCTTGTGGGCGAGCACCATCTTGTTCATCTTGTTGAACGGCCGAGGGAAGTCAACCATCACCACACTCACGCCCTCGTCAGCGAAGGTCTCTTCGAGCTTCTTTTTCCATCCCTGCATCTTCGGATGACTCGAGTTGGTGCCTGCAATGACACAACAGACAGCAAAAAAACCGATGCTTCACGCGTTGAGCTGGATCTGTGTAAGAGAATGCTTGCCTGCGCCGTGGCCGAGAACGAAGACGAGCTTGGCATTCTTCTTCTTCTTTTTGCTTGTGTCTGCTGCTTCACTGCTTTGCTCCAACGCACGCTTCTTAGGCGCCATTTGTGCACACAACAAACGCAAGCTCAAAGTTAAGCGATCCGTCGTAAATCTGTACGAACGCTCAGAGGCAATAGAGCAAAGTCCCGCGGCGGCCGCATTCCATCCGCACGATGGGCGTGTTTAACACATTGACGGTCCTGTTCCTCAGCGCCAGTTTGACTGGCGGCTCCGCCAAGCTCTTTGCGCAGAACACGGTCGCTGGCAGGACACACGATGGAAGCCGCCGCATGAATGACATCATCTCGCAATGCTTCGGTGCATGGGCGAACAACACAGACGGCACATTGCGGATCACTCCTCTCTCTCCATTTGTGTGTGCTGTGGATGGATGGATGGATCTGCAGACGTTCCTCAAGCCTTTTGCTTGCACGGCACATCCCAGGTGATCACAGCCGCAGCCATCCCCAACGGCCTCGTTGGATGGTGGACCTTCGACGACGTCTACCCCATTGATCACTCAGGACACTTCAATCACATGCACCCAGGTCAGAAAAACACACACAAGCACAGGCGCAAACAGACGTGTCATCCACGTTTGTCATTCGGTTGTCTGCTTGTGTTCATCAGCGCTTCGCTCGGGCCCTTCATTCTTTGGCTATGGCGCGAGTCTGATTATGGACAAGGACAACGGGACTGTCGTCGCCTCATCGCCTTCCCTCAACGTCGGCACACTGACCGTCTCCTTCTGGATCTACCTGCTTAACGGACCCACAGGCAAACAGCAAACAACGACAGAGAGAAGAAAGGAAACAGACGCATCCATCCATCTGTCATGTGGTTCATTCTTATGTCGCTCAGGGCAGTATCGCTATGTGGTGTCAAAGGGCCATGGCGACTTTGAAGTGACGCCCACGGTATTGCTGCAGGAGTCGAGCAACAAGCTGCGCGTCCGTGTGTCGACCAATATCAACCCGAACGAAGGACTCGACTCGCAGGCACGCCAGCCATGACACCAGCCCATTGACAAAAGCCATTCATCCATTCATTCTTCCATTTGTGTGTGTGTGTGAGGGTTGTCAATGAGCAGGGTGGCATTCCGATGCGGCGGTGGACGCATGTCGCTGTGAGTCTGTCCAAGGGCGTCATGCGATTGTTCATCGACGGAATGCTGGTCAGGCAGAGGCAGATACACATGAATGAGGACAAAGAGATGCGCATCATGAAACTATGTCTGTGTGCAGGATAGTGAGGTGATACTCTCAGACGAGCCCAAGGCCAACAACGGCAAGAAACACGAAGAGAGACCACACACACACACACACAAGGCATTGCTTTGTTTGTTTGGCGCTGTGCATTCATTGGTTCAGGTCCGCTCTTCATTGGGAAGCATCCCCACCGCACCTTCCCAGGCTTTGACGGATACATCGACGACATCAAGTTCTACAACTACGGACTCCAGGTCAGTCAGTCGGCCACACAGCCACATGTGCCGTCATGTGTATGTGTATGTGTGTCTCTCGTCGTGCAGCAACAGTCGATTCAGGCCATGCTGCCGGCGGCTCTGACGGGCATCGGCACCGCAGACTTCTACCATCTTGGCCGACTACGATGCACCTTCAACGAGACCGCGGACCCCGAAATCTGCCCGCCGGCCTTCCATCTGTGCACGCTCGAGGAGCTTTACATGGGTGGATTTCACACCGCACGCACACACCAGTGGCTCATTACTAACGACGTCTGGTACAAAGGCGTCGAGTCGACGGTAAGAGCGAACACGCAAAATACATGAAACAAGGTGCGTGCAAAGACAGACGTGGGGTGTGTCTGTGATTGTGTGTCAGACTGGCGAGAAGAGCGCAGTTTGCTGCAGAGACGCCGACGAGCAGAGCGGACTCGTGTTTGCAGCTCAGAGTATCGCACACTCCTCGGCAGAAATAATGTGAAGACACCATGTCGAGAGAGACACGCAAGCAAACCGGCATGTGTGTGAGGTCAGACAGAGATACAAACGCTAGACGAGAAGACGCTTGAATGATGTTCGTATGACTGGTGAATTCGATCGACATAATTTGTTGATAACATGAGCAAGAGAGTCACACAAGCAGCGTGACCAAACCTAATGCACGAATTCGGGCTGAACCTGTTCAGCGATACACATACATCTAAAGCTACAATACATATACATACGAATCGCTGAATCGCCTCTGTCTGTCTGCACGTCCAGCGGTCTCTGCACTGCTCAAGTGACGCAGTTGGTTTGATGATAACTTGGTGAGGTGATTGGTCGTGTGGGTGCGGGGAAGGGTGTGTGGGACGGGACAGCGCGATTGATTGAAATGGAGTCAATCCTGGATGGCGCTCGCTCATTGTGAGAGTGAGTGCATTAATTGAGGCCCTTCAAGTAAAGGGATGCAAGCAGTACCGAGAAAGTTGCCGCACAGAGAACAACACACACATACACACACAAATGCATTCACACGCGCATACACACACGTACAATCAATGCTACAAATGGGGCTAGATAGATACAGAGAGAAAAGACACCCATAAACCTTAATGACCTCCTGTCCTCCACACCGATAGACTATGCCTCCACAAATCTGACGAGCAGCGACCGACGAACACGCGAAGTTGCTCTCACTGCACTGCAGCCAGCCGCTGAGTGCACTGCACGCATACACACCACCTGTCTCTGTCTCTCTGTCTCTCTGTAGAGTGAGTGTCGGGCGCTCGCTCTACACGCACACGCTCAGCGCTTCCACCACGTCAATGAGCACTGCCGCTGTGCGGGGAAACCTTTCAGCCACACCCTTCCCTGCCCACACCACCCGCTCCGTCGTGCTGACCTCGAGAACGTCCCACATGCCTGACCCCCCCAGCGCGACACGGACTGCAAACTCATCGGTCGCCTTGCACCCACACAAGATCGCCATCTTCGCACGCCGGCCACCCCTTCCGCTGTCACACACATCCACCAGGCGATGGCCTCTCCAGATGGCGCGCCCCGCCTGGCCGATGCTGTCCTTCAGCCGCTGCTGGTCGGCCACCGGGATCACGTCAGTGGCGTCGTAAGGTAGCAGAGAGGGGTCAGACGCCGCAGAGGCTAGATGGCTGAGCGATAGAACGACATGGTCCGTGAAGGATGCAGCTACCAGGTTGCAACCCAGGTTGCATCCTACACATACACCTACACACACACACAGACAGACAGGCAGAGAGAGAGAGAGAGAGGCATGAGAGAGAGCGTGTTCCTGGTGTGTGTGTGTGTGTCGACGTGGTTCACATACACTGAGTGGGCGGGTCCGATGCGTTGAAGTCGATGGCCAGGGGGATGCTGGCAGGCAGTGTGTCGGGGGTCAGAAAGGTCATTGGGTGTGCCCTCATCGGCGGCCCGAGGCGGTCTTGCCCATCGACGCGGCTCAGACGACTGTGCGGAGCCATCCACGTGAATCGGTGGCTGAAGAGCGAGTACTGCCGCACAGCATCGGGCCGAGAATCAAACACCGCCCTGCTGCCGACTCGTCGCAGATCGTCAGCCGAGACGATGATGGGCAGTGAGAGGATGAGGTGGGAATTCTTGATGAAGTAGATGAGCGGCACGGAGCGCTCCCAACGGCCGCCCTCCTCGATGACGTACAGGAGCCGCAAGAGATACTCAGGATGGCTGATGCTCTTGCCACCGTCGGGAAGCGCCCCGCGCAGCTCGCCCCACAGGTACATTCTGTCGGCCCTTGATCCCGTGACCGCTGACGTCACCATAGCCCACGCACGGCGCGCAGCGAGAGCGATGTTGGCCGCCATGAATCTGAAGGCGGGCATTGGCCTCAGTGCAGCTGCCCGCAGGGAAGGGTGGCGTCCCAGGAAGTTGCCGAAAGCCGTACCAAAGGCGCATCCTCCTCTGATGAGAAGAAACCACACCACGGGGAGCACCAGCATCGAGTACCGCGGTCCAAACAGCTGGACCACGAACGTCCGTGCGACAGTCGGAACCGCCACACACACCCGAAAGAGAGCAATGAGGGCCGCCACAGCTGCGAGGATGGTGACGAGATGGACCAGCCAGGGAAGAAACACGCTGCAGGTGGCCGTCACACGCTGCACCAGGTATTCCCGGGCCGTCTGTGGGCGCCTTCTGTAGGTCAGCACGCCACTGAGGCCCTTGTTGCAGATGGCAGTGTCGAGCCGGGCCGTCAGGTAAGCCTCGCTGATGAGATGGCAGCCGACGGTTTTCGAAGTGGCTCGCAGTGCGCCGCAGCTGTCTGCTGTGAGCCATCCTAACACCTCACCCGTGACGTCCCCAGGCAGGCCGGTCAGCTGACGGCACTTCATCACCGAAGGTCAGAAGGATAATTCAGGCCCAATCAGAAGATCAGAAATACTTTATGGCCCCCTTCGCACCTCGGCAGCCACACGGCCTACCTTTGCGGAAGATTGCGCGAGCTCAGTAACGTCTGCGAGCTTAGCCGAGAGAAGAGAAAGAAACGGCCTTCTCCTTTAGATCTCTTGTGTGAGCATAGACGAGGTTGACGAGAGGATACCGAGAGCCAAACAAACAGGCAAGTCGATGAATTATTCAATCACGAGAGTAGGAACACCGACACAACCGCCTGTTTCCCTGTGCTTGCTGTCCGTTGTTCGCTGCAGAGGGGACAAGCAAGACCAGCACCATGGAAGCCACTAGCCGCATCCCTCTCGTTCGCAGCCTTTGCTCCCTGGTGCCGCCGTCCCTGCGCGTCATGAGCCTCGAGGAGGCGGGAGACCAGCTCATCCGAGCAGAAGAGGCCGCCAGGGGCAAGACCATCGGCATGCGCGTGTTTGCTGCCATCGTCGTCTCGGTTGGGCTCGTGTGCATGACTACCGGCTTCGCCATCTGCCTGTCCATGGCAACTCTCACCAACAATACGTCGGTCGAGCAACCTGTCGCGGAAGCATACAACGACACACACGCGGCCATGCAGCTGTCGTTCTTGAGCAGCCCCGTCAGCACTGGCCAGCAGTGCCCTGCCGTTTGTGAGGCGGGCGAGTGGGAGGGGCAGCACCATGACGACAGCAAGGACGAACAGAGCAGCTACCATGGCCTCCCTGGGCCACCTGTGGATGAGGCTGCGGGGCACGCAGCTGATACGAATGGTGACGTCGAAGAGGATGCCGATGAGGAGGTCAGAAGCAAGGCGTCATCGGGCTACGGTGGGCAGGTGAGAGGCAGATCCACACCAAAACAGGTCAAGCAGGAAAGATGTCGTGTGTACTCGTGTCCGATATGGATGTGCAGCTTTTCTTGTTGTTGGCGTTGGCACTCGCCGCATTCTCTGCTTATCAGGTGGGAGGAGGGATACATGTCCTCAAGCTCATTCACACTTATGTGGCTGCAGGCTGCCCAGATACAGGCGCTCCAGACCCACCAGACGGCCATCCAGACGTCAAACGATAACGTAAGACGCACGATCCGTAATGACATTGCCGCACTCCTGCCTTCTTCTGTTGACCACTGCGCACAGCTGCGAGAATACGTTGACACCACCATGGCGACCATTCGTCAGGACACGGCCACTGGACTGGCGGCACTCAAAGCGGAGATGGAGCAGCAGATGACCACCCAGGTGTGACCAGGCCTTCACACTGAGGACATTCACAGACGCGATGTTTGTGTGTTCGGTGTCCATGCAGCTGCAGGACCAGAAAGTCCTCATCGAATCGACCCGCACTGAGATGCTCTCCAAGACGTCAGAGCTGCAGCAGGCGATCGGTGACAACAGCACGTACGTGGACACCAATTTGCAGCAACACGCTACTAAGGTCAGATCGACATGGGGAAGACACGGACTGACATACACGCAAATGCCCTCTCTCTCTCTCTCTCTCTCTGCTGTGTGTGTTCAGTTACAGGAGCTGCAGTCCATCATCGAATCAAACCAGACAATCGCACAGAAGAACACAGACGAGGTGACATGACAAACTAACTGCACACACTCAGACGAAGGCAAAGACGTGCAGTCTTCGTTTCTCTGGCGCCCCGACACTTGTGCGCAGCTGAGCACGGCCACCCGCAGGGAATTGCGCGCACAGGTACACTCCAATGGGCATCGCGCTCGTTCGTGTTATCTGTGTGTGTGTGTGTGTGTGTCTGGAGTGCCCGCAGGCAGCCCAGATACAGGCGCTCCATGCCAAAGTCGATACACAGGTACTCATGCCACGCAGCTGAATGCTTGAGGGCGCATACGTGTGTGTGTGTATATATGTGTTTGAATGGTCTCACGCAGGCCGAAGAGATGCGTGCGCTGAAGGGAGCCACCGACACATCGATCGACCAGGCAAGTGACGTCCCACATACACACGCTTAGCGCAGGCGAGATACGCTCCCTCCTGCCGTCTCACTGCATGCAGCTGCGCACACACGTGGACACCGATTTGGAGCAACACGCCACTCAGGTCAGATGGAGATGGGCGAAAGGCACACAGAGAGACATACGGATGCCCTCTCTCTCTCTCTCTCTGTTGCTGTGTGTGTTCAGCTACAGGAGCAGCAGGCGCTCATCGAGTCCAACCGAACAGCCGCACAGAAGAACACAGAGGAGGTGAACGGACAGAGACACACTCAGACAAAGACAAAGACGTGCACTTGTTGTGGCCGACATCGGTGTGCAGCTGGAGGAGGCCATCCGCAAAGAAATCCGCGCGCAGGTCTGCTCCAATGCGCACATGCTTATGCGACTGGCTGTGTATCTTGTTGCCTCTGTGTGAGGATATTCCAGTGCGTTTGGGCTGATTCGCCTCTCACAATCGGTCAGTACGTGGCCATGTGCAACTGGCTGGGCGGCAAGGAGTTCAACATCATATACAAGTAAGCGGCAAAGCACACATTCTAACTAGCAGCGCAGTAGCTCACGCGTGTGTGCGTGTGTATCAGGTCATCGCGTGACGGCACCACGTATAGCGATTTGCTCCGCTGTGTGGCCAGCAAGAACGGCCTGGTGATCATCATCCGCAGGGGCACATATGTCTTCGGCGTGTACATCAGTGCCGGCCTGCAGCTGCCCGACGACCCCACCAAGAGCCGCAGATACAGCTGTGATCTGTGGTATTTCTCATTGGCCGGCCACTTCCCCACACCGACCAAGATCGACATTAACGAAGAGTGCCAGCTTGTGGTGGTGGCGGGGAGGGAGAGGATTGTGGGTGGTGCGAATGTGTATATCGGCGGGGATCTGCGTCTAGGGTGGGGTGGCTTTGGCAGGGGTGGCCGGCCTGCCGTCGACATCTGCAGGTGCCGTCAGTGGACCTCCGGCCATGTGCCTGAGGGCTACACGGGAGAGAGGGATGAGGATGGCTGTGCTATGTTGGGTGGGGTGAGTGAGTTCATGGCTGATGAGATAGAGGTGCTGCATGTGGTGGGGCAGTGAGAGAGGGAGAGAGAGAGTTGTGTCTGGCTGTATGTGCCGCTTGCAGTGTTTTCTATCGATCTATCTCGTGTGGCCTTCGTGTGTCACTGACTCAGTGTCAGGTGTCACACATGCATATCTTCCTGTCATTCTTTCGACACGTGCTCCTGCGTGTGTGAGCTCTCTATTCCTGCGTGTGTCTTGATGGGTGTGTTGTTTGTCTGTACCATAGCTGGCTGTCGGAACGATGCTTGTACACACCACTTTTTGTGAATCATTGCTCGGTTGAGTCAGCCAGGCATGCAGCCACGTCCATGGCCAGCCCGGGAGGGTGCTGCTGCGCTCAGCGGATCTACAGCCGCTGTCTGCCTGCGGGCTACTTGGGAGTGAGGAATCAATATGGCTATGCAGTGTTGGGTGGGTCAGAGTACTTGAGGGCTGACGAGCTAGAGGTGCTGCACTTGGTGCACGCGCGGTAGTAGGTGGCCTGTCCGTATCGATACCGCTTTACCACATAAATCGCATCCCGGGCTATAGCTGTTGATGGGTGTCTGTCGTCTGTGTACCATAGATAGCCATTGATTGGTCGTGTCTCTCTCTTCTCTGCCTTGGGTCGTCTGGCGGATATCGAGTGTCTTGTTGACCACTCACATGTATAGCCAGCCAGTGAGACTGTGCCGTCCTTTATGCGACATTGTACCATTTCTTCCACAAGACGAGACGCTGTCCCTTAACCAAGTGTCATCAGTGCTGATCAACACCACACCACACCGTGTCAACACAGAGATGTCCGCGCACAGAGCCACCGAAAAACCTCTGTATGGCTGTCTGGCTGCCCTTCGTGGTGGCCGCGATGATAACTAACCTGTCCGTGTGGTGCGCTCAATTCGCTGGATGGTTTGAAACAAAGGAAATGGTCCGTCGATCCATCAGTCCATCCATCCATCCATCCGTCCATCCACCGGTATGTGTGTGAATGCAACGCTGCAGCCGTCTGCAGCTTTGAGAAGTAGGTCCTCCCCTTCTAGATCTGTGTGTAAGCGTAGACGAGGTTGACGAGAGGATACCGAGAGCCAAACAGACAGGCAAGTCGATGAATTATTCAATCGCGAAGAGCAGGAACACCGACACAACCGGCTGTTCCCCTGTGCTTGCTGCAGCAAGTGAGAGATCCGGGTGTCAGCAACACCATTATCGATGACAGAAGGCGACAGCCACAGCCGTGACCAGAGCACACCTCTCATTGAAGGCCTGAGGTCCCTGGCACCGTCCTCCCCGCGCGTCATGACACTCGAGGAGGCGGCAGATCGGCTTGTGCGAGCGGACAAAACAATCAACTGGCTCACGCGTGCGCTACTGGCGGTCTCATCGTTTGGGCTGATCTGCGTGGCTGTCGGCATCGTCGCCATCGTCGCCATCGTCGCTGGCTGGCCGATCCATGGGAGCCGGGCGGCAGTTCAGTTGCAAGTGACAACGGCCACCTGCCAAGACGTCCGGTCGACACTAGCGGAGATGATCGAAGAGAAGTTCGTGTCCCTGACGGAAGCCTTGCACCGGCAGATATCGACTCAGGTGAGACCGAAAGACACGACACATCCAGAGGGCCATAGACGATGTGCTGTGTGTCGTGTGATGTGTGTGTCCATGCAGCTGCTTGAGCCGAGCCGTTCTGAGGTGCTCGGCAAGACTCCGCATGTCGAGCAGACCATCGCCGCCAACAAGACAGCTGCGGAAAGCAACACACAGGAGGTGAGCCTGCACACACGCACACAGCGAGAGACCAGTAGATGCGCATCACCTCTTCTCGTTATCCTTGCTTGTGTATGCAGCTGTCCGAGGCATTTGGTAAAGGCGAAAAGGAGCAGACCGCCACGGACGCCAGCATACTCGTAAGCCATCTATCTGCCTTTGCAGGCTCTGGCGTTTATGTCCTTTCTGTGTCTGTTTCCCTGTGTTCAAGGCACCCCTCCATGACAGCTCACTCACAGTGGTCAGCTATCTTGCCCTGCTTGAGTGGCTGGGAGACGACAAGTCGCTTCGTCTCGCCTGCAAGTACGCAGCCGCACACAGATACATTCCACGTGCATCAGATTCATTTTGTTGTACGCCCGTCTGTATCTGTCAGGTCTTGACATTGTCCTTCACTTGCAACATTGATGTGTGCGTGTGAGTGCCCGCAGGCAGCCCAGATACAGCAGCTTCAAGGCAAAGTCGACACACAGGTATGAAGCACACATCGCACACACAGACAGTATGCAGCTTGGCAACATCTGTCGCATCGCAGGCGGCAGAGATCCAGGCGCTGAAGGAGAGCAGCGCAGCCGACAGGGCCGCCATCAATGCGGCAACCGAGCAGGCAAGGGACACCCACATACACACTCTCTGGGTCCATCCAGTGGCTAAGTGATGGACCCGCTCTTGCTGTCTTTCTCTGTGCAGCTGCGAGCCAACACGGAGTCCACAATGGTGACCATGCGCCAGGAGGCGGCGCTGTTGCAGACCATCGAGGACAAGATGGCCGCCATCAAAGAGGCGATATGGCAGCAGACGTCCGCTCAGGTAAATCAGAAAGACATAAGCACATATGAATGGGGCACACGTGGCTGGCTGTCCTGCTGTGTGACAGCTACAGGAGCAGAGAGCGTTCATCGTGTCAAACCACGATGAGTTGGTCGGCAAGGCTTCACGTCTCGAGCAGGCCATCGACGACAACAGGGCAGCGGCAAAGAAGAACACACAAGAGGTAAGCGAACAAACCGCCAAGATGTGCGTTCTTCATCTCTCTGTCTGTGCTCTGTCTGTGCAGTTGTGTGACGTCATCCGCGAGGAGGCGCAGAGCGAGATACAGTCGCTGAAAGACACCATCAACGCATCAATCGAGCAGGCAAGGGACACCCACGTACACGCTCTCTGGGTCATGTGTCCTTTGCCTTGGTGCAGCTGCGCACGTACGTGGACACCAATTTGCAGCAACACGCCACTCAGGTCAGATGGAGATGGTCGAAAGACACAGAGACAGACATACGAATGCCCTCTCTCTCTCTCTCTCTCTGCTGTGTGTGTTCAACTTCAGGGGCAGCAGGCGCTCATCGGATCCAACCAGACAGCCGCACAGGAGAGCACAGACGAGGTGAACGGACATACACACACTCACACAAAGACAAAGACGTGCACTTGTTGTGTCCGACATCGGTGTGCAGCTGGGGGAGGCCATCCGCAAGAAATCCGCGCGCAGGTCTGCTCCAATGCGCACATGCTTATGAAGACTGGCTGTGTATCTTCTTGCCTCTGTGTGTGGATATTCCAGTGTGTTTGGGCTGATTCGCCTCTCACAATCGGTCAGTACGTGGCCATGTGCAACTGGCTGGGCGGCAAGGAGTTCAACATCATATACAAGTAAGCGGCAAAGCACGCACTCTCATACTAGCAGCACAGTAGGAGCGCGTGTGTGTGTATCAGGTCATCTCGTGATGGCACCACCTATGGCGATTTGCTGCGCTGTGTGGGCGACAAGACCGGACTGGTGATCATCGTCCGCAAGGACATGTATGTCTTCGGCGTGTACATCAGTGCCGGCCTGCAGCTACCTGACGACCCGACAGACTATCGCAGGTACAGCTGTGGTGTGTGGTGGTTCTCATTGGCCGGCCACTTCGACACACCGACCAGGATCAATGTCCCACGACGGCAGTATGTGTCGGTGGCGGGGAGGGAGGGGAGCACGTCATGGGGTGGAGTGTGTACATCGGTGAGTGGCTGTGGCTGGGGTGGGGTGGCAGGGACAGTGACCGGCCTGCTGCCGACATCCGCAGCTGCCGTCAGTACACCTACAGCCACCATGTGCCTGAGAGCTACATGGGAGAGAGCAAAGCAAAAGCAACGGACCTTCTGCTTGACCTCGATGGACGCCACACGGGGCAGCATGGCGGCCGGGTCGTTGAGGAGGTACTGGGGCAGGGGATGCTGGCCGCCGCAGAACTCGATGGTGAGTGTGTGGGCTGAGGGGCAGGCGAAGGAGGCGGCGGGGACGATGGCCGCCGCATTGTCACGCGCGTGATGTGTGCGTGTGGGGAGTGTGACGGTCTCGGCCTGCTGGCAGCATGTCTCGAGCGTCGACTGTGCGTCGGCAAGGGGGGCTACGGCGCCCGACAGGGGCAGGCGGAGCTTGACACCCCCCATGCAGCCCTCGCCGTCGGTGAAGCCGCCACGGTAGTCCTCGCGCGCGCCCTCGGCCACACAGCTGGAGCGGAACTTGTGCAACGCCTGTTGTTGTTGTTGAGACAGACAGAGGGAGAAGCGTGTGGTGCATTGTCTGCTCACCCACCGTCCATTTTGGTGTCTTACTTTGATCATGTCTGTGGTTCTGATGTCTGGGAGTATCATCTGTATGTTGTGCAGGGGGCCCCCCATGTCGGAGCCCATCAGCGCGATGAAGCCCTCGTCGGCTGCCGGGGCGGACAGGTTGTGATGCACGCGACCCGACAGGCTGGCGAGCGACTTGGCTGAGCCATAAACCATACACGCACGGAGAGGGATGACGGCATGCGGATGTGTCGTGTTGCGTGTGGTGTCTCCACATACCTGAGGGCGTGTCTTTGATGGCCTTTGCGATTTTGTCGATCTCCACCTTCTCCTTGCAACTCGGATCATCCTGCACACACACACACACACACAGGGGGGCACGAAGGTACTTGTACTGATTCGTGGGTGTTGGTTGGGTTGTGTCGCATCATTTCTTCTGACCTTATCCACCATGAGGTCGAGCGATGTGAGTCCCTTCTCAGCCTTGGCGATCCAGCTTAGGGGGGCGGCCATGGTCACGCTCACCGTGCTGAGCTCAAGCAGGGCGGGCCACGAGTAGCTGCGATCCTCCACAAGCTTGGTCCACACACTGTTGACCGACACCTTCTGCAGACGCGAGAACACCTACGGCTTCTGACGAAGCGACAAGGGCCGACACACAGTACATTGTCATTCCGCCGTTTCCTTCCTCCTTCCCACCTTGATTGAGGGTAGGTATTTGACCTTCTTGAACTCGCCCCTTCGCCACTGCATGTCCGTTGCGTCGTGTCTGGGCTTCTCGCGGCCCTTCTTGTCGTACTCAGGCTCCTTCGGAGGGCACAGCAGCTCCACCGACTCAACCACGCCCGCCAGCCTCTCCAGCAGCTGCACGAGGGTGACGGTGGGGCGGTGGTTGACGCGAAACACTCGGCACTCACGCAACGGCGCAGACGAACGACCTGACGCACACGCAGGCACACAAAGAGGGAGGATGTGTCGGCTCATGGGTGGCGTGTTGCTGCACACCACTGACCTGTCCATTTGTTGATGGTGTTTGCCTTGGGGCTGCGATCGAGTTCGACGATGGGGTGCATGGCGCGCTGCTGTGTGAGGGCTCTGATGGATGTGCTGACGGGTGCGAGGGACTCGATGGACGGCACGAAGCCGAGGTACGCGCCCAGCCCGAAGCCGCCCGTCCCCTCAGCCGTGCTCATCCAGAGCGGCTCAGGCAGATCCTCCAACGACAACTTAGCCTGAGAGAGACCAACCGAGATGGAACAGCAATTGTGGAACAGCCGATGTGTGTGTCTGTCATCATAGTGTGTGTGTGTGTGTCGTGTGGTTACCTCCTCGTTGTGGTCGATGTCCTTGATCTTGTCGGCGATGGCTTGCATCTTCTTGACCACTGCCTCCAGCTGCGACGTGGCCCTCACGCTGCTGTCGTGGACCTGCGTGTTGGCGTCCCTGGTCACCATCGAACACCACACACGGGCGTGACGCTCCACCTCCTGCCACCCAACACCATCAACACCATCAACACCATCAACACCCTTGTGTGTTGCTGATAGTGTCGGTTGGTGTGTTGGTGTGTTGGTGTGACCTGCATGCGGTTGTGCTGTCTGTTCGACTCGGGCGGTGGGAGGGCAGCCTTCAACTCAAACACATGCTCCGCCTGACACACACACACACACACACACACAACAAGGTATAAGTGCTGCTGCTCCATGCTTGTGTTTGCATTTGTGTGTGTGACCTTGGCCTTGGCGTCCTGCACCCGCTGCAGCTGCTCCTGCAGTCTGTCAGCCATCGCAGCGAAATAGGCCACCACATCACCACCACCCACACCAACATCCTGCACACAACACAACACAACACACGGAAGCAAAGCAACAGTTCCATCCATCCACTCTTTTCATTTGTCCCGCGTTGCTTGCTCCCGCCCTCACCTCCATCTCGATATCGTCGTCTGCTGCCTTATCCGCCTTGGATCTGCCCGCACTGTCCACCTTTGTGCTCTTGCCCTTGTTCTTGGCTTTGGCTTTGCCCTTGTCGTTGAGTTTGGCCTTCTTCTGCACGACGGCCTTGGTGCGGCGCCCCTCCCACTCTGAACCCCCCTCATCGCTGCTCTCATCCACCTCCTCGTCACCCACAGGCCGCTTCTTGCAATTGCCGCCGGCTGCCGCAGCGGACGACGCAGCCAAAGAGGCAAGTACGGCTTGGCGGGCTGTCAATCGGGCTGTCATCTTCGAAGGAAATCGAGCTGGATGCAATTGCAAAGATGTAAACAGCGTCCGCGGCCAGGATGCCGGGGGCTGGAGGCAAGCCCTCAGTCTCGGATAGAGAATCCATTGGAAATGCTCATCCCGGGATGCTCATCCCTGCAGGACGTAGGGAAAGGTCGTCAAACCCTTACCGACCGGCCGACCGTCAGCCCAAGTTTCCATGGAAACCAGTCTCATCAATGTCTGCGTAGACACAGAATCTATCTCTGGACACACACACTATCATGAATGCATACGGACAGGTAGACGAGAGCGCTCGAATGAGTGAGTCATGCCAAAAAAACACGTCGCACAAACAACATCGTCCCAGCTGCCCTGCCCCATCTGTTGACCGCCACTACAGAATGTGTACATCATATCTACGCATTGGCCTTGGCGGCCTCCCATATCGTCCTGGCCATCATCTCGCCCCCTTTGCTGGAGGGCTCCACCCGGTCGACGTACAGCGAAGAGTCGGTGCCGTCCAGCACGTCAAACAGAGCCAGCGGCACCACCTTAGTGCCCTCAATGCGGACGGCTCGGGTGCCTAGCTCATACACCTGCCGGATGGCCGCTTGCAGCTTCTCGGGATGCGTGTCATAGTCCAACGCCTGTATGTTGACACACGCAGATACACACATGCACACGCCACACCTCTGTCCAGAATGCTGGCTGACCGCCAGAGCGCTGTTGGCCCACGAGGGTGTCCTCCTCTGGTCGGGAAAGTATATCATACAGACAAGGACAAGTGCCGGCCGCGCCTTCTCAATCAGCTTCATCACATAGTGCCGCGTGTCATCCCGAAACATACCCACAAAGTGCCCCAGGGCCATGTCGATGTCCTCGGGGCTCTCCGAACCGATCAGCAGCGACGCGTTGGCCATCGTGGCGGCTGAGGGGTTCAATGCGATATCGTTGCCACCGACAGACACCACCAGCACGTCGTTGGGGCCGACGTTGTCTCTGATGAAGGTGTCGTGTGGGAATATATAAGAGCCGTTGCGAGCGGCGAGTGTCGACTCCTCGACAGCCGTGTTGATGCAGATGGTACGTGTGGGGGAGGTGGGCGTTGGGTCGGCCTCGTGGGCGATGATGCTGTTAAGGTGGAAGGCCACGTCAGGCCGACACAGCGGCGGACTCAGTACATGCTCGTACCTGCGTTGAGGCAATCAAGACACAGACCACCAACCGTCACACACCCGTCCATCACTGCTTGGCGTACCCACCCGTTGGCTGCGGGCACCGTTTCGTTGAGCCAGGCTTTGTTGTCCAGGCTCGAGTCGCCCGCCAGCCAGATGAACCGATGCGGCTGGGTTGGCGCGACCTGATTCTTCAGGGCGGCATACAGATGCTCCAAATCGCTGATCTTGTGGCCGTGGAACTCAGAGAAAAAACGGTCGTGGGGAATCGATGAAGCCGCGGGACCATGCTGGTCTGAAAGCGCAGAAAGTGCACAAATGAATCCATGTGTCTGCGTGATTGGCCATTTTCTGTCCTCACTGGCGTCACCATCGAGGCGCCGGCGCCACATCTCTTTGGACCTGATGAAGCGTAGAAGGACAACATGCACAGATGTAATGTGATGATCCATCGCCCGCCCACCAGCTGGCTGCTTGAGCTGCAGCTCAATGAAGAAGGATGATCAAGCCGGGGCAATGAAGAAGGATGATGGCTGCAAGGAACACACGCACGAGGCTGGAAGGAACAGATTCACACACGCCTGGACACGCGCATCTACATGCTTTCGCTGATATCCCTCACCTCTGTGGCATCGTCCCATCATTCACGTCAAAGAACGATGTCGAGATCTTGCCTGTACACCAGCACCTCCCCGCTTCAAATGCGAGCTCAAAATGAGAGATAAGCCCGCAAATAATGAGGGCCAGAGAAGGAGCAGAAACAGGAGGGCCTGACGCAGCAAAGCGACAGGTAGGTAATCGGACACAGATCTCGTCGTTCGCTTCTCACGTTGATTCTCCTCTGCTTCTCATGGATTGTCTGAAGGAAGAGCGGAAGGCATGATCCGCTTCAGTCGTCCGTTGCGCAACCTTCCCGTTGCCGCGCCTGCCGCCGTTGATGCATCGGCGGTACCCCTGTTTGTTGCCGAGACCAGGAGGGCGCCTCAGAGCGTAAGTGTGCTTCATATGAACAGACACATTTGTGAGCCTTTCTGTGTGCTGTGTTTGTGCTACAGATGGCATCTGATGATGTGCGCCCAGCCAAGCAGCGGAAGGTCGTTCGCCTGAATGGCCTCAAGAGTGAACACTTCGCGAGAGGTCAGTCGGTCACTCAGTTAGTGTAACTCGGGAGATCATTCCCATCGGTATGCACATCTCTCTCTCTCTCTCTCTCTGTGTGTGTGTGTGTGTGTGTGTGTGTGCAGGTGAGCTGTGGGCGGATGTGCGTGAAGATTGGCGTGAGTGCTTGGTCGACCGCTTTGGCAGAAGCCATACATACCTCAGGTAGTACACAAATCGCAACCACAGCAACACGTGTGTGCACACCTGTCCGTGTATGCCAACGTCTGGTTTCTGTTTGTCGGATGCAGGATATCTCTGACAGAGAGGTGTAACCTGAGATGCCAGGTGAGCGGTGCTGGGTGGGTGGATGGATGGATGGATGGCGCACATATGTACCCCCATGTCTGTCTGTCTGTGTCTGTCCAGTACTGCATGCCGGCCGACGGCATCGACCTGTCGCCAAACGACTCAATACTCACTGCACACGAGGTACAAAGAGAACTACAGACGCATATATAGATCGATCACGAGATGTCATCTGTCGACTGTGCCATAACTTACGGCAGACCGTCCGTTTCGCGTCCATGTTTGCTCAAGCGGGAGTGGACAAGATCAGACTCACAGGGGGAGAGGTACGCTCACAGCCGAGGCTCAGGTCGATGTGGGCGTACTCGTATGTCATGTCTGTTCCGCAGCCGACCGTCCGTAAGGATTTCGGTGACCTTGCGATGCGCCTCGGCGAGATACCCGGGCTCAAGACGTTCGCGGTGAGCACGATGCATGCAGACATTATACACACGCATCGCGATCGCTCTGGGACCGTGCATCCGTGCTTGTGTGTAGATGACTACCAACGGCGTGACGTTGATGCGGCACATCGATACCCTCAAGAAGGCGCGGATGAACTGCATCAACATCAGCCTCGACACACTCGTGCCCGCCAAATTCGCTTTCATGGCGAGGCGAAATGGGTTCGAGAAAGTCTGGTACGTGTCCACAAATACACATACACACACACACATGTATATACGTGACTGGGTGTGTTGCCTGATGGATGTGGATGCAGGGAGTCGATCAATTCGGCGCTTGAGGGCGACTTCTGTCAGCTTAAGATCAACTGTGTCGTCATGAAGGGATTCAACGACGATGTGAGCACGCATGAGCCCGCAGACACGCAGACACCTGTTATACTGATGCCTGTATCCACGCCTTTCTGTGTGGATGTGTGCGTATGTGTGCAGGAGCTGTGTGACTTTGTCCGTCTGACTGAGGAGTGGCCCGTCCACATCCGGTTCATCGAGTACATGCCATTCACCAAAAACGGTATTGACCGATCGCCGGACACACTAATGTCTGCACCTTCATCCACGGACGAATGACGCGTGTGTGTTTCGTCGCAGGTTGGTCGGACAAGCGCATGGTGACCAAGGAGAGCATGATCAAGAAAATACGCAAGGAATTCCCCTCACTCGCGCGGGTGGGTATTCACATATCCCTGCACACACGCGAGACCTTGTATGCTTTCTATGTGCGTGTGTTTAGGCGGATGACCCGTCGCCCAACGAGACGGCCCAGCTGTATCGTGTGGCGGGATTCCGCGGCTATGTGGGGTTCATCTCGTCCATGTCAGACATGTTCTGCGGGTCATGCAACCGAATCCGGTACGTATGTGGCGTCTGCTAGTTACTTTTTGCATGGATGGATGGCGTGTGAATTGCGGGTGCGTGTGTAGGTTGACGGCCGACGGCAATCTCAAGAACTGTCTGTTCGGCGTGGAAGAGTTCAACATACGCAACGTGCTGCGCAGGTCAGCACCAGCAACACGTGTGTACATAGTTATGTTGTGCGACCCATCCACCCCTCTGTGCGTGTGTGTATGTGTGTCTGTCTGTGCAGCGGCAACAGTGACGATGAGGTAATGGGTGTGGTCAAGGAGGCCGTCCAAGCCAAGAAGAAGGCCCACGGAGGCATGCACTTCCTGGCCGAGCAGGCCAACCTCAATCGGCCCATGATCAAGATCGGCGGGTGAACCGGGGCGACTTTTTCATGTGCTCCCACTCTCTTTTCGTATGCGCACGGACAGTACAATGCCGCCATGTACAGATGGACAGACACACATACACTGCTGTATGTACAGCCAATGGTCTTCTCGATGCCCATCATTCATGCCGTGGAGTTTTTGCGATGGAGACCCTGCCTTCCTGTCTGTGTGCTCGGTGCACCGTTTTGACACTATCTGTCTATCCCTTGGGTGTGCATGGCATGGTCGATTTTGTCCCTGTCTGTATGCATTTATACAAACAATGAAGGACGGTGCCGCTTAGTGCAAGGTCGATGAATGGATGGATGGATGGATGGGCGGGCATGTTTTTCTGCCCGGCCATTCGTCGCTTCCGTGCATCCATGTGTGTGTATGCGACATGACAGACGTTTTCCGCGTGTGTATGAAAGGCCTGTGTCATCGTGAAGGACGACTGAAAACACAACATGCACCCACCCATACACACACACACATGCACATACGCACACACACATCACCTAACCGCACCCTCTCTGTCCCTGTCTCTCGGATAAGCAAAGTGCAACAGCGAGAACACAGCCACAGCCAAACACCAGGGCAGCGCAATGGTGGCCACGAGCGCATGGGCAAGGGCCTGCGCGTTGCCCCTCCTCTGTGCGGGGTCCATGTGCTTGATCAGCTCGGGTGAAAAACGATAGCCGAAGAAATCCTCAGCCAAACGACCCACCAATGGCGCGCCAAAGAGGGCAGATGCGAACACCTCCACACCAATCGTCTGCAGGAATGGATGGACGCACACATGAAGACACGCACAGAGAGAGACACCATGCACACAAATGGATGGTGTGTGGTGTCTCGTGAGTGCTGTTCCTCTCACCCATGCGAACACAGTGGCTCTCTGTTCCTTGGAGATGATTTCACTCAGAATAGGACGCACGACGACCACCCCCGCCCACCCACTGGACAAACCCATCACGATGCCAATCGCCGCGAAGTAAGGAACAGAGCTGCTCTCACGAGGGAGACACAGCAGCAGATAAGTGATAAGAGGGATCTTCAGCAAATACCCAATCTCGCCTGCAACACAAAACGGACGGACGGATTGATAGACAGAGAGCATCCAAGTCTGTCTCCCTTCCGCGCACCGAGAAAAAGACGTCCATGGTTGGGTGACCATCTGTTGAGGCCGTCAGCGAGATACCCGCCGAGGGGGCCGGCCATTGCTGTGGCTGCTAGCGATGCGCCGGTGAGCAGGGCCACGTGCAGGTCATCAATCTGGCAGTACTGGAAGTATACACACTTCATGGTATGCATTGCGATCAACCATCCGTGTAGGCAGTCAGCGGGGGATTACCTGGAAGTACATGATCAAGAAACTCCCAGCCGACAGCGAAATGGCAGCAAAGAAACCCTAACGAGAAAGACAGAGACACATGTCTTTTTGAAGGGTCCCGAAACGGATGGGCTTTCACCTGAATGATAACGATCTGAACAGTGGGGTAGCGAAGGAAGGCGAGTGAGCCCCTCCAGTGGTCCGTAAGTAATAAAGAGGCGACCGATGCACTGTCACTCATGTGGGTGGTCTCCGTGGCACCAGCAGTGGTAGCAGTGTCTTGTGTCTCTTCACTCATCGGCTTGTACGTGTTTAATGGCAGGCACATGGCAAACAGAATGCTGACAATCGCCACCGCAAAATGAGCGACGCGCCATCCCTTTAAAAAAGTTGGCCATCATCCAAGCGGCAAACAGAGACCCACGGCATCTTTATTACTTACGCAGATGCCGAGAATGACTCGATTGGAGATGCTAGTAGTGCATATCTGGCTGACCAGCCGCCCCACCACTTGAGTGAAGTGGATCCAACCAAACATGCGCCCCAGCTCCTTCTCGGCATACTCCCCCACAACACACTGCGCCACAGGGTTGACTGCAGCCAGGCCGACCCCCAGAATGGCACGAGACACCATCATTGGAGCCAATGTGGACACCTATGAGAAAGTCATGTGGGCCACGGTGTGCTTTGATGGATGTGTTGATCTCTTCTCTTAGTCACCGCTGCAGCCATTCCGCTGGAGAGGCCCCACATGAGACAACCCAGCAACAGCACGGTCAGGGGTGGATAGTGTGCGTCTGCTGTCCTGCCCCAGACGGGCGATGTGAGGGCGAAGGCGAGGGTCTCGCATAGAGTGATCAACCCCAAGTATTGAGGGCTGAAATGCAGGTCACTTTCCTGAATGAGAGAGCGCAAGGCGCAGTTGTCAGTGCAGATGCACACACAATGCATACCAGCGCTTTGTATGAGGCGGGAAGCAGCTGGTCTGCACATCCGCTCAGGGCCACACCGACGCCAAGGAGGGCAAACGTCCGCTCCAGGCTCTCCTCCCTCTCCTTTAGGGCTTCGGGTTTGAGTAGCGGCGCCCGTTCTTCTTCCTCTCCTTCGTATCTGGCCGATACTGCTCGCGATGCTATAGGTGGTGATAAGGGCACGATGCTGTCTTCGGGATCCCATTGCATGGTTGGTCGCAGGGCTTGGGGCGCATGCAGACTGGGGGTTACTGGGGGAAGCTCGCAGAAGCCGAAAAAAGCGACTCCTCTGCTCTTGTCGTCACGGTAGCGAGTCTGTAAGATGCCCATAGCCGCTAAGGCAATACCGAGGCCGCCAACGCTCCTCCACGGACAGACGGATGATCCCAGGGTCAGCGATGATGCCCACTGCAACTTGAAGCCTTAGGCACTGAAAGCTGGGTAATTCTCTGAAATGCAGAGGGCGGATGTGTATCCGGCTGAGTCCGATTCGGGGTCGAGTGAAGACCTTGTCCATCTGCGAGAAGCCGACCGGCAAACAAAGCCACCGCCGATAGAGCAGGCTGAATCCCTGGATGACGTCAAGGGGGAGCTGCCACCTGCTCTGCGAACGATAATATACTCACCCCGGCAGGTGAACCTTCTAGAAGGGCAGTTACCAAACACGCTTGGAGTGGAGGACTCTTTCTGTTTGCAGATGGTACACAGATCCGCTGTCTTGACAACAAATGATTTTAGAGATAGCATCAAGGAGGCCATCGACAAAGGAGATGCAGAAGGCCTGGAGAACATGTTCATGGGGATGAAGCCTGAGCATGTCGAAATAACGCTGAAGAGCGGAGACTGGTGCGGCCATCATTCGGCCATCCATTATGCTGCAGGTAGGTACTGCACCTGCGTATCAGGTGTTGGGGTGCTTGCCAGCACTGCTTGGGGTGTTTCTTAGGCACTTGTCGTGATGCGGAAGTCTTTGAGACGCTGCTGCAGGACCGACGACATCTGCTCTCTGTCAAAGATGCGGTAAGTAAGATGCATCGTAATCGACATAGCCGACAAGTCCCTGGTGTGTATCTGTGTTGTATGTGTGTTGTATGTGTCTGTGTGCTCTGTGTCTCTCAGAGGGGCAGGACGCCTCTTCACGTCGTGGCCGAGAAGGATGAGCTTTATCTTGTGGAGAAGTTTGTCGATTGGGGCGGGTCGGACCTGCTGAAATATCAAGACGAGGTGAAAGTTGTGTCTCTCCACTGATGCATCAGAAATACTAAGGTCTTTCTGCCTGATTCAGAACGGCTACACTGCGCTCCATTATGCAGCCGGTAAGTCATCTTGCAAATGGACAATAATACAGAAGTATTGATCTCTCAAAGACGTCTCTTGTCGACCTCTCACAGACGAGGGCCACGCTGATGTCGTGGAGTGGATATTGAAACTGTATCCACAGCTGCTGAAGACCAAGAACAATGTGGGCTACACTGACTACATGCACATCTCAAATCACTGCCGCTCATCTGTGACAGGACGGAGAGACGGCTTTTGATCGTGCTCTGATTGCGGCTGGGATGGTCGGTGTAGTCTTCTTCTCGGCGAAGGTTCTCACTGTGATGGTTGGCGTGGCTGGACACATGGTCATAGAGCTTCTGGAGACGAGTAGCGAGCAGCTCGATCAGCTGTTAAAGCCTCAGGTCCTTCAAGAAGTGGTTCCATTTATGCGTGGCTTCCTGAGGGATCGATCGGAGTCGCCTGGCATCGACAGTCTTCGGTCTTGTTCCGTCTTTCGTCAGCTGATGCAGTCTCGACAGCAGGATTCCCTCAGCGATGATCTTTCGAAGTTAGCGGAATGGCTGGAGGTGAACAGGGAGAACCAGCATCCTTTGATTCTGCATCGATCCATTCGTGTGGCTCTCAGGCATTTGCAGCCGGCTTCTGCACCGATACATCAGAGAATGACTTCCGCGAAAGTCTTGCCGGCAAGGGGAAAGAATGGCTTACACTGCTTGAGGCTGCAGAACCGCTACAAGTAGTCACGCAAGGTGAATCGGATCATGTATCCGAATCTGCTACCTTGTCCATGTCTGTTATTTTCTTCTGCGAATGACTGCGACAGCGAACTCCATTTCCTTTGTCACATGTAAGAAGAATACAAGAGACATACAAGACATTTCGCGAACTCCTTGTGTGTCTATCTCGTGAAGACCATTGGCAAGAGACATACAAGAACGGCAGCGCCAACATCTCGCCGCGTGACGTGTTCATCAGCCGCGTGCTGTCGATGCTTATGATGTACTGCTGCAGTGGCCAGAAAGTCGCGTATTGGTCATTTCTTTTCTTTTTTTGCTGCATTGTGCCGCAGGGTCACCTTTGTGCTTCTTCACATAGAGGAGCTCAAAGGAAATGACGACGCCAAGTTTTCATGTATGGGGCAGTCTGTGTGGCTGTGGAGCACCGTAATGACTGGCATTGGATTCATTCTGCAGGAGATTTCTCAGGTGAGGAAGAAACGAGGCACACCGCATCTATATGCATGCTCTCTTCTTGTTCGTCTGCAGTGCATTCGCCTTGGGACATCGTACTGGGCGGACTCATGGTAAGCCCCAAATACACAAAGCCAGGTGTGCTGGTGGCTCCTTGCTTTGCTGTGGGGCAGGAACTATATTGACTCGGTGAGTTCCCTCACCATCATCGCCTTCATCATCACCCACTTCACGGGGTGGTCGGATGCCATGAAAGTCAAGGCAGGTGTTCTGATTGCCCTGCTTTTCGCCCTGCGCATCCTCCAGACAGCTAGCCTGCATCCCACTGTGGGGCCACAAATTCTGTGAGCACAGCCATGGCGACACAGAGCCATGCTTCGCAGCAGCATATCATCTGTGCGGCATGTCTGACCAATCAGTGCTGTGCTGAGAATGCTGTCCGACATCAGCATGTTCCTGCTGCTATACCTCTACATCCTGCTGGTCTTCGCCGCCATTCTTCTGTTCTCCTACAACGAAGACCATGAGTTCTTCGGCACCTATGGCCAAGCCACACTCAACTTGTATGTATGTGAGCGCATGAGAAGACAGTGCGCGGCCATGACATGGTGCTCTTCACTCTGCAGCTTCTATGTCGGCTTTGGCGACTTCGACAACGCACTGAACAATGCCATCGAGTCCCAAGACACGCTGGGCACCGTGCTGCTCCTCATCTATGCCGTACTGTCATCCATCATACTTGTGAGCCACTGGACCATATCCATGGAATGTCACACATGCATTTCTTGTGTTGTTGCTCGGATAGCTCAATCTGCTTATCGCCATCATGGCGTCAACGTATTCGGCGATCGAAGCGACACAAAACGCGCAATACCAGTCGAGAAGAAGCAGAGGGAATGAAAATCGATGCATAATAATATACTTTTGCCCATTCAGGTTGCTGCGCATTCGCGTGTTGAATGAGTATCTCACTGTGTCTCAGCACGAGCGGCATGCGCCACCGTTCAACCTCATCGGTCAGTGAGAAAATTATCTCATCCTGAGTCATCCATCGAAATGTGAGCATGACTGTGCGTCTGTCTTTGCAGCTGTGGTGATATCCGTGCCCTTACGATACGTCTCGTCTCTAATGAGTGAACAACGGCGGCAGCAGTCGACACTCTGGCGCATGGTCTTCTGGTCGAGCAAAGCCGTGTACTCCACGGTTGACGCCATTCTCTTTGCCATCGCCTTCATACCAGCCGCCATCTATCGTGGGCTGGAGGACTTTCTGCAGGCGATGCGGCGGGGACACTATTTAGAGGCTCTCTCTGTCGTCCTCTATCCCCTTGCGCCTTTGTCCATACTCTACGACAGTCTGAGAGGCTTCTGCACATCACAAGTGAATGCGAAAGAGTGTGATCCATCATTCTGTGGGATGTGTGTGTGTTCGTGTGTGTTCGTGTGTGTTCAAGGAATCTGATGATACCATCGATGGGACGTCTCGGAGACAAAGTGTCCCATTGCCTCGGTCACAAACATCGTTCCCAAAGCTTCCGTCGCTGTTGCTCTCTTATGAGAGAAGTGCGACGAGGACAAGGCGTGAAGCACGCAAGACATTCAACGGGAACATCCACAGGTGGATTGAGGCCGCAGACCATCACAATTTATCCTTTCCTGACGTCATCGCAGGTGAGACACAAACACGGTACCTGTGCAGGCTGTAACTCTTCTGTTTGTATGGCAGCACTTAATCAACTCAAGGATCAGATTCAGAAGAATGAGTCAGGTGAGGAAGATCACTTCGTGGCTACCTTCATCCATGTGTCTCCTCTCCCGTGTGTCAGTGCTGCAAGACATCAGCAAGCGGCAAATCCGGATGGAGGAACGATTGGCGCTGGTACCAATGAACACATGACATGACCTTTCTCTGCCCGTGCTGATGTATCCTTTCATTTCTAGAGCATCGAATCTGGGCGTCTTGGCCGACACCTATACAGACGGCATACAACAGACTCTCACCAGCCGATGTGCACACGTAAAGTGCATTCAGCTCAGTGCTCGTCATGCATGTCTTCGACAGCATATGCCAGAAGCCCGTCGACGTATTCTGCCAACCACTCTTAGCGCGGGAAAAACACATCATTTGTAGTCGTTTTCGTGTCTCTCTCATTCATCCAGCTGGATCAAGCAAGTGCAAAGTAGCAGGGAACTCATGCTGTAGAGGGCCGTGTACATGTCTTTAGTCGCTGCACTTGATGTCCGTACTGTCTGTGTGTGTGTGGGTATCCATGGACGCTTCCGAGGTATTGTATACGTGTGAGACGCCATCAATATGCATCGAATCTGACGTGATTGCATTATTGTCTGCTGGATGAACACATCAATAGCAGGTATTCATGTGTTCATCCAATGTGCGACCTATAGACAGCCATCTGCCAATCCTTGTCTTGTACACAGCATCCCCAAAGATTACCAACCCACTCACCCACCCACCCTCTTTCCCGCCCAATCACTCGTCCTCCTTCTGTCTGTGTAGACGACCCCCAATACAGATATAGATCGCCGCAACTAGATCGAAACATGCAGCAGCAGAATGAGGGCAAGACGAAATCGGCCACCAGCCCTGCACAGGGGGCCATGCACGGTGGTGCTCGTAGAGCTGGCCGGCTTCGTAGACGCCTTTTGATCGATTGCTTTTGATTCATGACATGACATGACCAGTACTTGCTAATCTCTGAACAGATATCTATTCGTCCCTTGTTGCGAGACACTGATCATGAGTGAGGCTCTGTCTGTCTGTCTATCTGTCTGCCGTTCTGTGTGTGTGTGTGTGTACGTGTGTCGTCACACGTGCTCTGGCGCATAAGATGACTACACTTTTCCGTCTCTTCTCACGTTGTTGATATATATTGTGTAGAGCGGTACTCTGTCTGTTGATATGATCTGGTAGCAGAGGTCGATCGGCACTGACGTGTCGATCGTGGCGACTTTTCCGTTTCTCCAGTGAATCGCACTGTTTGCGTCTGCACACACATCCGTACACGCAACGTGCAAACATACAATTGATCATGAATACAGCACACGCAGCCTCCATCAGAAAGCTGGAAGGGCCGCACGATACGACACGCATGCATACAAACATGCCCTACTAGTCTGACGTATCGACGGGTATGTATGGGGGCGGCTTGACCGGCAGACGCCGCAGACGGTCCACAATGAACTGCTCATACGCGTGGCACCACTCGACTGACCTGATGTCGTCATCTATCACCTGCACACGAACACACAGAGAGCCGCCGTATTCATGCACGGATACGTACACACGTGACATGCACTTGCGCTTACGTCCGCATGTGGCAGTCCGAATATTCTCGAGACTCGTCTCGTTCTGGTCTGATGTCTCTCCCTCTCCATGGCCTCGAGGGCCTCCTTGGCCGCTGGCGGCAGATGATGCAAGAACCGCTCCATCGACAAAATGCTAACACAACTGACATATGCACGAGAGCGGGAGAGAGACGTGTGTGCTGCTTGTCGGTCTGCTCACAATCTCATGGGTCCATCGTTCTTGAATGTGACGGTTGGGAAGTTGTAAAGCCGCACGATGGCGCCGCCCGTGATGCATGGGTACCCCGGGCGGCGCATCATGCCGCGAGATATCAGCAGGGAGGCCGTCTCATCATTGCAATGCAGACTGCAACCAATTCGAAAGAGAGAGAGGGAGACATCCGTCCACACACAGACGGCCCCCTTTCTCCCTTGCTATCTGTTTACTTGCTCGTGAATGAGCTCCATTTTGCTGCGGTCGTTGTAGCCCTTGTTGACGTCGAATAGTGAGTGTGTGTCGGCGTGGAAGGCCAGAGAGCCCTCCAGGAACCGCTCGCTGCTGTACACGCCACGCTGACCGACCAACGCACACAAATGCACACACACACAGACACATGTGGATGGACGCCGATTGTAAGTAGGCATCGTTAGCTTACGTTATCGTTGGGTGTGACTCTTGTCTCGACCGACACAAAGTCGGTCTGTGCGTTGAGCCAGTCGGGGCTCTGCGGCTCGTTGAGTCGATACATTGGGATGTGGAGAAACGGATAGCCGCCGCCTGACAGACACACGAGACACACATTGAGGGGGAGGAAAGGAGACTGTGTATCGACGGATGTGTTGGTTCTCTCTGCCCACCTTCTGTCTGTTGTGCGAGGTCAGCGAGTTTGACGATCTCATTCCACATGGGCAGAGTGACAAACAGCCCGCCGTCAAACACCAACACCCACCGGCCAGACGAATGCTGACAAAGAGACAAAATCCGCCTTGGGTGTCGTTCATTCATCATCCATCCATCCATCCATCCATCCGTGTTCGTACGTACCTCTAGGAGCTCTCTGCCTTCCTGCAGGACGACATTCCTCGCCTGGTTTAGCTGCACTATGTGGTTGAACATCCGCAGATGCTTCTCCAAAGGCACACCGCGGTGCCGATGCCCCTCACCCACGCCCACATCCAACAGCACCATCTCGCCACCGTCATCAGCCGCCTCTTCCCAGTCGAGCCGCCGCTCAATGACCGCCTTCTCACTGACCCCATGCTGTCGAAACAAAGCCATGATCTTGTCCCTCTCCGTCTGAATGACGATCCTGTTGACCAGCCACCGCTTCTCGCAGTCCGGCAGAGCCGCCTCGCTCGCCAAAATGAATGCCAGGTTGGCGGCGTTCTGGCCGAACGACTGCATCGGCGGGAGATCATTGCCGTAGATGCGATACAGAATGAACCGCGGCGTGTTGGAGGAGGGCAGCGGGTCTGTGGGGTTGTCGAGGTGCCGTGATGACGCAATGGGAAGAAAGAGCCATAGCAGGGCGGGGAAGAGGGCCGATGGCATCCTTTGAGAGCCGCGCTGACGCTGCTGCTCTTTGCTGGCCGCCGGCAAGTGGCCAGGACGGCTTTTACGGCTTACAATGCAGTCGCATCCAAAGGATGAGCTGCACAGGCCACCGTATGGCCTCCGACACCATCATTCAGCCACCCAATGGAAGAAATGACGTGATCGTGGCAACGCGATCTTCACTTTGAGCTCGCATGTGCAGATCTCGAGGTGGGCAGATCTGAGGCACCGCGAGGCGTGCAGAGCGCCCAGCAGACAGGAAAGCACTAGGGTAAGCACGAGGAATGAGTCAGGAACACAGACACGACCCCTCTCTGTCTGTGTGTTCCGTGCTGCGGGTGAGAGATCCCAATGACCACCGCCGAGCATCAAGCGGCACCAGCACCATCGTCCATGACTGAAGGCGATTGCCGTGCCCCTCTCATTCGCGCCATGTGCGCTCTTGCACCGTCTTCACTGCGCGTCATGACGCTCGAGGAGGCGGGAGATCAGATTGCGCAAGCTGAGGAGGCAGCCAGAGCGGCCATCGAAGTAGTGGCTCGTCTCGAACAGACATCGGAGAAGAACGCAGAGGAGGTGAGTGATGGATTTGCTCCGGCACACAGATTTGTCTGCTATGTCACTGTGGCCATCTCTCTCCTTGTCCAGAATCGACAGCTGAAGGCTCAAGTCGCCACACAGGTGTGTTGGCTGGAGGACTTGACACTGTCGTTCACTTGTAACACTGATGTGTGGTGTGTGTGTGTGTGTGTGTGTGTGTGTGCAGGCAACCCAGATACAGGGACTTCAAGCCCAAAGTGACACACAGGTGTGAGCACACACACAGACAGTGTCCAACTTGCCATCTACTTGAATGGTGGATCGCAGGCGGCAGAGATCCAGGCGCTGAAGGAGAGCAGCGCAGCCGACCGGGCGGCCATCAATGCGGCAACCGAGCAGGCAAGGGACACCCACATACACACTCTCTGGGTCCATCCAGTGGCTAAGTGATGGACCCGCTCTTGCTGTCTTTCTCTGTGCAGCTGCGAGCCAACACGGAGTCCACAATGGCGACCATGCGCCAGGAGGCGGCGCTGTTGCAGACCATCGAGGACAAGATAGCCGCCATCAAGGAGGCGATATGGCAGCAGACGTCCGCTCAGGTAAAATCAGAAAGACAGAAAAACATATGCAATGGGGCACACGTGGCTGGCTGTCCTGCTGTGTGACAGCTACAGGAGCAGAGAGCCTTCATCGTGTCCAACCACACTGAGTTGGTCGGCAAGGCTTTACGTCTCGAGCAGGCCATCGATGACAACAGGGCGGCGGCAAAGAAGGACACACAAGAGGTAAGCGAACAAACCGCCAAGATGTGCATTCTTCATCTCTCTGTCTGTGCTCTGTCTGTGCACTTGTGTGACGTCATCCGCAAGGAGGCGCAGAGCGAGATACAGTCGCTGAAAGACACCACCAATGCGTCAATCGAGCAGGCAAGCCACATTATGTGCACTCAACACCACCATCGGGTCATGGGTCCTTTGCCTTGGTGCAGCTGCGCACACACGTGGACACCAATTTGCAGCAACACGCCACTCAGGTCAGATCGACATGGCCGGAAGACACAGATCGACATAAACGCAAATGCCCTTTCTCTCTGCTGTGTGTGTTCAGCTTCAGGAGCAGCAGACGCTCATCGAATCAAGCCAGACAACCGCACAGAAGAACACAGACGAGGTGACATGACAAACATGCACACACTCAGACGAAGAAAAAAACGTGCACTCTTCGTTTCTCTGGCGCCCCGATATTTTTGTACAGCTGAGTACGGCCAGCCGCAGGGAATTGCGCGCACAGGTCTGATCCAATGAGCATCGCCTTCGTTCCTGTCATGTGTGTGTGTGTGTGTGTGTGTGTGTGGAGTGCCCGCAGGCAGCCCAGATACAGGCGCTCCACGCCAAAGTCAATACACAGGTACTTATGCCACGCAGCTGAATGCTTGAGGCGCATACGTACTTGTGTGTGTGTGTGTATGTGTGTGTTTGAATGGTCTCATGCAGGCAGCAGAGATACGTGCGCTGAAGGCAGCCACCGACACATCGATCGAGCAGGCAAGTGACATCCCACACACACACGCTTGGGTCAGGCGAGATACACTCCCTCCTGCTGTCTCACTGTGTGCAGCTGCGGGCGCACGTGGACACCGATTTGCAGCAACACACCACCCAGGTCAGATGGACATGGGCGAAAGGCACACCCAGGTCCTATCTCCCTCCTGTGTGTGTTCAGTTACAGGAGCAGCAGGCGCTCATCAAATCCAACCAGGCAGCCGCACAGAAGAAGATAGACGAGGTCACATGACATACATACACACACACACACACATGCGGACACGCTCAGATACGCAGACAGAGTGCACCAGTCTTCGTGTATGCAGTCGTCCGAAGCCATCCGCAAAGAAATGCGCCCCCTGCTGGTACACGTCGCTCTGCAGACTGGCCATGTCATGGATTTCGCTGTTGTGTGCATGTCGATTGCAGTCATGGTCGCATGATGATGACCCGGCCCTGTTCGAGTGGCTGGGCGGGGGCCTCAGTGTCATCTACAAGTAGGCAGCGTTGGACTGACTCTCACGTCAAAACAGAGGCGTAAGTGTGTGTGTGTGTGTGTGTGCATCAGGTCATCGCGTGACGGCTCCACGTATGGCGATTTGCTTCGTTGTGTGGGCGACAAGTCCGGCCTGGTGTTCATCATCCGCAAGGGCACATATCTGTTCGGTGCCTTCATCATTGCCGGCCTGCAGCTGCCCGACGACCCCACCAAGAGCCGCAGATACGTCTGTGATGTGTGGTATTTCTCACTGGCCGGCCACTTCGACAAGCCGACCAAGATTGACATCGACCGAGAGAGGCAGTATGTGGATGTGGCGGGGAGGGAGGGGAGTGTGGGTGGTGTGGGGGGCGCAAATGTGTTCATCGGTGGGCATCTGCGTCTGGGCTTTGGTGGCCATGGCAGTGACCAGCCTGCTGCCGACATCCGCAGCTGCCATCAGTGGACCCACCGCAGCAGTGTGCCTGAGGGCTACACGGGAGAGAGGGATGGTTCAGGCGATGCTCTGTTGGGTGGGTCTCTGGTCTTCATGGCGGATGAGATAGAGGTCCTGCACGTGGTGGGGCAGTGAGTGAGGGAGAGAGTTGTGTGTGGCTGTATGTGCCGCTTGCAGTGTTTTTTATCTATCTCGTGTGGTCTTCGTGTGTGCGTGTGTGTCTCACTAGGAGGCGCATCGCCGAGGTGTCGCACATAATGCGTGTGTGTGGTGTCCTTCTGTAGTGTCGTTGTGTAGGCATCACACATGCACCTTTTTCCTGTCATTCTTTCAACACGTGCTGGTGTGTGTGTGTGCTTTTTATTTCTGCGTGTCGTGATGGGTGTGTTGTGTCGTTTGTCTGTACCACAGCAGGCTGTCAGAATGATGGTTATACCACTTTTTGAATCATCGCTCGGTTTGAGTCAGCCAGGCATGCAGGCATGACTGACTGAAGTGGGAAAGGCACCTGAGCCATAAATACATCAGCCACACATTCGGGCCACCTCAAACCAACGCCACGATTCAAGCGACCTCATACAGAAGCGGCTCTGCTCGCCTATGTGGCGATGAGGTCAGAATGTCAGTGAGCGAATCAGTCAGCAGACCTTTCTCTAAATGAGAAGGCACTGGACATGGCTTTAGTAAGAGGCATCTATCAATACCATCATGATTCACACATACGAATCGATAACAACGTGTCTCAGTTCCAACGGACGCGCGTTTGTTTGTTTAAGACTCATCAATTGTTCAAGTCAGCAGGGCCCAAAAATGGAAAGCAATCGGCCAAAACCCCCCACGTACACAGAGAGAGAGAGCGAGACACCCGCCGGCAGAAATGCACGCACTCACTGTACATGAGTTCAGTTGTGCCCTATTTCTACAAGCCACTGGCCCTCCATGCAACCCCCCTGACCGCGTTTCGTCTCCCCGGGCCCGCCTCTCATTTCTCAACCACACCTCGCCACGTTAAACGAACCAAAACATCAGACACCCACACACATCATTGATTGTGATGTGTGGGTGCCGGCCAGAGTCAGTCAGTCAGTCAGCATATTTCTTGCTCCCGCCCTGCCTGTCCTTGAAGTCGAGAGTGTTGCCGCTGTGCTCCTTTATGCGCTCAAAGACGATCGCGCCGATGCCGTCACACAGCTTGCCGCCAAGCTGTGGGTCAATGGCGGGCTCGAAGTGCACGCCAGTCCACACGCGGCTCTTGGCACACACAGCCGCTATCTGGTCAAACGACTCCCACCTGAAGGCAGATGCATCCATCCATCCATCCATTTTATGTGTCATTTAGCTGCATGTTAGTGTGTGTGTGGTTACTCACTCGACGATCAGGTCTGTCGTTGGCGACATGCCTGTCTCGACGAGGGATGACCCCTTGGGGAAATATGCCCTCAGCTTGCCGTTGATGTCGAAGCCGTCAAATGCGATCTTTGCGAACTCCATTGTCTCGCGGCAGAAACACGTTGAGCCGGACGGATACTCTGATGGAGTGATGAATTGATGGCGATCGAGCCAAGGGAGACACAGAGACATCCATAAGGGGAAAGTTGCACACCTTGCGGCACCGATCGATCGCACCTGTGTGTGGCATTGTCCTCAAATACGGCTTCCAGTCCCTGCCCATGATCGGCTTGACGCCCTCCTTTGGCACATACGCATGGAACCTGACACACAGAAACCACAACACAAACACACACAGGCGTCTAGACATGTTTGTCTGTCCATCCATCCACGTGTGGGAACGTTGTACATTTCATCGTGAAAGAAGTGCTGGATGAAGGACTGCGGCCTGACGGCTTCGTGGAAGATCTTCTCCTTCCAGGCCACAATGGTGGCGTCGTGCAGCAGCCCGGTGTAGCCCAAGTCGATGACTGTGAACTCTTCAAAGGTCATGTCCAACGGCTGACAGACGTGACACACATACAACACCGACACGTAGAATGATTTGCTTGGTGTGCTGTGCTCACCTTGATGAGCTGGGTGAGTATCGTGCCGAGGGAAAGCAGCTGCGCGAGCAAAACAGACAGACAGACAGACAGGCCGACACAAAGACCATATACAGACGATTCACGTATACTGTATACTGTATACATATTTCGCTTACTCTCACCTTATTATCAAAATACTCTCCGATCGCCTTCTTTTTCTCTGACAGACCGCCACACACACAAGACAACACACACGCGTCAGTCATGCCAGTCTGCCCCTCCATGAGTCAATCACATCCGCCGCCCGGCCACCGACCGTCGAGCTCGAGTGATTCTTCGATGACCTTCCAGGCCCTCTCCTTGAGCACATCCACACAGCTTGTGTCATCACCCCCTGGCGGTTCCCCCTGGTGGCCCGGATCCCTCTTGTGTGGCGTGTCCTGCACGCAGTTGAAGATCGGGGGCGACCTCCTGCTGTCGACCTGCTGCTGCGTCAGGAAGAAGGGCCGCACTCTGCCCGCCTGAGGGGTGATGTGTTGCTGCACCACATTGTAGCCATAGCGGTCGCCCGAGCCGCCGACCCCCTATGTGTAGGGAGGGAGAGACATGCACAGAGACGCATCGATTGGAGCGGTGCCATACATCCATCCGATGGGCAGCTCCTGTGTGTTTGTGTACCTGTTCCTCAATGAGTGGCTGCCAGTAGGTGGGATACACGAGCTCGTGTGGGTCGTTTACAGGCTTGTAGCCGGTCCAGTCCTCATAAGGCAGGCCATTGTACTCGTGCAGCATGGTGCCGTTTCTGTTGTACCCGTCATCCTTGAACCACTCTATACTCTCCCTTGCCACCAGGTTACCCATCCCTGCAGGCGTGTTCTCGTCGGGCTCCGTGTTCAGCGGGTTGTAGCCCAGCAGCGGCATCACTTGCGCGAAAGCCTCAGCTGTATTCACATGCCGTTCACTCAATCGCTCAACCGATCGATGTGGTGTTCGTTTTTTGCTTACCTGCTCGAGGTATGAGGATCTTGTAGAATTCGTAACACGCATGGACGCCAGCCTCCTGGCGGTTGTGGTGGGTCCTCATGTACTTGGGCGCGCGGCGGTCCGGGCCAAAGAAGACGTGCCAATCGTCAGTGAAGGCCGCCACGGCGTGGAAGATGGCCACATTCTGCATCAGGACGTGGGCGTTCTGAACTGGTGGCTCGTATCTGAGAATGTGCGGCGCCACCAGCGCGAGGCACATGAGGGTGGGGATTTCCTTGAAGTACTGAAAAATCTCGACGTCGAGGGTATTGGCGAGCATCACACTGGGCATACTGAACACATCCTCCCAGAAGGCACGGGGCACCCTGTCGGTGAACTCAGCTGAACGACACAACACAACACACAAACAAACAAACAAATGACCAACACCCATGCACCGTTTGTCTGCCTGCCTGCCTGCGTGTCTGTCTGTCTGTCTGCCCTTGTGTCAGTCTGTACGGACCAAGTCCGAGCCTTGTGAGCGCCTGCAGCTTGCCCTGCAGACTCTCTGCGGCCTCGAGCGGGTCAAATGGTCCCATCATGTAGTCGCTCACCTCCGGCGTGAGGAAGCCTTCGCCGAGCATGTTGCCCGCCGTTTCCAGCAGCGTTTCCGCCGCCTGTCCAGCGGCATGTAGCGGTGGGAAGAGGAGATCCACGATGTCACCGAGCGGGCTCTTTGGCCTCGCCTCCCCCTTCTCATCATCGGGACCCTCTGCGCCACACCGTAATGACGCAGCCGCAACCAGGAGAAGAAACAACGCAGCAACCGCCGGCCTCAGTCCCGCCATATTCGTTCACCAGCACTCGACTCCCTCAAACACTGCACACATCGAAATGGGAAAGTTTACGAGGCCGTAACGGCTAAGCGCGCACGCATGCGCGCGGGGATTGCGGATTCTGTGTGACAAGGAGGACGAGCGAGAGTGAGTCAAACAGACAGTCACAGTGAAGTCGATGAATTGCATATGATGAGTCAGCCACGGTTACCTATTGCACGTCCTGTTGTCCTGCATGTGGATCTCGCTGCAGGTGCGATCAGGACGTCAGCTGCAGAGGACCAAACAGCACTATCAGCACCATTATCGATGACGGAGGCCATTCCCGGCTGCATGAGCTCCCCGTTGTCGCCGCGCGTCATGACACTCGAGGAGGCGGCAGATCAGCTCATTCATGCAGAACGAAAGGCCAGAAAACAGTGCGCGGCCGTCTTCTCATGCGGATTGATACTCGGCATCGCTCTCGGCTTGCTCATGGCAGCCCTCATCAACGGAAGCCTTAGGACAGTCGAGCCACCAGCTGCGAGAGAGATGGCCAGCGAGTCAGATCAGAACGACACGCATGCCGTGATTGGCAGCCCCATCGGCCCTGCCAATCGTTGTCCCGCCTTGTCTGAGACCGGTGACTGGGAGGGGGAGAGGCAGATGCAGCCACATCAAGACGGCACTGACGAGCAGATGGGCTACCACGACCTGCCTGAGGCAGCTGCGGGCGAGACTCCACGGCACTCCGCTGATGCCAAAGGGGACGGGGAAGAGCACGCTGATGGCGCCACGAGCGTAGCGTCATTGGGCTGCAGTATGCAGGTAAGCGGGAAATGCACACATGTGGGGGCAATGTGTGAACTGTGCCGTCTGTCATGTGTGTGCAGTTTGTTGTGGTGGTGTCACTCGCGGCAGTGGCAGCCCTATCGGCCTATCAGGTGAGGAATGAGGGAGGACGGAGAGGCAAACATTCAGCTCACAGGTAGCTCTGTTGTCCAGACTCTACAGCTGGGCGCCCTGCGCACAGAAATCAATGCGATCCACACCATGCCGGTGCGTGTAGGAGATCCACGCTAGTGCGCAATGCATTGGACTTATTGTCTCTTTCCTCCTTGCAATGTTGCATCCAGGTGACCTTTCCTGACATGTCGCTCACCGTCCTGCAGTACGCTTCCCTGCATGGATGGCTGGGAGCGAAGAAGCCGCTTGGTGTGGTCTACAGGTGGGCAGTCACACATGCACTCGACGTGTGTATCCTGATGTCGCTGCTTCTCACTGTATATGTCAGGTCATCGGGTGACGGCACCACGTATAGCGATTTGCTGCGCTGTGTGGGCGACAAGACCGGCCTGGTGATCATCGTCCGCAGGGGCCGATATGTGTTCGGCGTGTATATCAGCGCCGGCCTGCAGCCGCCTGACGACCCGACCAGCTATCGCAGATGTAACTGTGATGTGTGGTGGTTCTCACTGGTGGGCCACTTCGACAAGCCGACCAAGATCAAGATCGACCGAGGTCAGTGGGTGTTCGTGGCGGGGAGGGAGGGGAGTGCGAGTGGTGCAAGTGTGTACATAAGTGGGAATCTGTATTTGGGTGATGGCGGTGTCTGGCCTGCTGCCGACATCCGCAGCTGCTATCAGTACACCAACAACAAGAATGTGCCTGCGGGCTACATGGGGGACAGGGATAAGTTTGGCGAAGCTCTGTTGGGTGGGTCGAAGAAGTTCATGGCGGATGAGATAGAGGTGCTGCAAGTGGTGGGCAGTGAGTGAAGTGGATAGCTAGGGTTAATGGCAGTCACGCAGTCACACTTGAGTGTTTTCTTATCGATGTACCATAGTAAGGGTCGTATTCTGGCCAGTGGCACATGCATGTATTGACTTCGTTTCCCTGCACTGATGCGCACGTCAGGTGGCTGTGCTGTGCCTGGATGTGTCAACCTCCTGCCTGCTGCCTTGCACACTGTACTGACCTCCATCATGTCATTCATGTTTCACACACCAGACATCACATGCAGCTGTCTGTCTGTCTGTCCGTATCTGTCTCGTCAGTCATTTGCCCTTCTTCCTCCCTGGCTTGGCTGCCGTCTCATCGCCATTGCCACGATCACCATTGCCAGTACTCTCGTCGCGATACATCTTCATGCAGGTCAGAAACAACGCACCCAAACCTACAGTCAGTCAAACCAGCCAGTCACACAGCAAAACACACACACACTCACATTTGGTCGGTACCTGCTTTGCGGCACTCGTCGGCCATCCTGCCCATCCCCTTCGGCCCCAACTCCTGCACAGACACACATAAATTCGCGGCTGTGGTGCAGGTGGGCATGGCATCTCACTTCGAAGCCTCTGGGCAGCCGCCTCATGTCGTCCAGACACTTGGATGCGGGCACTGACACACACACACACACACACACAGAGGATTCTGGCAGATGACAGGACGGCTCATGCGTTTGCTCACCGTCGATGATCTCTTCGCCACGGACCACAAAGTGCTTCCACCTGAGCCTCTGCAGCCGCGTGATGTACTCCATGCAGCCCTCCTCCGGCCCTTCCACAATCACCACACCAGGGTAGCCGATCTTGGAGAAGCCGCCAAGCCGAAGCTCCAACGCCCACCTGACCAATCGGCACCACTCAGCCATCCACGAGCATGAGATGGCGTCCGCTTCGGTTGCTTACTGGATGATGTATCGCCTCTTGGTCTCTGCCCGGATGTGGTGGCTGTAGCACACGCGCCTTCCCAACTGCTGCTGCTGCTTGGCTGGTGGTCGTGCGGCGGCAGACGCCTGTAGCTCCAGCAGCTGCAGCTCCTCTGCCAGTGCATCATCGCTCATATCGTCTTCCTCATCATCATCCGCCACGTCGTCAGCCGCCGCCTGTGCCGCCTGCACAAACGCCGCACCCACACAGACACATCAACAGACAGACACAAACAGACAGACATGAGCACAGTGAGTCTCATGAGTGAGTCCATGTGTGGTACCTGCAGCGCATTCTCGAGCTCTTCGGTCTCTCTGCGGTGCTCGGCAACCAAATCGGCCAGCGAATCCTACGCGAAGAAGGACAAGAGCCACACAGATGCCGCAGACCAACGTGCTGTCCTACTTTGGCTGACTGGACAATGTCGACGACGCACTCCTCACCTACAAGAACAATCATTAGCAACGCCTCAGGTGTGCCTATTCGCTTGCAACGCTCTCTTGCTGACACCTCTCTCGGCCCATTCCCTGGCCCTCTCCTTCAGGGCCTCCTCACACTCAGCCAATCTGTGTGTGGGCAGGTAAGACGACAGCAGCTCCGCCCGCAAGCTCTTGTGCTGACACAAGCGACACAGGTGAGTCGGCTGTGTGGCGAGAAGAGTGATTCAGGAAGGCTGACTGGGTAGAGCGGCGGCAGAGTGATGCACAGCTGAGGGCTCTCGCCCTCTGTCTTGAGGTCTTCATCGAGGAAGCTGACAGCGAAGTGAAGGTCGTCGGTGCTCTGCTCCTGACTCTTGATCTTCGTCACTGAGAAGCAGCAGACACAGACACACACATGCAATAGAGGCAGAGCATCGTCCACGAGTCAATTGCAGTGGTGTGTGCGTCGCTCACACGCCACTTCGTCGATGATCAGCTCATCCGGCCCAGGGTACATCGACATCAGCACCTGAACAGACGTGCAGCGGATGGCCAACTGTATCATTGCGTAGTGTGCTTCGTTCATTCATTGCATGTGTGTGACTCACCTCAATCTCTTCAAGTTGTCGACGGCGGCATGAGCTGACATCTCGGTAGTCAGATCCCGACCGTTCAGCTGCAGATGATCCGTTCATTCTCCTGGTTCATCCTCCTCATTGGCGAGCTAAGCTCGCAGACGAGACACAAACCGGTTCCTTTTTTCGTCCGTGAGAGGGTGCAGCGACACTGCCGTGCTCACTGCCATTGCAGATCTCGAAGGCAGCCGAAGCTGAGCATTCGTATCACTTGTTGCGGTCGGGGGGTTTGCGAATAATCAGTGGCGGACGAGCGGCGTGTTTGGTCTCATCCGTGGCAGCAGGAGGCCAGGTGAGGGCGGCAGGGAGCAAACAGACGACCTCGACTGACTTGATGAATTGTCGTTGCACTGAATGCAGATCTGATGTGGCGGTGCACTGAAGAGATGGGAGGGCAGAGCAGCAGGTGAGTCAGTGCTCATTCGAATGGATCATTCACAGCCGAGCATGTGTGTGTTGTGATCAATTGATGCACCGGTTCGAGCAGCCCTCGCCTGCCGAGCAAGGGCCACCTGCCACTGCTCCCGATTTTAACGACCTCTACCCGTCCATCGCACCCCCTCCACCATACAGCCCGGGACTTGCGCCGTCCTCCCCGCGCATCATGACGCTCGAGCAGGCGGGAGACCAGATCGCGCAAGCTGAGGAGACAGCCAGAGCAGCCTCAGAGGAGGTGAGTGATGCATTTGCACCCAGACTTGTCTGCTATGTGACTGTGGCCATTTCTCTCTTCTTGTTCAGAATCGACAGCTGAAAGATCAAGTCGCTGCACTGGTGTGTTGGCTGGAGGACTTGACACTGTCGTTTCCTTGCAACATTGATGTGTTGTGTGTGTGGGTGCAGGAAGCCCAGATAGAGACGCTCCAAGCCAAAGTCGACACACAGGTATGAAGCACACATCGCACACACCGACAGTATGCACCTTGGCAACATCTGTCGCATCGCAGGAGGCAGAGGGCCAGGCGCTGAAGGAGAGCAACGCAGCCGACCGGGCGGCCATCACGGCCATCAAGGCGGCAATCGAGAAGGCAAGTGGTACACGTGTCCGTTTGCCTTGTCACACTGGCCGTGTATTGCCCCGTGGTTCATATGACACTTGCAGGGATGGGCTGATTCGCTGCTCACATGTGAACAGCATGCAGCCCTGTTTGAGTGGCTGGGCGCCAAGCGACTCACTGCCGTCTACAGGTAGGCGGCGGAGCACACATTCTAATACTAGCAGCAGTAGGTGCACACGTGTATGTGTGTGTATGACTCAGGTCGTCGCGTGACGGCACCACACTTGACGATCTCCTGGGCTGTGTGGGCACCAGGACCGGCCTGGCGATTATCATCAAGAAGGACACATATCTGTTCGGCGTGTACATCAATGCCGGCCTGCAGCTGCCTGACGACCGTTCCCGTCTTCTGCCGTATTGGACCCTTTCTTGGTGGGCCAGGCGTGATGTGTGCTGTGATGTGTGGTTTTTCTCACTGGCCGGCCACTTCCCCAAGCCGACCAAGATGAACATCACACGACAGCAGATTGTGGATGTGGCGGGGAGGAAGTATGGGAATACGTCTGCTGTCATTGAGGCGGGTGTACCTCTGTCATACCTCGTGCACCACCACCTCGTGCATCTCCGTCTCGGTGAGTTCCCCGAGACGGGGATCACGAGCTGCTATCAGTACACTCCCAGCGAGAATGTGCCTGCGGGCTACACGGGAGAGAGGGATGAGGGTGGCAATGCTCTGTTAGGTGGGTCAAAGTACTCCATGGCTGACGAGATAGAGGTGCTGCATGTGGCGGGGCAGTGAGTGAGGGAGAGAGCTGTGTCTGGCTGTATGTGCCTCTTGCAGTGTTTTTTATCGATCTATCTCGTGTGGTCTTCGTGTGTGCGCGTGTGTGTCACTCGGTGCCGCAGGAGGCGCATCGCCGCGTTGTCGCGCATAATGTCTGTGTGTGGTGCCATCTTTTTCCTTTCATTCTGCGTGTGAGTGACTTTTTTTCTTGCGTGTCGTGATGGGTGTGTTGTGTGTCTGTACCATAGCTGGCTGTCGGTCGTGACTTTCAAGTTCAAGCCTTCATAAAATGAACGTTGGGTCGAGCCATCCTTCGTTTGGACAAGCAGCTGAGCCATGAAAGCACCCAAAGATGCACCGAGAGAGCGTATCCATCCTACTGTACAGGTCAGACAGCATAGCGTCACTCATTCGGTTGCCAATGGATTCATCCATGTGCGATTCATCGTTAATGATGCATGTGTGAATTACTGGCTGCAGGTGGCTGCGTTACGATGGCGGCCTCGTCTGCTGCTGGTGGAGTGCCCACGTGCGGTGTGTGCTATGAGGAGTATCAATCGCATGGCTTTCAGCTCGACAATACAACAGTGGATCTATGGTGAGGATTTTGACAACGTCAGCATGCAGATCAATCCTTGAACGCTTCATCCTTTCCTCTTACTTTCGACTTGACTTTCGATGTAATTGCTCTCTCGATGTCTCTCACTTCAATCAATCGAGAGCCTATGTAGACACCCATCAGTGGTCCACATAAAAGTACACGGCTTAGCGCGACAGCCCCCAATGACATACTCCCATCAGTTGTCCACACTCTCACTCTCATCACTCATCATCAGCCTCACCCGCAGCAACGTCGTCAAGGTCTCGCCAGCCGTCATGACGGGTACCCACTACAGAGAAGCCTCCCCGCCGCTTCAGTCGGTAAGAGATGTGTGTGGTGTACATGCATTGCAGTGTATATAAGGGTAGGGGGACAAGCGAGGACTCCATGTGTCCATGTCGGCTGTGCATTCATTCGTTCAAGTCAAGCGTCGAGCCCATTCACACGCGCACACATGCGTCTCGCATTCACGCATGGCCAGGCCACACAGAGCACTCAGCAAATCAGTCAGCTGTCTGCCCACACGTTTTTCACATGCAGTGTGTCCTCTTGCTGGCTCGAGCGAGGCTCAGACTGCTGCTGCACCGGCACACGAATCGACGAACGACCTGCACACATACACACTCACACACACACACACACAGACATCCGTGTGTGCCTATTCATCCATTAGGCACATACCACTTGACGGTCTCTGTCTGATCGAGGATGCCTCCTGTGACTCCGGTGCCAGCGACGACCGGCTGTTGACCGACTCACCACCAGCAGAGAGGGAGGGGGCCGCACCTAAACGCACACGACACAACGGATGCTTGTCGCGTGTCTGTCTCTGTGCGTACGATACCGTCCGATTGCGCTCTTTTGCTGGAGCTTTGCTGGTCTTGTATCGACTCCTGGCTGTGTGGTGGAGAGGTCGATGTCTGGTGCCTCTGAGTGTTTCTCGCCCACAGCACGCGGAAAAAGGAATGCTGGCTGACTCACAGAGAGACACAGACAGACGGATGTGTCCGTGTGGTGTGCCGCCTGGCTGTCTGTGTGTGTGTGTGTGTGTGTCGTTTTGTACTTTTTCGTTTGTCTGTTAGTATCGTCTTTCTTCCTTCTGAACAGCTCGGAGAAGCGCTTGAAGGTCCGAGTGTCGCGGCCTGAGATGGGAGATGGAGAGCCACACCTATGTGTGTGTTTGAGGGTGAATGTGTTGGTACCCATTCCCTGTGTGTATGCGTGGCGAATGTGGGACTGCAGCGTGCGAAAGTGAGACGGCCTGCACCATTAGACAAACAGAAATGCCGGTGTGGATCCTCGCCTGTTCGTGTGGCTTGCCCACTCGGTGGTTTGTCTGAGTAGGTTTCTTCTCTCGTCGTTGGCCTCCTTGTAGAGCAAAGAAAACTCGCCGTGCAGCAGAGACAGAGAATCCTGCACACAGACAGACAGACAAAGAGAGAGAGATATAGAGATGCACAGACACATCGACATGGATAGATGAGTCAGTGCTCACGTGCTTACTTCCATGGTAGCTTTCTCCTTATAAGTGAGATCGTAAAAGAAGTGGAGGAGCTCCTCTTGCCTCTCCTCCTTGAAGAGAGAGGCGATCACCTTCATGTCACGCACAAAACGGTACGCCTACACACACACACACACACACACACAGACGTACGTGGAGGTGGCTATTCTCATCCGGCTTTCTCTCTCTCGATGTCTCTCTGTCGTATGTGTGCTGACTGACTCTCATGGTCTCGGCCGTGTTGAGCTTGTCCTGCCGAATGGCATCAAACAGAGACAGGCCAATCGTTACCTGCACACACAGCACATGACCGCATGACTACCTGTCCATATGCCCCCACACATCACATCCGTCCATCATCAGTTCGTACCAGCACGGCAAACACGGAAGCGTGACAGAGACGGTCAGCACGATCGCGTATGCCTCGGGCTTTCTGTCTTGCGAGTCGATGAAGAACACACCCACCACAATGATGAACAATGTGACTGCACACACACACACAAAGGGGGAGACATGAGTTTGTGGATGGATGGATGGATGGATGTGCGTACTCATGGTGAGGATCATGTCCAGGTAGTTGTTGCGGGGGTCCCGAAAGGGCATGTGATACACCTGCATTGTGGATGGCATGGATGTGTGTGTCTCGCTGTTGTGTGTGGGTGTGCGGTGTGTGTGTGCTGACTGACTTGCATGACGACACTCACAATCAGCACAGCTGCCGTGTAGTACACCTGCACACACACACACACATATACGCAGATCCATCTTATGCCCTCTGTGTGCATGGCAATGAAAGAGCCACCTGCGCGTAGCCATCAGATGGGAAGATGACTGCTGCCAGCGTCAGCAGCATATTCCTGCACACACACGAGACGAGACACCCCATGTAAGCATGTCCTTCGCCGCATTTCTGTGGTGCAGCCATCCACCCACCTCGCGAGTATGACCACACCCCACCAGTACTTGTCGGGCGTGAACCGATACAAAAGGAACTTGTACCTACTCACACACACGCACGCACACGCACACACACGCGCAGATGCAGGGAGGGACACATAGACACCACGCACATTCGCCACTCACTTACTCTGCTGCTCACCGAGTGCGGAATCTCACGTCATCGAAGCGATACGGGGCCTGTGTGAATGCATGATTTGTGGAAGTATGTGCGTGTGTCTCTCATACATGGATAGACAGACACTTACGCGTATGCAGACGCCCCCGAACCAGAGCAGTATTCCGATTGGGTACAGAATGATGGCCGACACACCGAAAGGCAACACAGACGCGAAGCGATTTCCTGTGTGTGCGAAGGAGATGGACACACGCAAGGGTGTGACACACAGGAAACGTATGTGTACACTCGAAGTGTTCATGTGTGTGTTACCTACCTCTACACAACACTTCAGGGAATGCCTTGATGGTCCACTGGCCGGACGGATGCTGTGTTGTGTGCGTGGATGGATACTGGCATGGTGGGTGTGTTGTGTGCCCGCGCATAAGCTTATCTGTCTGTACCTTTCTGCAAGTGAAGAGGCTGAGAGCAATCCTTGCCAGAGCGATGTACGCAGCAGATATTATCACACCTGTCAGCACACAAGAGACACACGCCACACATACATTCACGCACGCAAATGAATGTCTCTCGCGTGTAGTTAATTGTGTGAATTGAATACCAATGGTGCTGAACAGCTTGTCCATGTCCAGGGGCGTGCCATCTGCAGTGCACACAAGCCGGCACACACACACACAGCCAGACCCCCTACCCCCACTCACTCACCCACCACACACACATTCATGATCATACCTTTGAGCACACGCAGCAGACGCACACGGGGAGCGTTCACCTGCACACAATGCGCCAGTACACCCACCGAACATATCTATTCTTGTCTTCTCGCACATGCGTACATTTCTCACGAGTAAATGCACAGCGTATGACAGCAACCAATACACAAAGAATATCGCCAGCAGTATGAAGGGGCTCGCCAGCTCGAATACGTATCTGCACACACGCCCACACACACACACCTCTGCAGATGGGTGGGAGCGCATGTGTGTGTGTGCGGACCGCACCGTCTTTCGAATGTGTTGACGCCGATGCACGAGATGCGTATGAAGGAAAAGTCCAGCAGAAACACATTCAGGTACTGAAAATACGCCGAGAATGACAACGGCCTGCAGCGAGAATGAGAGCAGCGGCATGACATCGCTATGAGGGCCGCTGCTCTCTCTCTCTCTCTCTCTCTTTTGCATCTTATCGCATGCTTGCGCACCACTGCACGGCGTATGAGTTGTAAGCGACGCCCAGCTGCTGTATGAAGTTGAGCGTGAGCCCCAAAGACAGAGACACAATGGACGTCACAGTGGTCCGCCTGCACACACGTACACAGACGAGTGTCCCTCTGCGTGTGCCTCTGCGTGTGTGTGTATGTATGCATACGCGGTGAACTGCGAGTTGATTGCGACGTAGAAGGCGCCGCACAGGAGGGTCACCCCAAAGAGGAACAGCAGGGGCGTCGTATACCCTGCACGCACACGTAGACAATCAATCATGTCTGTCTCTGAGCTTGGAGGGAAACGGATACCCTTGGTGGTGTTGCACTCGGTGCATGGCCCTGCACACACACAACACAAATGTATGGCCTACATAGCACTCATATATGTGGTCTTTGGCGCACTGTGATGCATACCGACCGGTGTTTTGCGCGTCGACGTATCCGCGTTTGCACACGCCGCATGCGAGGCCCTCTCGATTGGCCGCGCACGTGTCAGCCTGGCCACCTACACACGCACGCACACACACACACACACAGACACAGACAGACAGACAGACAGACAGACAGAGAGAGAGGGCAAATGGTCCACTGGTGACTCAATGCGCCAGGCACCAGGTCACCTGGGCAAGCACCGATTGGCTCGCATTGGTATATCTCGTAGCCAGTGAAAGCCGCCTGTGTGCGTATGAATGCGCCGTGCGCACACCATGAGTGTCCTTTGTGCAGTGCACAGACAGACAGACAGTGTGGCTTGTGCACTGACTGCACCTCATCTCTCTCTGAAATCGGTGACCCCCAGTAGCCCGACAAGACGAGAGGCAGCTGCACGGACGCCAATACAGACACACAAGTGGGTGGCCGGCCGTATGTGCACTACCTCTTTCCCCCCAGTGCAGTTGTGTCCATCCCCCTCTCGGCACGTCACACACCGCTCCGTCTCCCTACACACACACACACCACACCACACACAACACAAACCCCTGAGTGCATGCGCTCTCAACAGGATGTCTCACCACACCTACCGGTTGAAGTACTGCCCCTCGTCACACGTGCACTCCGCCACATCAGTGGCGCCATCGCGTGTGGTGGTGAGTGTGGGGGGGCAGTCGGTGCACTGGGGTGACCGGCCGACTGACGGCTGGTAGGACCCCTGTTCGCACCGCGTGCAGAGGCCGGTCACCCTGTTGAATGCGTAACCTCTCTGTAGACAAAGAGAAAGAGAGACGTGTGTTGGGCGGAGAAGGGCGGAGGAGGGGGCAGGGTAGGGTTACCATGCAGAGGCATTGGTCGATGCTGGTGGCGTTCTCAGCTGTGGCGCGGCCTTCCCCTGGACATTGATCGCAACCCTGCCCACAAGTAAAAGTATATGTCTGTCTCTTTATCTCTCTCTCTCTCTCTCTGTGTGCGCACTCGATTGGCGGCTTCTTGTTTGTAGGAGCCGCTAGGGCACGACACACATCGAGACAGATCGGACGAGGGCGACCGGCCGGGCGGGCAGACACACTGGACGCCACCTCTCCCTCCCTCCAGCAGCTTCTGCACAAATCTACTCACACACAGAAAGACATGCTCTTCGAAGGCAACACGCTCACAACGTATTTGTAGCCAATACGTAGCCCTTGTCCTGGTCGCATATGCAGTCAGTGGCGTCAGTGGATGCCTCGCTTAGCGTGATGGTTGACCCGTCACTCGTGCACGGCGTACAGCTCGTGTTGCCTGGAGAGCCACACAGAGACAGATACACGCCCGCATGAGTTGGTCGACAGAGGGGGGGAGAGGGGGCTGTGCACACCAGCTTGTGTCTTGTAGAAGCCGACTGGACACGGCGTGCATGCGTCCGTGTCTGTGTCTGTGTCTGTGTGGGTGTCGATGGCGTACCCTTTCGCGCACACCTGCATACACATAGACAGATTTGATTTGATACATGCCGCATCTCTATGTGTGTGGAATAAACTCTGTCTCTCTGTGCATCCCTCACACATTCGTCCCGCCCCCGCGCCCCAGCGCTCTTGATCGTCATGTTGGTGGGACAACGCAGACGGTCGTCGCCCTCAGGGCAGTAGAAGCCGGGGGTGCACCTGTGCATTCACATGGAAAGAGAACGCCGCTTGATTCCGGGAGTGTGTATGCAGATGTGTGTCCACCTGATGCATGTGTCGTTGTTGCCGTCTTTATCGAAGAAATATCCGCTCACACATACGCACATCGACTCGCTCGACGCGCCAGGTGCGTGTGTCGTCCTAAATGAACACACAGTGAGGGAGACAGAAGATGAACGCCCTGTGTGTCCGTCTCCATGTGGGCGGGTGGGCGGATGGCTACCTGAATGCGCCGCATGAGCCACAGGCGCTGTCGCTCACAGAGGACTTGTACAAGCCCTGCAGACATGTGTATGTGTGTGTATTGAGGCTGATATCTGGGTGTGCGATGTACCTTTGGGCACATCTCACACCGATCGTCCGTCAGCAGCTGGTACCCCGCGTCACACTTGCACTGCATTTCAGTGGGAGGGGAAATACACACACAGAAATGCCAAACGACTCGACGCATACACATGTCTCCAAGACACCGACCTCTCTCTGTGATTGCGCGCCTTCCGTCTCTGTCGAGCGGTTAGCCGCACACGGCGTGCAGTTGTATAGACCTGTACATCCATGCCATGCCATGCAATGGGGTGTGCTCGACTAGTGTGTTTGCGGTGTGGCGGTGTGGGCACCGTCGAGGTCGCTGCTCGTCTGCAGTCTGTATTCACCGCGAGGGCAGGGCACACACGATGTGCCGCTGACCGACACACGCATCCCTGCACCAAACACACCATCGAACACACAAATGCGCTTGCGAGGATGTATGCGTATGTGTGGTGCAGGGATACATACCAGCAGGGCATCCGACGAAGAGAGACACGCTTGTGTTGGTGGAGCCCTCAGTGTTGTATGCGGACACAGTGTACCTAAGAGACACACACACACACACAGACACATGGCTGTCCATCGGTGTTTCCCCGGCTGCCTGCACAGATACGTACGTCCGCAGGGGCGCCGCTATGCCGGGGGTGCCCTCAATGATGCCACGATCGCTGATGCGTAGACCTACTCGTGTACACCCAAACTTGTGGACAGATCGGGGTTTTCATCAAGTGTACCTTGAGGCAGCATTGGGTTTACAGCCCATCCCTCCAACACACTCTCGGTGCTGGCGAGGGTGGGCATGGCCATGAACGGCGCGTTCAGCGGGATGTATTGCGACGGCTGCGGTATGCAAACAATGCGCCGCTCGCCTCTGTGTGTGTGCGTGTGGAGGGGGGGGGGGGGG